TTTATTTCCTTTTTTATTTCTTTAACACAAAACGTGGGACCCACCAAACGGCTGTTACAAGTGAGGGTAGACGGCTGGTTCGGATTCAAAAAGTGGGGGCAAAACTGCAAACCCTAAAAAGTGGGGGTAAAACAACAATTGGCTTTCAAAATGGGGGTACAGATGCAATTATCCCTTGCACAAATGATCCTAATGGATATGTTACAAGCAACTGAGTTAACATCTTACCACAGAGTAACCACATCGAGTCAAATCATCCAATGTCTGCCGCAAATTCTGTAAGGAAATGTGCTCTGATGTCATAGAATATTATCAACATAATGTAAAAAGATGTGCATTATTAGTTATAAAGTATAAACCATATTAAATCAATGTTTGCCACAAGTTCTGAATGCTCTTTTCATACTATTGCCAACAGAACAATAAGATATGAAGCATGCTAACTTCAATTCCTAGCATGTCTCCTAGTTCAAACCATATTGGTGAATAAAGCTTGAACTATATTGATGGATCATGAGCATACGAAATGCTAGACAGGTGTGATGTAAGTAACTAACAAAATAAATAAGTCTTCCATATCCACAATGTGTAATTGCAAAAAAAAGGCAGGCAACTTACAAAATGTTATTGTGGTTAGACTGAAACTTATATGTAGATAAAAGGCAGCAGTAAGTGCCGCACAGTATGGTACTGATACGCTGACTCTTCAAAAGCATAACAAAGGAACGCAACAAGATCTGTTTCACAGAAGAAGTTCAAGCTCCTCGTTCTCCACTTTTTCAAAAAACAAATTACATAATGATGCAAAAATTTGATAATTAACTAGGCAGATCACTATGATAGTTCTTAAAGCAATCCTAATTTCAGAGCATCAGCATAGTTATGTAACAGTTTACCATGACTGGACATCCAGCTTTTGGAATACTATCAGAACGCAAGCCTCCAAAAGGATTTAAGCCTGCATGCTCCACAAGGATACATGCATCAAACCCAACAGCCTCGTAGAAATCTCCCACCTGAATGGAGAAAGGTTATTCCGTTATAGGTCTATGTATTTGGATTTTTTTTCCAGCTTGAATGTAAGAGGAAAACCAGAAGAACGCTGGAGAGATACATTAATTCTGAGTATTATATTTAGCAAAATGCTGAAAGCGAATCCAGATTGACAGATGGAAATGGGTATGGAGGGGTATGTAGTGAAACAAAAAGTAAATTGTTTTGGAAACAAGGACAGCAGTGCACGTAAGTTATGGCATAGTAAAGATTTCCCAGAGGCACATAAAACACACCATCACATGTCATAGATGTTCAGAAAGAAACATCTATGACATTATAGGTTTTGATAACTAAAAATTCCCAGCTAAGAAATTCTTGGCATTTCTCCAGATTTTCGCAAAAAAGACGATCAAGCATGTGAACAAAATAAAAGAATAGAATAGCATTACTCTGCAAAGTAGAACTTCACGAGGAAACTTCGATTTGAATTGCAACATTTCCGTGTTCAGGCTTCCATCCTTCAAGCTGCAAAGATTCATATCAACATTTGTGTTAATGAAAAGAAAGTAAATACCAAGAAATGTGCCTGATTTGACCAACACAAAAATGGCTCAAGCAAGAAATATTTAATAAAATGAAAGAAAAATAACCATGGAAGAAAGGAATTGATTATATATGATACAAAATTACAATAAACTTTCTCCAAACTAGTCAGATTGCTCTGGTAGAAATTCTTTTTCAAGACATACATGAAGCCGTGATTGCCATAAAATTCTCCAATGATTAAGCAAAGAATAGGAACATACAAATTGTAAGATTAATAGAACTAAGCAAACAAATGGAGTAATGAACACATACATATTTCACTTTAGAATATGAAAAACTGAAGTAATTCACAGTAACTTAAAAATAGTACAACGTCATGCTAGCCTTCTATTTCTTAAAGAAAATGTGAAAGAAATGATCATTGCATAATTATATTAAGCATGAGCATCTGATTCACCTTCCATTTCTTAAAGTTGGATCCAATCCTAAAATATTTGAATACACAAGTCTCTGAGTCAATTGCATTGATGATGGTTTCCTGCACCTCTCCATTTTCTGAGAACATTAAACAGAATAACAGCAATAACAAAGCTGAAGCATTAGTGATTCCCTGTCAATACATTGGAGAGAAAAAAAATACATATATGCCAACTTTTGCAAGCACCTCTTTCCACCACAGAATATGTGGCAGCATGCCTTCATTACAGAGATCTCCTTGTTTGTTCATCTTCCTAGACACAATGGAAATGCTTCGTGAGACTTTCCTTGGTTTAGACCAGGACCTCCTGTTAAATAGCCTGAAGTGTGGATGTACCCAGATTACCAAGAAGTTTAAACAGGCCAAATAATATAGAACAAAAATCAAGCCAAGCATGCCACTTCTAAAAAGTGAAATTGAGATCAGGTTCAAGGTACAACAATCTATAAATAATTTCTTTAATATTTTTGTGTGTCTATCAACATTGTGCAGTAGGAAATAGGAGCTGATCCAACTCATATAGGGCACCAACGTTACGTGTTCACTGGTTTAGTATAGTAAAATGGATCTTGCCAGAACTGGACTTTTAGTATAGCTGTATAGGGCATCAACGTTACGTGTTCACTGGTTTCATCCCCAAATAATGATGCACGCGTGCAGTGCACTACAGCACTACCAATTGCATCACTGAATGACCTCCCATTGGTTGTTCTAAATTACAGTAGTGCATTTGAACTTGATTTTTTAGTTTACTTTAATATGGAAACATGGAATAAGTCTACATAACCCCCCAAACTATTGCAGGTTGACTATTTAACCCCCCCAAACTCTCAAACCAGGGATTCTACCCCCTAACCTTTTCAATACCGTTTACTTAACCCTGAAGTGGCTTCGCATGGTACAGCATATCATGAGGGAGACTGAAATTGGTATATGTGAGGATGTGAGATAATGTTGTACTGCACTTCTGTGTCTGTCTCTACAAGGATGACAAAATTTCAATTTGAAAGCCTAGGAAGCTATGATCGGAGCGTGGACATGGCCATCCTCCAGTGTGTCCCTAGATCATAGTAGTAACCTAGTACATAGTAATAGTAGTTGAGTATGGGTTGTTTTGGTTGATGCAAAAATTTGCCCTACCAAATAATTGGCAACTTTAATAGTACTTTGTAGATATTTGGATTGATGCCAATACTTGCCAAAACCAATACAAGTCCTATATCCAACTCTACCAAAAGGTACGTTTTGGACTACGGACTACCAATGATTTGGTAGGGCATCTCAAACCTCCAAAAAACCAAGAAATTTGGTAATATGCCATCTAATCCGCACGCCTTTGATAATTTACCACCCAATCCGCATGCCTTTGATAAAATGCCACCAGGGCTGTGAATTTTTCGATTTCGTGCCACTTTCGCCGGAGGAGAGCAGGAGGCAATGGCCCTTGATGGTGGCGGTGGTCAGCGGCAGCAGCCTCGCGCATCCCCGGCGTCTCCTCCGCCTTGACCCGCCGCCGGCGGTATCCATTCGCGGCTGCTGCCCACGTAGCCAATGCAACAGCCTTGCGCGTCCCCACCGATGTCTCCTTTGCCTCATCCCATTTCCTGCCCGCCGACGACGTCCACGGCTACTGCTGCTGGGGACGTGCCCCCATCGGCGTCTCCTTCACCTGGTCCCGCCGCCTGCCCGCCAGCTGCGTCCGCAGCTCCACGCGTCCCCATCAACGTCTCCTTCACCTTGCCCAGTTGCCTGCTGGCCGACAACGGCATCCTCGGCTGCTGCTGCTACCCGCGCTGCCACTGCATCGCCTCGCTGCTGCCCGCGCCACCACTGCCGCCACCAAGGACCATTGCCTCATGCCCTCCTCCAGCGAAAGTGGCACGGAATCAAAAAAAAATGCAGCCCCGGTAGCAAGACATGCGGATTGGATGGTATATTATCAAAGGCACACGGATTAGATGGCATATTATCAAATTTCTCAAACAAACCAAATGAGTCCTATATTCATTTCATTCAGAGTTCAGGCTGTTAACGATCATAGATACAGTAATCAAGCTCAGTTCTCACGGATTAGAAATAGATTTATCTAAATGCATGATCAATCTATTAGTATGTAGTACCCACAAAGTTTCGAGATTCCAAAAATATACCCCACCGCCGCGCCGGACTCCAAAATCCCTACCATTCGGATGTGTATTCTGGGCCACGAACGTGACAACGCCTACTATACAATGCCATTACCAAAACCAACAAACCGCCTATACAGCAGCAGCAGCAAAAGGCAGCAAATGCCCGGGGGGTGCGAAGGAAGCTCACAGCGCGGGGAGCGGGGAGCAGCGAGGGCGGTGGCGGCGCCGGAGAAACGAGTCGGCGGCGACGGGAAGCCACCGCGGCGTGGCGGCCACGAGCGAGCTCGCGAGCAGCCGCTGAATGGCCATGGCGCCGCCCGGCGCGCGGGGAGGGGGAGGAGACCCGCCGCCGCTAGGGTTCCAGCCTTCCGGTGGCTCCCCGGCCCGCGGAGCGCCTGGCTCCGGCCGCCTCCGTGGACGCCGGCGGAATGAGACCGGCGGCCCACCGCCACCGCGAGGGTTTTGGGGGAAGCGAGGAGCGGAGAAGAGGAGAGAGATATGGGCGGTTTGGGGTTTTGGGAAGTGTCAGGGCGCGAGCAGCCAAGAGGCGGTGTGGGGTTGTGGTTGTGGCTTACGGCCGCGCGCTTCTCGGGGTAGTGCGCACACGTCCCGACGTGACGTGACTGATGGGTGGGCCATGGTTTCACGGGCTCACGGTCCATGGGCTTTTTGTATTCTGGGCTGGCTGAACAACCTCAGGTTGTTTAAGCTGTCTGATTGTTTGCATTTAGCGCCTGATAAAAAGACCAGGCGACTACAGTATCATTACCCCCATGGTCCAGTGTTCCATCAGATTTGTCACGGTTCGTATATATATTCAAAAATAAAATAAAATGGAGAAGCCTACCACGGAAAAAGCGATCTTTGACACAGGATTCTCGTTAATAATCAAGTCACGTAGGCTGCAAAACAACATGTACATGGGCACATGGCATATCACATTCACTTGGGCGATGTCGCTGGGATGCAGGAAGCAAAATCAACCCCACAGAAGTTAAAGCAATCATCAAACTCTTCCTGTTCTTGTTCTAGTATAAGCTATAGATCGAACCCGGCCGTCCTTTTTTTTCTCCAATCAACTAATGTTTTCACGGTCTGTATCAGTCAAATATTCAAAGCACCCTCCCGTCCATCCCATCAAGGAGGCCGGACCACATCCCCTTCACCGGCGGCAGCTGCGCCACGAACGCTTGCCACGGCGGGTACCCGACGCCGCTGCCACGGACGCGGCCGTCCAGCCGGAGCGAGAGATACCTGCAAGAGTGATGCGGTTTCAGTTCAGCAGCTGCAGAAACTTCAGTTATATTTTCAGACAAATTCAGAGTAGTTTTTGATACTCACACGGGGGAATCAGGTGACACGTTGGCTAGCTTCTTCTGCTCATCTAGCCATCTGCAAGAAGCAGCAATCGATTTGAAAATGAGATACTAATTTGCATTTGAATTTCGATTGACATGAAGAAGAAATTTAAGCAGCTAAATTCATGGGATCCCGGCTTTGCGCGTACTTGGCCCATTCAGAAGTGTAAACCGGAGTGAGCTGCCAGAGCCTCCGCTTCATCTTCCCAGCCGCCGCCGCCGCCTCCTCCTCCTCCTCGTCGGCCTCGTCGAACTGCAGGTCCGGCGCGTTGCCGTCCGTCGAGAAGGGCACGACAAGCACGCCGCGCTCCATGAGGTCCTTCAAGAACGGCTTGCTCCGGCGGAACGACTCGGTGACGAACGCCGCGGGGCCGGCGACGATGACGAGCCGCGCGGTGCCCCTCAGCTCGCCGAGCGGGACGGGCGGGCGGCCCTCGCCGGCGCGGATCCTGAGCCTGGACAGGTTCTCCTCCCGCGTGAGCTTCGCCACCTGCGCGTCCTTGGCCTTGCTCTCGCGCCAGTAGAGGAACGCGAAGACGGAGACCGCCGCGACGTCGATGCCCAGGCCCTTGAGCGTCTCCCCCGCGGCGGCCGCCCTCGCCGGGCTGGACAGCGCCGGGATGAGCTGCGTGAGCGCGATGAGGGCCCCGAGCCCGGCGCTGGCCATGAACGCGAGGTAGAAGAACATCCGCACGGAGCGGAACGGGGACAGCACCTCACTCCTTATCTTTGCCATGGAGGTCGAGCTGCAAGAAACGAAGCAAGCCATGACGATCGACCGACGACGACGAGCCCAGAGCACCCCAGCCATCGAGCTCCGATCAACACAGAAACAAGAATATGGGGGGCGGCTAGCCGGCTACCTTACCTCGGTGCCCGGAGCGGTGGAAGGAGAAGGCTTGTTCGCCGCCGAGCAGCGCACGCCGCGGCATGCTCCGCTGCTGCAGGAGCCGGAGACCGCCGATGGATTGCAAGAAGCTGGCCGTAGGAAGAGGAGAGGGCTCAGAGGAGTCCGGAGGGAGACGGAGGTGAGAGATCGCGGCGGCGACGGCGGCGGCGGCGCCATCGAGCTGCAGGCCTGGGTGCCTGCCTGCCTGCAGAGTGCAGACCACCACTGCTCGCTATGGAGGGTAGGATTTCTTTTTCTCTGTTTTTTTCATCCATTTTAGCTTTTCTAACTGCCACTTGATTTGTGGCGGCAAATGCAACAGCGAGGGAGGCAGGGGGAGGCGCTGGCTTGGCTCTGTAGCAGCCGCATGCCGCCCGCATCCACTCTGCTTGCTAGTAGTACAACCAGGTAGGGGTGGATATCGAGCCACTCGGCTCGGCTCAGCTCGCTTTGCCTCGTTACCTTAACGAGCTAGCTCGGTTTGGATCGTTAAGACTAACGAGCTCAAACGCTGACTCGGCGAGCTGGCTCGTTGAGCTTGATTAGCTCGTTAACTCAATGAACCAGGCTTCCACCATCAGTCCATCTGTGCGTGTGCATGAGTGCATCACAGTCACGTAATAAGAAAACAAAACTACAGAATAAGATCACAGTCTCATAGATTCACAGATTGTTAGAATTCAGAGAACTCTATGAATATTAATTAAAATAGCATCACAGATTCACAGTCACACTCTCACAGATAACATACTCAGCAAATAGCATAGTAGCAGCAAGTACTTAGCAAATAGCATAATAGCAAGTTCTAGTATTAGTCTGTTATATTCATTGATCCACATATCCTAGATCCAATCATGCATAAGCATAATCGATAAATAATATCCATTGATCCATAATAGCATCGCTGTTAAGAAAAGCAAAAGCCCTTTGAAGTTGCAACTATTTTGTCTTCAAAGCCACCTAAAAGATCTTATCAGCCTCAAAAAATGTCTTGACAGCCATCCAAGCATCTAGCAGTCCCTACAAAATTAGATAATCTTACATGAGTATTCTTGTCTTCAAGTCTACATACTTGTATACATATTTTTACAAACATAAACACCCTTGGACCTCACCACACCATACATTTGAACAAATCATCAGAAGACAGAAATCTTACAAAATGTCTTACCTCTACTATCCTAGTTGCTAGCAACAACACTCTCTGGAAATCATCTAGTTGCTAGCAACATCATCCTTATCATCTTCCGCCTAAAAAGAAAATTGCAAGTTCAACTTAAGATATAATGCAATTATAAACTGGTAAAGAAAAATGCAAGTGGTTGATATGAGAGATCATACCACAGCCATTGGAGGTGTCTTGTTATCTTGAGAACCACGTATCCAACTAGAAGCACATATTAGTGCTTGAACCATTGATGGGCGCAAGGAACTTCGGTAATCATCAAGCACTCTTCCACCAGCACTAAAAGTTGTTTCAGATGATACACTAGACGCTGGAACAGTCAAGAATCTCTTTGCCAACCTTGACACAACAGGGAACCTGTGAGTATTCAACCTCTACCAATCAAACAAAGTGAAATCCTTGTCCGTTAAAGGATGATTTGGTTCATCTAGATAGATTAGCCATTCTGACTTAGATACATTTGCAGAGCTAGATTGCAAAAATATCTAGAACTCACTTGAAGATTTAACTGAAGCTAATGAGTTACTTGTGTCAATGGTTGAGGTGGATGTTTCATCCCTTCCCCTGTTTCTTGCAGCCTTCTCAAGGCGATGCGTCGTTTCAGCCGTGGCAAAGAGTTCATCAACTTCTTTCCTCAACTTGACCAGCTTCCTCACCATACATTTGAACAAAACACCAACTCACATACCTTATCTTAAACCTAGGATCAAGGGTAGTGGCAATGATCATAAGGTTGTTCTTCTCTTTCCAATATTTATCAAACTTTTCCAAAATAGCTTCAACCATATTCTTCAAAACCTTGTCCCTATTAGTAGACTTAGATGCAGCAAGCAATGCCCTCTTCACATTCACAATGCTTGGATAAAAAACATTTGCTGTGGGGTATGTAGATCCAGAAAATACAGTAGTTACTTCAGCAAGTGCCTTCAATATTGGATGAATTTTGGAAAAGACTAACCAATCAGCAAGCAAAGGTTGCCATTGGTATTTAGCATCCACATAGGCATATTGAACAAAAGCATCCTTGTAAAACTCACAAGCACAAAGCATCTTATAGGTTGAACTCCACCTTGTTGGCACATCAAAACACAAACCTTTTCCAATAGGCAATGCAATTTGTTTACATACCTCTCTAAATCTATGCATACGAGAAGGAGACTTCTTAAAGTACTTGCAAGTCTCTCGAAGGTTTACTAGCAAAGGTCCCAATGGTGCCAAGCCATCATTCACTATCAAATTCACTATATGCGAGTAGCAACGAACATGAAAATACTGAGGCATGAACTGTGATGAACCCCTAGCAATGAACTTGTCCTTTAATTTGCCAACAACACTATCATTATTAGAAGCATTGTCAAGGGTAATTGAGATAACATTATCCTCTATATTCCATTCAGTTATTCACTCAAAGATTGCCTGAGCTATCTCAACTCCAGTGTGTGGTGGATCCAATTCAATAAAGTTCAGTACACGACACTGCATTTTCCAATTTTCATCTATGTAATTAGCTACCAATGCCATATAGCAAATATTTTGGTTTGAAGTCCATAAATCAGTTGTCAAGCTTACATGATCAACACTTTTAAGAGCTTTCCTAAGAACCTCTTTTTCTGTATTGTAAACATCCACACACTCTTTTCTAATAGTTTTCCCACCAATAAATTGGTATGCTGCATTCATGTATTTCATCAAAATATTAAACCAGAGGTGCTCTACCATCCTAAATGGATATTCATGGACAATTATCATCTTAGCAATGATTTTACGAGTGGCCTCATGATCATAATCAAAAAGAGTAGCAATGAGAGAGGCACCTGCCATGTCAGGATTAAAGCCAAGCAAAGCTTGAGCCTTCTGCCTGCCCAATTTGTTCAAATATGCCGTGCACTTCTTTATATGGCGATTGAGAGTTGAAGTAGCACCACCTTTCTTATAGGCAATGAGCCTATAGCAAAAACTTCATTTGGCCTTCGTCTCAGTGGCCCCTTTCTCCGTTTTTGATGGAACATCCACAACCTTGAAAAGCTTCCAACAATCTGAATGCTTAACCCTTGCCACACTCTTTGCAGGGGATACAAAAATAACCTTCTTTCGTTTCCCTTTCCTCTTTAATCCTTGAGATCCAGAGTTGCCCTCATCTGTAGATTCCCCATCCACTTCCTTATCTTGACTTGAGGAATGAACTGACAAATGTGAGGGTGTGCTATTAGACGAAACAGACAGCATAAAAAATTCTTCATTTTTCGAGTCTGATCCCTGCAAGTTCAATTAAATAGTCAGATTGTTATGCTATTGCTTACCACATAATCAGTACAGGAGGGTATAACATAGCTAAGCCTACAGGATATCTCAGTACAAGTTGATATGGTTTTTATTGGAAATCTTAGCTTAATAACCAAACGAGTTGTATGGTTCAATCAGTGATAAAATGAGGAAACAAAATTGCTATAGATTGTGAAAAAAATTGATGCAGCACTTGATGTGAGGTTGGTGGATTTGATTTAGGTCTTTGTCTTGGTGGCTTCTGAACAGAGGCGAGGTGGCTGCCGCCTAGACAAGCTTCTGATGATTTCTTCCCCTTGCTGCGGTTCTTGGACTCCATGCTTGCCAATCGGCGCTCCCTATCCATGAAGGCCCTGCGGCGGCTACGGGAGAAGGGGCGTGGTCGGCGTGGCCTGGCGGCTGCGGTGGGAGGAGCGGCGTCATCGGCGTCGTCGGCATGGCGCTGCGGCTGCGGGAGGAGGAGTCGGTGGGCAGGGCAGCGGCAACGTTGCGGCCTGTGGCGGGCCGGTGGTGCAAGGAGAAGGGCAAGGGCGCGAGGCAGTGCTGCGGCGGCGCAAGAGAAGGCCACGGCGGCAGCCTGCGACAGCATGCGCAAGAGAGGCGCCTCGGGCCCTCGGCTGACTGAGGAAGGTCAAAGCTAGGGTTTTTCCTTTTTACTGGGTACTTGAGCTGTTGGGCTGGGAACTTGGGCTTCCTTATTGGGTTGGGCTGCATGTCTAATTTTTGAGCTATGCGAGTTTAACGAGCCTACCGAAAACTCGCGAGCTGGCTCGGGCTCGGCTCGTTTGCTTAACGAGCAAAACAGCTGGCTCGGCTCGGCTCATTAAGACTCCAAGCTCGAGTCGATCCGAGCCGAGCCTGAAACGAGCCGATCCGAGCCACGAGCTTCGAGCTTTTTGCCCAGCCCTACAACCAGGTTTGCTAGGCTGTGCGCCTGTGCCTCTGCTTGCTGAAAACCTAAAATCCATCCATATTTTCGGTACTTCGGTTTACCCAAGCAACTTCATAGAGTGTGAGAGCCCAGTATCCAAGTCTCTAGCAGGTGGGGCCATCCTCATAAGCCTACACATTAGAGAGACATGTCCCTCTAACGTCAGAGGAGGCTCGTGGCCACGCCAAGTGATGTGCTGATTTGAGTTCTGGAAACAGAACCATTGTACAACTGTTGTTCAATTACATAATGATATACAATCTCAAATCTGGTGCTATGTGAGTTCTGGGAGCAGACTAATTATCCTTGTGCATTCGCAAGAACCAAGTTGCAGGAAAAACATGGTTACGGACTTGAATCTTTGGACAGTTGATTATCCGTAGGAATTGGAGAGATCGAGAGAGGACAGCAACTGCAGTTCGTCAGGGAGTGATAATAAACTGATAATAAAGTAACAGCTCTTGGAAAAACTTTGGGCCTTGACATTTTCTGGTTTCTGGGTTCAGTGCATCCGGCCTAACTCTTCGGGATTCCCCCGCTGAAAAATTTCGTTCAACAATTAGCAAGATCTGTTTAAATTTGATCCAATATTATTTGAATTCGGATCAAATTATTATAGCTTCCGAAATACAGAACCCAGTTTCTAAAATTGATTTATTGGATTTTTTTGGGCCAACAATTGGCGCTGTAGAAGCCCAATAAGAGGCCACTTGAATGAAATCCAAGCCCAAGTCTACATCTTCGACAGAGCGGCGGCCTCCTCCGCCGCACGGGGAACGCCCGCCGCGAGCCCCGCACGCACGGCGCCCGCGAACCTCTCCATGGCGCGCGGCGGCAGGCACATCGGCACGGCGATCCCGCCGCCGCGGGCGGGCATGTGGAACGTGGCCAGCGTCGTCGTGGCCGGCCCGCCGAACAGCGGCCGCCCCCACCCGAGGTCCACCTCGTGCAGCGGCGACTTCGTCAGGTCGGTCACCAGGTACGTCCGCGCCGTCGTGAACCGCCGCCGCCCGCGGAGCACCACCGCGTCGGCCGCAGACTGCGCGTAGCCGTCGGCCATGGTCCGCGCCCTCGCGGCAGCGATCAGCTCCACGGCGCGGGACAGCGGGCCCGAGCAGAGCTCGCCGGCCGTCGTACGCGCCACGCCGAACGTGAGCGCGTTCCCGTAGAACCCCTCGGGCAGCGGCCTCCCGCCGTGGCCGCGGCCGCGGCCGTTCACGACGAACATGAACCGCACCTCGTCGCCGGGCGCGTACCCGAGCGCGGCGGTGCGGCAGCGCCAGGTGAACGCGGAGAGGAGAAGGAAGCGCGAGCACCGGGGCCCGAGGCGCGCGGGGAGCTGGCCGCGCAGCGCGGCGACGTCGTCGGGGCCGAAGAGGAACCTGCGGTGCACGAGCTCGTCGCCCGGACGGAGCTTGTCGCTGGCCTCGTCGGACGCCGGCTCGTACTCGGGGTGGTCGTACGCCGGGCGCGGCGGGTGGCGCGCGTCGAGGAGCTCCCTCGCCCACACCGGCCGGACGCTGGGCGCCGCCGCGCCCTGCGCGAGCTCGCCGACGGCCTGCCAGAACTGCGTGATCCCCGCCGCGTCGACGAGGTTGTGGCAGATCTGGGTGCCGAACACGAATCCGCCACACCTCAGCCTCGTCACCTGCATGCATGGCATCATGAGCACGTATACGTCACGTACAAATGGAGCAAAAGTTGCAAAATTTTATTCAAGTTTTATGACGACGTGTGTACCTGCACATAGAGTAGTGGTCGGTCGGTGACGACGGCGGAGTTGCTCTCCGGCAGGGTCAGGAGCTCGCCGGCGCAAGGGATCGGCGGGCACAGCGAGTCACCGAACTCCTCCAGCGAGACGTCGGCGTCGGCCTCGACGAACGAGACCCCCTCGCCGGTGCAGTCCACCACGAGCTTCCCGCCGGGAAGCTCCCGGATCCTCCCGGCGATCGGGTAGTAGTGCACGAGCGCCGCCGCAAGCGCGCCGCGGATGACCCTGGCCGGGTCGCCGCCGCCGGACCGGTAGAAGTAGATGATGGAGCGGTAGAACCGGAAGCTGCGCTGGTCGTCGATGTCGGAGAGCCGCCGGAGCCCGCGCGGCGTCGGCCCGGCCGGCGCGACGAGCTCCGGGTCGCCTCGGCGCGCCGTGAAAGCCAGGGACGATGACGCCGCCATCGATCGATCGCCGTACGTTCGCCGGAGCTATAGCTTGACGATCGAGCTCACGCGCTCGGACACCGAAATGGCTCACGTAGTACGTTTTCCTCGTACCACGCATGCATCTAGCCAGCACGCGTATATAAAAGCGGGGGAGAGTCGGATCGGGCGGTGAAGATAGTTTGGTCACTGCATGCGTCGTTGAAGCGGCGTACGTTCTTTCTCGGTCCAAACTTTCTACTCCGAATAGATAATGCGCCGGTTAGAAATTCCTCAATCGGTCGAAGTCTCGAGGAGGGCACCGGGCGGTGACGGTGAGACGCCGTTGTGGCGACTTTAGAAACCTAGAATTTCCTCAGCCGGACCTGGTATGTTAGGCTGGTATACTTGCATGCCGTCCAGATTCCGAGACCGGAGATTCAATTAAATTAATACTAGTACGTTTAATTCTAACTGATCCTCTCTGCACACGGTGTTGCTCGGTCAGTCAGTCAGACACCCACCAACCCAAATCCCTTTTTTTTTCAAAAGCTTTGGGTTCCTGCAGCCAGTGCGGTTCTAAAGAGTAAAGATGATTTTCGCGTGATGGAATTTTACTGACTAATCTGGCTAATCAAATCAATTAATGTGGCGCACCCAATCAACTGATCAAGTAGGAATATTATGCTGGATCGCCTGATCTAGGAGACTAGGACGGCATGATTGTAACCTCGACAAAAATATCGAGGGCTATTTTGAAATGCAGAAATGGAAAACTACAGGAATATATGAAAAAAAAATGTAAGAACATCATAGGAATGTTAAGGCCTCATCGTTTGGCTTTTTTCCCTAGGGAATAAAAATAAATTTGTAGGTAAATTATATATATATATATATATTCTTGGTGACTTAAATCCAATGCTAAAAAGGAACTACGTTGAAAATATCTCAAAATTAAGTTTGAAAATTTAAAATTTAGCTTTTTCTTTGTTTGATTAGGCCATCCGATGGGAGCTTAACCTTAGCAATCGACTTCATAGTCCATAGTCCTTTGTCGCCTGCCCCATACTGGCGGCCAGACTTGATAGTCCATAGTCCATAATCGAAGTTGACTATCAATCAGTTCTTAGAATCTTTAAACTGCTCTAAACAAACCCACTGTACGACAGACTCAGCAGCAGACGGACAACCTGCTCCCGCTCCTTGCGAAGAACCGGCATTATCCTAACCATTAAACCTCATCACTGGCTAGGACACTGGAGCTTTGCTGCTCCTGGAGACTGGAGTGGTGAATTACTGGCAAGGGAACCCAACTAATTAGAGACAATTTGACGCCGTAAAAATTTCAACAAAATCCACTGCGCTGGTGAAGGTGTGAACTTTGTATGAGTTCAGAGCTAACATGATGTTCGCGTTGCTGGTCCGAAACATACCAGAAACCCCAGAACAAAAACCAAGTTTTGGGCTAGATTGGGACCTCCATAAGCAAGGCAAAACCAAGAACGAGGCTGACAACTGAGAATTCACACCTAGCAATTCCAACGGAAATCATACAGCAAATGAAAATGGGGCAGACACTAGGTCTCTCCATGAACCTACACTATCCTTTTTCTTTGTACAGTGTAAGCACTAAGTGGTACAAAAGGAAAACACTCATTAACACTCACCATGCTGACAAAAAGAAGAGGTTGAAAAAAAAAAGGAATACATAATCACACAAAGAGAAAAAGAAGGGCAGGAGCTCGATACACAAGGGGCTTTGTTTATACTATACACATGCACAAACAAATGAAACCCAAAAATGCACCCCTGCCAAACAGGTATTCATACAGAACACAAATAATAACAGGGCGTTGTGTTGCACCTCAGGTCATTGGTTAGCATCAATCGGAGCGCCAGACCTTGCTTGTGAAATCCGGTTTGCGTAGATAGTTACAAGGCGCAGCTGCGTGCTGTTAAGCCCTTCCAAATACGGGACGAATGCCTTCCCAAGCATGATGTAGATATCCACCAAGCAGAATACAACAGTCTAAAAATATGAAAACAATACTATCAGATATGAACCGGGATGATGCATCACGAATTGATTCATGGTGAAAATGCAAGAACTATAGCAGGTTGAGACATTTAGAGGCTTAACCATTCTAGGGCATGCCAGAAATCAGGGTTACACAGAGATGTATGTGGATATTGTACCAGACACACACAAAAAGAGAAAAGAAAAGAAAGCAACGTAACAAAGGAAGCTGCCGACTTAACTAACTTCAACACCGGCACATCGAAATGAGTAGTACTGCATGGGGATGACAAACTATGGAAAAAAGACAATCTCATCCAGTACCAGCTTCAAACTAATCTTCATCCTCCATGTCCTAAGCTCGTAAAACACTGAATGTTCCAAATAACCAGGGCAGGTAAAAAGATTATCGTGAAAATATTTCAGTGGGCAAGAGCAAGTGATACCTAGACTGCATCAGAAGCTAATGGACCTAGTATCAGAGATGGGCAGGGTGGCTTTAATTCAGGAACTATAGGAAATAGGCATTTGTAAGCGGCATCCCTAATGTATAGCATGCTTCTCTATGTAAACTGTTACAATTCCATTCCACCAGCCTATCCTCTCCAGCTCATATTCCACTCACTGCCTGAATGTTATTAGAATTTAGTCCAACCAGAACTTAAGCCATGGACAACCATTCCACAAATCCTACCTTATAAAATCCTCATAGCACCAAAATTTCAGTGAAATAAAAAAGCACTATGAGAAACAGAAGAAATCTACCATGACAAGAGCTACAGTATTACTGTATTAGTACCTACCTTTCGAACATCAGGGCTTTGGTTACTAAAAGCATCAAACAGTGCTGGCAAAAATGTGGGCAACTGATTCATCAATTCCTCCTCGGAAAGCCGTCCAACAAGCTGCAAGATTATCCAAACAGAACCAGCAGTCAACAACACTTGCTAAAATTATATTTGGTTTACCGGTTTTTAATCAGTCGGAGACACAATGCCTAGATGCTAGAGGTGTGCCAATCCAATTGTTTTATTCAAATACATATGATTCATGTGTCCTATGCAGGGCATACATTTACGAACACACGATTAGTTTATTGGCCGCATTCTTCCGCACAAAGTAGTAGAATGGCGTATATACTCAAACAACAGGTTGAAGAATTCAAGAAAGGGGCATCTACAAGACTACAACCCACTAAATTGTAACATTGAACGCTAAAGCAATTCAGATATGTTGCAATCTGACCACTTACCAGAGTACCCCCCCAAAAAAATCATAATATATACATGGAACTGAGAAAAAAGCACTTGCACAAGAGATCAGGAAATCTAACCAAAGGATGTGTAATACGTTAGGTTTGGTGGAGCAAAATAACTGATAGGACAACTCAGCAGAGAGTAATTATATTATCAATTGATGCTATTTACAAAAGATCAGATATATAAAGAACATATGATATGAACTTATTCACTAAAGAACCATGGCACCATGAAGTTTATATGTTATATTGTTATTATGTGCCATTCAAACTTAAATGGGAAACGCTCAAACAGTAAACAGGGAAAAACTGCAGGTACGAGACACCTTTGTCAAGGAGTTGATACACACAACAAGTGTCTTTTCATCATCACTGACCAATAGAGGCACCACAACCTGCAGTGGAAAAAAAATCATGAAAATTAAGATAAAGCCAACTACAATTAGTAGAACAGGAAGTAGCAGTGGTACATAAGACATAAGAGAAGTAGTTTGTACATACAGCAAGACATCTGAAAGGATCATATTTTGCTAACAGAACATTTAAGCACTGGTTTGCCTCATTTGAAATCTGCAATGCCACAAAGAATCTTAACACATAGAAGACGCCAAGGAGAACAGTTCTAGAGTTATAATGTATATATCAAAGGCATGCATACCTTTGCCACCATGTCTTTGGTAACATGCAGAAGTTTCTCCAGAACAATTTCAATAGATTCTTCCATAGCACCACTCTGACAGCACAATAGTCATCAGTAATTAGAAGTATGAAGCAATTAACTAACTTAACCTGTTCATCAACACAAAATTCTGGATACCTGATTGTTGAGCATCTCGGCAACTAAAGACAGAGCAATCTCCCTAGTAGATGAATCAGAATCATCCAGCACCTCAAGCACAGCCGTTAAGATTTGATTGAAATACTGTTGTATAATTGAAGGACTGTAATTAGAATGCAATAGTATAGATTGAAAATTTTCAGATCTACCCAAAGTTGATATAGAGATACAAGGAAGAAAATTTGTTAGTCTCCAAGCTTCAAGCTATAACATGGGTTCCTTTCTTTCTATCATGGGGAAACTTTGCTTCTTTTGGCATAAGACCAATCATAGTTGGCAAACATTAAGTCCGAGTATTGGACAAATAGATATGTAGGATAGAACCAGACAAACTGACCAAGCACAAGTGTGGCTATAATAAACAAAATATGGTCACCTAAGAGCACTCTTTAGTTTTACAAGCAAACATTGCATTCAGAGGTCCAAGCTACTTTTCAGAAATGGGAAAAAAAAGGTACATGTAAATTCTAACAGATGTTTGTCTAGTACAGACAGCCAAGAAAAGGGCAAGAAAGGCAACTGATTAATAACATGTGGAATATTCATTGAAAAACATCAGATTGCAAACCTTTGCCCAAATGGAGATGTCATTATCAACAGAAGCTTTAACCAACTGCTGTAATGCTTCCCGCTTTTCCAAACTTGAAACTTCGGTACCGTTGCTTATCTAAAAAGGTGAGAAACAAATTATTACTTGTACTTGATACACATTTTAGCGAAGAAGAAAAAAACAACAGAACCATAAGGTAGTGACACAGAATAAAGGATACAGAAACAGTAAAAGACTTTTTCATTGGTACCTGATGAAGAAGTTGTGGTATGCTCAGTTCGTTGTCAGCATGTAGGGTAGTCTTTATAGAACTAAGTTTCACAGCAATATCTCCCTCTTGAACATTTTCTTCAGCAGTAGAACCAACAGCATTGTGCCCATCAGAAGCAGCGCGATGGCTTAAGTCTAAGCGAGGAGTACTGATAGCAGTTTCATCATCCAAAGGCGCATCAGTTTTTTCAGGATAGTTTGGCCAAGAACGAGCAGTTTCCACTAGTGAGCTAGTATTATTCTTTGATTCTCTACTTCTAGTTAAAAGAACTTCACTTCCAGTGTCCAGTTCTATGCTTTGACTAGTATGATCTATGCTCATATCAGAAGTAGTTCTCGCCATAGGCGCATTACGCGGTGTTGACTCTTGCACTGAATTCATCCATTTCCCACCTTCAGCATCAAGGGAACTAGAGGAATACCGCCCAAATGGATAGCTTTTCTTTGATGCAAGCGCGTAACCATCTTCGGAAGAAGTTCCATAATCTGCTTGATCATAAGATTTGGGACGGGGACGATCTTTCTTGCTCTGTAAGTAGTTCACTAAATCAACTTCAATGCGAGGTGTGTATTGCTTCAGTGCACGCCTCAAGAGGTTTTGCTCCTCAACAGATAAGTTTAGAATAAAATTTAGCACTGCTGTTGAATCAAAATGAGAATAAACAGATATGATACCAGAAATGGATGCCTCCTTCAGTTTTGCATTTTTTTCATGAACTAAAGGTGCCAATTTTGAAAGCCACAGTTTAAGGAACCCACTGTTACTATAACCTTCAGAATCTACAGTGTACTTGCTGAACGATTTATTTGCGAACTCAAGAACAGCCAACTTTGCCTTTGGGGACCTCTGTTCATCTAGTGAGCGCACTAGGGCAGGTAGCAACATATCAATTGCATATGTTCTCCCAACAACATCCAAGGTTGATGAGCATGGTTTTTTTACCAATTCTTTTGGATCAATAAGCCGGGAAAAAACATATGGCAAAATTCTTTCAACATAACTCTCAAATGGCTTCTTGCAAGCTGGAATAAGTTCTGCAAGAGTAGAAAAGGCTGCTTGTGCAACCTTATGATGAGGGTCATCCAAATGACGAAAAAACAGCTTCATGACCTTTTCAAAATTCTGTGTAATTTCCTGAATACCTCTCTGGCCTTGTTGCAGAAGATTCCGAATAAATTCAAAAGCTGAGACTCTCACTACCCAATCCGAACTAGGGCTGAGACCCTCAGAAAGAGCATCACTTAGTGAAGCCAGTGCATCCGTATAACCAGACACGTCACCTGACTGTACTTGGCTATCGTCAAAGCTGTGCCTGATGCTGGCAGAAGCCCTTGACATTACTTGCTTCCTTAGAAGAGGTCTCTGGAAATTTGGAACATGATTATTATGTGAATCTCTGTGGATGGCATCTCTGTAGGGCATGTCAACATAGTTTTGAGTTTGGGGGAATCTCCTAGTTGACCGGATATCACTACCCTCATCCATGCGGCCTCCTTCTTGTGGCCTCTCCAAAGACCTTCTTGGAAAAGGCAGTGATAAGCTTGTCATGGACTCAGATGATATATTACCCAAGTACGGTGATCTTGATCGCTCTCTGGTGCCCAACTGGGTTGTCATTGACTCCAATAAGCGGGAGCCTCCATTTCGTGCACTAGCATTTATGGTGCTAGGAACAGATGAGTCGAGCAGTGCTGAATTCTGTAAGGACAGATGATTTGAAGCTGTTGCTGCAAGCGGAACAGGAGGATCACGAGACGATGGAGGATCAACCCCTGCACTAGGATTAAAAGGAAATAAGAAACTGATTTTTTTTATCATAGAAAACTAAGATGATAATATTGTCAGTCAATGACCAGGAAATACATGATAAAAGGCCATTTCTATTACTTAACAGTAATTGACAACTAAGCAGTTAAAAGAATACCAAGATCCAAGCTGGTTGAGCGGGTAGCTGAGATATTTTGCCTATCTGATATGCTTACACCTTTCAGCAAACTTTCAATGGCAGAAACCTTTTCTTTGCTTGAGTTAAGCACACTCTCTAGGCTTCTTTCAGAACTTCTCCCAACAGTCTTTGACTGTGACAAACGAAGAGTATTTGATGAAAAGGATGAATCTGAAGAAATAGCAGCAGTTTTGTCCATAGCAACAATAGCTGAAGTGCCATATCCAAGTGCACTTGTACCACTTGCATGTGATAAAGAACGAGAAGGCTGCACAACCCTCTCACGAAGAGAGGGTGAAGCATACCGCTTGTGCACACCCCCATCTTCATCGTTTATAGTCTGCATCATTTGTAGTTATACATTAAAGCGTGAGGGTGTGCTTATTTGTAGGGAAGTTGTAACGGGGTGAATATACAAAAGATAAGCATAATTCCGTACCCTCTGTATAGCAGGATCAAATGACATAAAAAGCCGACGTGAACGCTCAGGCCATGTCTTTGCAAACAGTCTATAACAACTTCTAGCAGTTGCACGGACCTGTGGAATTGTAAAAAGACATAACAGAAAGTAATCATCATGAGTATTGCCGAAACAACAATAATGCCCATAAAAACCGATGCTTGCTCGATTAATAGTAGCACAGTGATATACAATTTCATCCCCCCTTAATCAATATCCAGGTATAATATTGTTTATCAAAGATATAAATATTGACGCAGAACATGGGCCTGCCATTTGCTATGTAACCTACAATATTTTCTCTGGCATCTTTTGCTTTTCAATGCAGGGTAACACAGCAATCTAATTGGGCGCAATGGTCATTTCGCAAGAGAAACTCCACAGCTCATGTATTGTGCAGGTTCCTGAGGATCAACTTGCTGGTTTTTGTAAGAAAATTCAAGCTATGAACAGAAATTAACAAAATTCCTCATGTCCACCCCACCCCCCCCCCCCAAAAAAAAAAATTATATATATAAACAAATAAATAAATAAAAACAAATGCAGAGTACACGCTATACAAGGATCTTTATCTTTGTTTTGTTTTTTATGTGCAGTGGTATTAAAAATTGAATAATTACTTTCAATACAAACAAAGATAAAATAGGTGAGCCATGGAATGCATTCAGCAAAAGATCCTACCTCACTCATCGCATCTGCTACACAGCACTTTATTAGATCTTCGTATAAATCAGCTGAACGTTGTATCTCCGGGGCATCAGCCCAATACTCCAGTATTAAAAGAGCGTACTCGCAGCACCTAATACGGTAGATCGTAAGCCTCAAGGCTTCAGCACATTATATACATGGAAGCAGGAAGATAACCACACACAAACATATACCTAGCACGGAGAACTGCACTTCGGTCATTCTTTGCTGTGTCAGCTATGCGAGGAAGAATTCGTGAAATCTTGCAGTTCCGTAGAATCTGCAATATACCTCATGTCAGCAACAAGAGACTGAATGATAGCAACAAAATATATATTAAAAAATAACTCACGGTTTTTATGCATGTATCGGCTGATTCAGCTATGACAAGCACTGTTATGACAACAAGCTTAAAAAGCATCTGAAAAATTCACAAATATGTTAGTTTTATTGAAACAATATAAGGAAGAAAAGAAAATTTGTTTGTATATACCGGAATAAATAGTTCAGCACATGGCTCAAAATCACCAAGGAGTTCTTTGGATAGTACATTGAGTAGATGGCATGCCTGGTGAATAAAAAGAAGATGGTAAGGAAGTATCCTGTGAAATATGCAGCTCATTTTGGGCAACAAAGCAGGAAGAGAAGAAAAATTGTTGGAACTAAACAGCTACTCCCTTCGTTTTCATAATATTTGGCAATTGATTTACTTTGACCAATGATGTTTTCAAAATCGTTTGATTACGATGAATGGGATTTATATGTTTATATTCACCGTGTAACACACTTCATTAGTATGATATATATTTTAATAATCATAAGTTTATTTATAAAACAGGAGTGGTCAAACTAAAACAATGCCAAGTCGAATTGCCAAGTATTGTGAAACGGAGGGAGTATGTACTTACCAGAAGAATTGACGGGTGAACAACATACCTGTTTTACAATGCTAGACCGTCGATCAGACAGCTGAGTTGATAGAGGTGGAACCAACTGCTTCAAGAGCATAAGAAAAGATGGATAATCAATAGCACCTGACAAGATAAATAAAAACATTTTAAACTATCATACAGAATCATATTAGCAATCAATAAGGGGTTATCTGTTCATAATGAATGATATAGCTTTGATATCAATATGAAGGCTTAAAGTGACAAATTTCAGTTGCATCATCAAGATTTTCAAGTCCATAGTTCTTTTGTTGAACAAATATCACTAGATAGTGCTAATTTATTGAAGGGTGTTGCAGTGATTTCCTAAAGACATAATTACCATTTATTTCACTTCACTGAAAATTTCAAGAGCATGAAATCAATTAGGTTTGTTGCATAGTTATCAACAAAGGGACAGTGACAAAACGTTTACATCTACATCCTAGCAATGAGGTATCATCTCTGGATAGAAATAACAGTTTCTAATTTGTACAATCAATACATGCTACGAAGTCTCTGCACACAGTAATCATTAACGAGCATATTTGCACAAAACATAATCAAGGACAGTAGCATATGGGTGAATTCAGAGCATCAAACCTCCATACACCAAAGCTTCAATCCTTTGCATGGCAGCAATACGCACGGACCAGTCCTTTTCTGGAACAAGGGTAGCTGCAATCTTCTCAAACTCCCGAAGTAATTCTTTCTCTGAGTGAACTCTTACTGGTTCCACTGGTTTTTCTGTTATATCCGTGTCCCCTGTAAATGAAAAAAAAAAAAGGTATAGTACACAAGGAACATAGTATATGTATCACAGGTGTGAAATATCAATCATAATTTGGATACAAATTTCAACATATTTGCTGGCAGAGGACCATTCACTTCTAAGAAAATACTGGTTTATTGTGGTACATTGTATACTCAAGTGCTCGACAGAAGTTTCAGGAAAGACAGCTCAACCACATGCCTCCATATTGCATTAAATAAAAGTAGTGCTCCACTAAACCAAGAAAATATGTAAGAGCATTTGAACCGGCAAAAAATATATGCACATCAACATATGAAAGGGATCAAGGTTACAGATCATTTTCATAAGAACTGGTATGCATGTAATAAGTATGTGGCACTGCGGTGTACCCTATGGCTGATAAGCATATAGAAATAGTAGCCCCACTAGATCTCAAATTTGTAGATGTGCTACAGGTTATGTCATAATATTATAGACAGTTGTCCATGTAGATTATTTTCTAAACAAATATATTTCATTGCTGTATTGCCAGATCATACCAATGTATCTGGAAAAAAAAAGAATCATATCTGGTCAAATAATCCCTGAAAGTAAACATTCTATTCAAGCCAATTATATTTCAGTGTCAGTACACACAATATAAATGTAACTCAAGAACTGGAATTTGATTTTGCTGGCAAAGCTCAGAACTGCTAAGTGAGGGTATAAAATTAGCAACAAAAGTATGTTTTGTGCAGCTTCTTGATGACTGACTACACCTTACCATCATAGCATGGTAAAAGCGTTTATAGCATCTACAACTGTCCATCCAGATAAAGAGAGAGAACAGGAAGGGCATCTCCTGGTGACTAAGAACAACCTAGATTTGCTTCAAGAAATCGCTTGTGCCAGTAATGTCCTAAATTGTCCCTGCTTGAATGAAAATATAGCGAAATGCCCATGCAAATTTCACTGGTACATAGAACTTACCTCCGAATAATGTACTTTCCCGTGGTGTGCTTTTTGTCCTTGGACTGCCTCTTTTCGGATTAACACTAACAGATCTAGATTCGACAGCCTTATATTGCATGATATTACCATCAGATGTGGGAACCTTTGGTTCTATTCTTTCCAATCTTGAATTTATCTCCCTTAGCTGTGGACATCAAATAAAACAGATTAGGGTAATCTACACATACTCCTCGCATTTCTTCAAAAACATGGACCCATAAGAGCTCAACCATCCATGGTAATGCTACTACAAGCCTCCTACTCCAAAATTAAAACATTATAACAGTGTACTATGTCTATCACATTAAAAAAGTGTCATAAAAACTGCCAAGGAAAACAAACAAAAACGTATGAACTGTGTGGTTTGCATAATAATAAAATAGATGATCATATAACCATGAAGAGGGATTTTTGCCCTCTGACTCTAGGGAGTAAAAGGAGGTTGTAGTAAGACAAATAGGCACAATAACTAGATAACCAAATGTATTACCATGTACGGAGGTAAGTTATGGCGCTGCAACTCTTCATGGAACTGAGATCCCATATGTGTGTACATCTCCTGCAGTCAAACACAAACCATGAAACTGAGAGCAATATAAGTAGAAAAATATGAAAAGCATTAGCTGAATCATTTAGTTTGACGTCAGCTGACCTCAATGCAATAGATAGCAGCATCTCGAACACTTTGATTTGAATCATTCATCAATTGCAAGACCTGGAAAGCCAGAAAATCTTAGCAAGCCCATCTATTAAAGAAATAAAGTAGGAGCTCTCCACAGGAGAAATTACTAAATGAAGCCTAGACTTACAGGTGAAAGAAGAACTCGTTGCAATGGGAGCTCGGTTGAAGCAAAAAGCCCAACCGCGGTTGCCACTGTACGTACAAACTCTTCCCGGACCCTCCAACTCTTGTGAGTCCATGCATAACTTCCAGCTCTTTCAACTATGATTGTCGGCGAAGAAACCTGAGATACAGATAGATTAAAAGGTTAGCTGCCAATAATCCAAAACCCTGATAATAAGACAAACATGTTTGGATTGGTCCTTTCAAATCATAGGATGAATGTAGAAAAGTAAAAAAAAAAAAAGGTCTAAAAATGATAGCACGTTTAGTATATATAAATCAACATTGACAAGTAAAAGAGAAAAGCTATCATATATTTACACTATAACACCAAAAAATATATATATATCAGCACAAAAGGGCAAAAGAAATATCTTTGAATATGAGTATTTGAAAGTTAAATCATCTGCTCCGAATAAAGGTCAAGCCACTACATGCATGGAAGAAGTTTCAAAGTTCACTTGTATCCCACATTTTAACATCAAACCCGGTAAACAAGTGCTCCCTGAAAATCATATTTAGTGTTTTGATCAATTTTGGTATTAGGGCCTATCAATTTATTGTAATGTGCCGGACAATTTTAGTTTTCTCATTTAAGTTCGGCTGTGCAGCTCAACATCCCCAATAAACGAATCGAACTACTCAAAAACAAGCCCACAAGATGCCAAGCCTGCTCCTTATCTAACACTAACTCGTATTTGCAGCTCCATCCAGCTCCCAAACAGAACGAAAAAAAAACAACCAATGAGATTGCAAGCAACAGGAGCGGACCTCCATGAGGGTGATGAGGAGCTGCCGGGCGGCCTCGCGGACGGGCTGCTTGCCGTCCCCGAGGCGCTCGACGGCGGCCGGGACGAGCGCGTTCAGGTGGATCTTAAAGTGGTCCCCGGCGACGACGGCGGCGGCGGAGAGCGCCTGCAGGCCGCCCTGCGCGACCCGGAAGTTGGCGTCCCGTATCAGATCCATGCAGGTGTCCACCAGCGCCGTCACCTCCCCCGCCGTCAGCCCGCGCTGCCGCGCCGCCGCGTCCAGCGCCTCGTGCAGCCGCTCCACCCCGGCCAGCCGCTCCTTCGTGTCCTTGGCGCGCGCCGCCTCCAGCGCCGCCTCCATTTCCCCCCCGCCCCCACCCACTACACCCCGAGCGACCAAACCTAGGGTTTCGAGCCCGGAGGCGAGCGGCGAGGCGAGTCGAGGAGGGGGAGGGGAGGGGAGTGGCCGGATCTGGAGGAAGGAGAAGGGGAGTGTAAGCGCAGCGAGACACGAATGCCAGGGTGGTTGGGGGGGCTTTAGGTGGCTTTTGTGCATTTACACCCCTGGTTTTTCGTAACCTCTCGCTTTTAGGCCCCTCTTGGTTGCAAAGCCTTTTGAGGTGTGAACTGGACTCCATGAGCAGTGGGCCCCGCTACGAGCTTGCCTCAAATATCCGCGGCAGATACGAATTTTGGCCATAATTTGAGCAGCGGACAAAATTTGTGTCCCCTATTTGAAAGTGTAGTTTTGTTATGGCTAAAGCGTCGATACAGGAGTACTGGTACTACTGTCCGAACTGGCCGTTCTTAAGCATACAAGAGTACAAGACATGACAGAGTGTCGCAATCAAACAGTGCCAAAATCGTTTCGTATTGCCGTGATGATGTTGCCTCGTCGCCAATCCCTGGTTTGGTTTAATCCGTCACCAAAGTACTACTATTACTACCAATCACCTAACGCGAATTCTTGGTTGAATTCAACAGGAGCTGGAAGCACGTACTACGTATCACCAAATCAGGTCGAAAAATGCAGCTATTTCAGCAGACGAGCCCGCCTACAGTACTGGCAAGCAACAGCTACGGCGAGATGTTACATCCCAGCTAATCTTATCCTGATCTCTAAGCTAAGCAGTAGGACACGCACGCTGCATTCATTTCGATCACTTCGCTTCCCAGAAAGGCCGAAACAAATGGGAGACCCTGAAATTAATTCCACGTATCCAAACCTGAAAGTCTGAAACATCCAGTACTAAATAAATTTTGTGTTGCACTGATGCAAAGTCAGCGGTCTCAGTTCAGTAAGCTACTAAAAACAGTATTGAAAATTCAGTTAATTACACATTTACACTGCATTGTCCTAATCTGAATTAAGGTAGCTTACCGATGCTTCAAGGGATCGCAGGTACAGGTTGGCTCTCGATGGTTTAACTGACAATGATTACGTACTGAAGCCATCATTTTTTATCGGCTCGCTTTTGCAAAAAAAACAGTGGGGCACTCGTGCTGTCGCACGCCATCCGCGAGACCCATGATCCATCCAATCTTGATCTCTCCTTTTATTACTGACCATCTGCTTGCTTTTACCCCACGAGGTCACACCAGTCTGGACTAGCCTGGAGAGGCACACATGCTCTCACTCTCTCAGCATCGGCGTCGCTGGCTGGACTTCAGTGTTCAGCCGCCATGCATGGATGGACCAGTGCACGCAGGTGCAGCACTGCAGCTATGGCCGCAGCGTTTTCTCTGATGATTCACAAGGAAAAGGTTGAGTACTGCTGAGTAGGAAAGAGACGAGGCGTGATCTGTTTTTGCAAAGGTTCAACTCGGAGTAGTAGACAGTAATGGCTTTCTTTATAATAAAAAAAATCATAGGAAACTGTCAGGGTAAGAGCTCCAGAGCTCAAACGGGGGTGTCGTGTGGAGAGACAGACAGATGCGGGAGTGCAGCGGGTGGCAGATCTCAGAGGACGGGCAGCATCAGAATTCTGAAGGCGATCGTCCGTTCTCGCACGCTCTTTCTAGGCCTGGTCTTCAACTCCAATCATTTACCTCATCTCATACTTATGGAGTAGTAGTAAAAAGGTTTGAGACCAGCACATTTTCATGGCTAGTTGGCTACAAATGAAAGCCCGGGCTGAGTCGATCGACAAGTAGTGAACACTGAACAGCATGAACCCAATCATAAGAAGTCGATTGGTACTAGTACTGAAGATGTTGGATTAAGATTACCGAAGAAAGCTAATGTGACGTAAACATTGTTAGCTCTCGGTGGACTCAACTCAAATCGATCAATTGACCAAATTGGAACGGCCCATCAGCAGCTATTTAGCAGCGATTTGGGCCTTGTTGTGGCCCACGAATAAATGGACCTCTGATTTTAATGGCCATTGTTGGGCTTAAAGGCTATTTAATAGTCCAATTTCACGGAGGCACGAAGTTGTGTCTCAATTTCAATCACCACGAAATTCGGCCTAAAGGTTAACGTGGGTCGTTTTGGCGAGACATGCCGAGCCTGAGCTGGCTGCCTCGTGTTCGTTTTCGGCCTCCAATTGCCCCGTCACGTAGTCATGTAGCACGCATATTAAGGAATAAGTCTGTTTTTCCTCCTTCACGTCTTGTTCGAATCCCTTGGCTCAACCGTAAAACCAGTTATAACGTCTTTCTCATCTTGCAAACCGGTGTAAATTGACTCTTTTGGTGGTTTGGGAAGCGGTTCCTTCTCATCTAATCTTCTTCCTCCATCCAACGTTCCAATAGCAGCAGCAGAGGCATGCAGGGAGAGCGACGGTGGTGAAGAGCTGGAGCCCTACCCTCCTCTTGTGGCCACAGAAAGGCATATCATATATGTATTATGGGACCCACGCACCCGCATCGACGAAGGCGGTAGAGACAGTGACGGGGCCGCCGTGGAGGAGGACCAACTCAGTGATCTGTCGGATTGCCTGCTGTAAGACCTCCTCGCGCATCTCGGGTCCCATCAAGCGACGTGCGGAGCGTCGATAGCCGGACAGGGAGCTGCAGAAGGGGCAGAACCAAAACCATGTGTTGGCGACAACGCGGTTGTACGTGTCGCACCGCGCGTCATGGGGAAGAAGCGGCGGCCACATCCCAGGCTCGCTGCCGCCGAGGATTCCCCACGCAAGGAGACGACACTCACAACAGAGGTACTCCCTTCGTCCCATTAAGTGCACCCATAAGTTTTCATGCTCAACGTTTGACCGTCGTCTTATTTAAAAAATTTTAAAAGTTCAGTCCCTTATAAAGTACTATTCATATTTTATCATCCAATAAAACACAAAAATAATAATCATAAAATTATTTTAAATAAGATGGATGGTCAAAGTTGGACACTGAAACCCACGGCTGCGTTTATTGTGGGACAGAGGGAGTAAGTGGGGTTCTTCCGTCATTTCCGTGGCCATCACTTGACGGGGACAAAGAAGGGTCTGCTGCTGCTGGTCGTCGGGCTTAGCCAGGCTCGACCACCGCGGGGCGTGAAAGCATGATGTATGACTTGATCCCGAGAATGTACGGGACGACGAGGCTTAGCACGACTGCCCTCCTCAAGATGCCACCCTTGAGGTAGTAGCGAGAGAGAGAGAGAGAGAGGCGATGAAGAAGATGAGACGAGGAGAAGTCGTCGACAGATAGGTTCTACTTGCTGACTCAGCGAGTCAATCATGATCAACCTATCACGTCAGCGAAAACAGGTTCTCAGATCATTGGAGGATTCAATTTGAACCGGATTTTGAAAAATAGGGATGCGCTTTATCCATTTTTGTGGTTGATGAACGCGATTTAATCAGAAGCACGAGACGAGCAAGTCAAAATAGACTTTCTCGCATACTAATGGACTGGAGAAAGCATTTTGACTCCCTCCTATATTGGTTGAATATGATTCATACCACTCAGCTGTAAAATTGGGTATATCACCACTCACAAGAAACTGCTTTGAGAGTGATTTTAGTCGACATGGTTGTTCACGTGGCAGCTAGTTATCGAATAAATTTAAAAATTATGTGGGCCCATCCCTCCTATATCTATATCTCATATTCTCTTGTCTCAAAACAAATAAATCTAATACGGAATGTGATATCTAATGTCACGTCCTTTTATATCTCCTATCACATCTCGTAATAGGTTGGTTTATTCCACAAAAGGTTTGTTCCACGAAGTATGTCTCGATGTCATATGGCTGCGATGCTGACCGGCGCTCATCTGGGCCGTTTTTGGCGAGACAGGCGGCCTCCGTTCGGCCCGCCATGAAATCATCTGGCAAGCCTATTAATGGACAGAAATGGACCATACCGGGACGGCCCATAAGCTACCCGGCATGTCCGTACACGCCGAAGGCTCAGCCCAGATAGCGCGTGCGTGTCCCGTCACGGCCCACAGCCGAACGGTCACCTAACCAGACGCACGCATGCGTCGTCGTCGATCGTTCGTCGAGCTCTGCAAGTCTGGATCTTCCCGTCGAGTGTTTGCTCAGGACTCAGGAGGTTCAGTTCAGAAAACGGAACGCGACATCATCATGTAGAACACATCTACACAGTTAACTGCACACAGTTAAAGCACTGCAGCGTCGTTTTAAAGCTGGTCCCGATCGAGAAGAAGAGATAGTTAAAACACAAGTGCGTGCCTGCAGTGCTTCGGATCAAACGGCACATGCATATATGTATATGCGTACCATGAAGAGCCTAGCAGCCAGTCGCTCGATCGATCCAATGAGGAGCGGAGCTGGACCGATCTGGATCGAGAGAACACGATATGATCGAGCAGTTAATACGAACTGATCTCACTGTTTGTGTTACAGCGCGTTATGATTTATGAACTCACTGTTGTTACAGCAGGTACTCTGGCACAGCGAGACCACCGGGACGGCCGGAAGAGATTGGAATCTTCGGGCGCCGCTCCGTACGGCCGGCCGCGGCGAGATCGATCGATCTGTGAGTAATTTCAGTTTTCACGGCCGCTAAGCCGGCCTCGTCGACCTGCATTGCCCTGTCGTGTGAATTGTCGAGACTCGAGAGAGACCAGCCGGTCGATCGCGAGGAGTGTCAGCAGGAACTTCTGCGGCTGCTCGATCTACTCACATAAACTTTTAACTTTTCCATCGTATCGTGTCAATTTTAACCAAACTTTTAATTTTAGCGTGATCTAAACACACCCTTGATGGCCGGCCGTTCGGCGTTCGCGAGATGGGAGAGTAATTGTACGTCAGTAGCTTGCAGATGGATCGCCATTCGCCAGCCGATCTGCAGACCAAGTACATGTGTATCAGTCCACGGGAGCCAGCTGTTACGAGTAAATGCTCGCTTTAGCCTTTACAGTTACAGATGGTAGCTAGAACAGCAGAGAGCCAATCAGCCAACGACCGATCGGGTTTTACCTTGTCCCCCTCCTCTCCACAATTTTACTGTAGTACTCATGGTGAGTACTGTACAATTAACTGCATGGTCTAGATGTGAAGCTGCTTGATAGGTGCATGCATGTATCGGTGTGTATGGCTTTCCTGGTGGAACTCGCACAGCTCGATCGACGAGCTGTGCCTAAATTCCTGAACTGCTTCTTTCCTGAACTCGCACAGCTCGATGAAGCTCGATCGAGTAGTACATATATACAACGCTGAATATGAAATTTCAGAACACACCTACGTACACAGAGAGAACCGGAACTGGAACATGCATGCCACTGAATACGCTCCTATATATACATACGACGCGAGTTTGATAGCTGCTGGTGAGCGTTCGATCTCTATGTTTTGAGATAGATTTTTTGTGCATGCAAAACAAGAAATCTCATTTACACATAATTAATTAATTAAGTATTAATAATTATAAACTTAAAAATGAGTTTATTTGAATTTTTTAAATAACTTATATATAATTTTTATAAAAAATATCATATAACAGTTTAATAAGCGTGTTAACAGAAAACAAAGAAGTTTGAAGTTTGAAGTCGAGAAATACAACTCGATTACATCACAATTGGTAGATCATGGAGTAATACTCTGGGTGTGTTTAGTTTCTAAAAAAGTTGGAAGTTTGAAGAAAGTTGGGAGTTTGTAAAAAAAAAAAAAAGTTTATGTGTGTAGAAAAGTTTTTTTTATGTAATATGATGTGATGGAAAGTTAAGAATAGAGGAGGCTCTACCCCAAAATGCGTTCTTACAGCCCGATCTGGCAGATCAGTAAGTAGGAGTACTTCGCTGCAAAGCCTGTACGATTTGCAGAAGATGGAGTACATAGGACGAATCGCCGGCCGGCGAATATCTTTTTACAGCGCTGCGCAATTACGCCTCGAGATTTTATCTCACTCGCCGTACGAGCGTGCGACTAGTAGGCGGTATTAGCTATGGGTGGTGGCACACATTGATTGATCGATGATTTCTACCCCACCGCTTAATGAATCTCACATGGCGTGGCGTCCCCTCTGCTACGCGCATGCATGCATGCATGCATGCGCAATACGTACTGGATCAAGTACAATAAATGAAAGCTGGCCGTCTATACGTACGGTACGACGCAGTATACGGCCGCGATACATATGATGCTCCGTGTGTATACTGTATATACGGCCATGTGCACTATACATCGCAACTGTCGCTCTGAATTTACATGGAATACGTATACATCTATACATCACAATTGTCACTCTGAATTTACATGGAATGCGTATACATGTACCTGTCAGAGTCAATTTGTTTCGTTACTGGTAACTGGTAATTAAGTGTGGTAAGGGCATGGCCGCAAGGCAAATGAAATGGCTAGCTAGGTAAGTGGTAAACTCCCTTCGGTATGGACCATACATATATGATATATGTACATCTATCTATCCCAGCTGTCAGCTGAATTATGACATGTCAATGTTTTTCTGATGGAAGGTAAGTGCAGTATATGTTCAGGGGATTTAATTACATTATTAACTCGCCAACCTCTCACGAGTTGCAGGTACGAGTAGTTACTAGTTAGGAGGACTGAGATAGCCCAAGAGGATGAAAAACAATATGGCGTATTGAAATCTTCGGTGTAGAATCCATGCATGGTTGCGACTTTTGTCCGTGAGAGAGCTCGCTTCAAAACTCTGTCTAGAAAGCGGAAAGAGGAGCTAGCGCGCTGAGTCTGAAACTCTGAATTAGTACGTTTGTTGGAAAATCAAATTAGCTTGCCTTGAGTAGCAGAATCAGATTACTGTTGTTTATCACGCATCCCAAATTAAAGGAAGACGACCGATTTTGAGGTTTAAATCTTGTCACTGTGCTGCTTCTCGTACCCGATTTGAATTGAGCGGGAGTTAGTTAACTTAGTTTCAGCTACGGATTTTCTCTTATTGGATTCTTCATTAAGATGTCCGCGCTCCATGTCCCACACTGTTCTACTTTCAGGAACAGCAGAGGATCGACCGCATTAATCGTGAGACCAACCATAAATGATCGATCATCGATCGATATATACCAATTAATCCAGATGACACTAATCTCCATCCTAACACGCGTCGCTCTCACTCGTGATTGCAAAAACACATCTTCTCCTCCTATGGAGACACCACCAAAAAGGCGAATTCAATGAGAAACAAATTAAGACGCACAGCTGCGCATGCCCCCCTGCTCCATCTGGAACGAACTGAATAATTGACGATGACTATACACGCACAATGCATCCCGGCCGGAAGAGGATTCAGTTCCTGTACTGCCGGGTTCACTAGCTTTCAAGTCTGGGGAGCAATGCAATTCTGGTGGTAGGTAGCAACAGCGAGCTCGCAGCGTTCTTTCCCCTTCGATCGATCTCCATCTCTTTCTCGTGCATGCACATGATCCGAGGCACAGCAAGGCAGGGCAGGGCAGGGCCGGGCCAGCCAAGTGGCCTCCGAGGGCGAGATGCGTACGCGGGGACGCAACGCGAAGCGCCGCATTTAGCATCCAACCACCCTGCATCTGCGGCGTGCAGCAGCAAAAACAACTAGCTTGCGTGCTTGGTCAGGCGCGCGCGCGCGAGAGAGAAGAGGGGTGTGTGGTGTGGTGGTCCTCGCGCGCAATTGCTTTCCGTGTCCCGCGCCCCGCTAACTCACTGCTCACGCCTTAACTGCGCGTCTTAAGGTGGCGTGGCGCGAGACATCGATGCGAATTGCGAACGCGAATGCGGCCTCCCTCTATAAGAGAGATCGCAAGCGAGAACGTGAACGCCGCCACCCTCGCGCCGTCCATACATCCACCGTCGTGTCGCCCACTGTCCAACTGCCAGTCAGCTAGCCCCAAGTGTATACTCTCAGCTGCTGTCGCGAGTCTCGCCGACGTACGCGCGCGATGGGCGCTTCTTCTTTGGTTGGATTCCTCATGGCGGCGGTGGCGGCGCTGCTCGTGGCCGCCGCGACGCCGGCGGCGGCGGCGCCGAGGGCGTTCTTCGTGTTCGGGGACTCGCTCGTGGACAACGGCAACAACAACTACCTCATGACGACGGCGCGCGCGGACGCGCCGCCGTACGGGATCGACTTCCCGACGCACATGCCCACGGGGAGATTCTCAAACGGGCTCAACATCCCGGACATCATCAGTTAGCACCTTATCCATCACTGTCACTTGTAAAAAGAAACACAATGCAATGCACAAAGTTAGTTACAACTGTTCTTGACACGCTGCATTTTTTTTTTGGGCTCAGGCGAGTACCTCGGGTCCCAGCCTGCTCTGCCGTACCTGAGCCCGGACCTCCGAGGCGAGAACCTTCTCGTCGGCGCCAACTTCGCCTCCGCCGGCGTCGGCATCCTCAACGACACCGGCATCCAGTTCGTAAGCCCCCCCGCGCGCGCATCCGCCACCATTTTCGTCACGAACAAATGCGCATTAACGTTGTGTTTTGCTGTGGGTGCAGGTGAACATAATTAGGATCGGTCAGCAGCTGGACAACTTCGAGAACTACCAGCGGAATCTGGCGGCGTTCGTCGGCGAGGACGCGGCGAGGCAGGTGGTGCAGCAGTCGCTCGTGCTCATCACGCTCGGCGGCAACGACTTCGTCAACAACTACTACCTGGTGCCATTCTCCGTCAGGTCCCGACAGTTCGCCATCCAGGATTACGTCCCCTACCTCATCTCCGAGTACAGGAAGATCCTCACGGTTAGTCTCATCTCATCGATTCCAAGTTTCTTCTTGCTCTAGAGAATAATAAGTAGCCTCAATTAACTTCCGTGTTATCACCAAAGGTAGAATTTGGCAAATTTACGATTAGCATTTCAGTAGAGACTCAGCCGATCGAAGCAGATGAGCATAACTCACTTGCATAAAAGCAGTAGTAGAAAACAATGCTGCATGTTAACTGTTGGCACTGCAAACAATAGATAGAAAGTGCAGGCTGCAGCCTGCAGAGTGAACATATCCTGGTGTGGAGTCTCTTTTGGGTAATATGTTGTCAATGACATGACCTGTAATTTTTTCTGTATCAACCTGAGAAAGTTCCTGTTGAAAACAATAAGCCGAATACATTATGCAGTTCATCTCACACTATTTGCAGTCAGTGTCAGTAAGCCCCCATCTTCATCCTCCTGTCCACTGCAAAGGAAGAAAATAGAAGTATGGGTGGTCTGGTAGTAGTAATGTACTCCGTATACCAATACCTGTATCATCATCAACCGTTAATTTATGATTTACTGTTCTACTAGTAGTTAAGGCACATCGTAAATATATATGATCGTTAGATTAGAAAATATGAACGGTATAGATTGATTGTAGCGACTATTTAAAATACCTGTAAAAATACTTCCAGTTAGGACATTATGCTAACTTTAGCATCATTAAATTAAGAGCTCGAACTGCAACAAACAATTAACATGTCTGACAAGCAATATAAGTACAGTGTAATGCGAAAAAGGCTTCACGCCTTGCATTATCAGAAGTACAAGATTTTCATTACAAGGAGCAGTAAGCCAGTAAATGAAAATGGGCAAGTCACTGTATCAGATCTCTCTGCTTCAGATCTACACATTCCTTCACACTCTTGAGTTACTGTATGATTTATGAATAGCTTATTACTATGATCTATGGGGTTCAATGCCAATAGGCCTAAACATTTACTACTACTAGATCGGCTTCCCACCAAATAATTTCAAGAGGTAGGAGGTAGCAGTACATCTAGCACCCAAGTTTTACCGTACGGTGAGTCGGTGACAGTACTCTGTCTGACCGACTGTTCCTCCTCGTCGCCGTTCGGGTGGATGTATGCATGCTGTGTCACCTACCACACCTTCACTCTGCAGAGGCAATGAATATGCCAAGTAGGACAATTAACGCTGTAAAAAAAAACAAGCAGGATGCAGTCATCGTAGAGGGGGCTTGTTGTGTCATCGCATTTACTCACTCGTGTACCCGCGAGGCCATCGTGCCAAAATTTACTCATGCCACATGCAACGACAGTGCCAGTTGCCACTCGTGCAGACGTGCAGTGCTCGCAGCTTCGTGTACATGTAAATTGTATTTGTGTCCTTCGTCTTGAAAGGAAAAATGACATGACTGCGTCCGTGTATATGGTGGTGCATGCAGAGGCTGCACGATCTGGGTCCGCGTCGGGTGATCGTGACGGGCACCGGGATGATCGGGTGCGTGCCGGCGGAGCTGGCCATGCACAGCATCGACGGCGAGTGCGCCACCGACCTGACGCGCGCCGCCGACCTCTTCAACCCGCAGCTGGAGCGCATGCTCGCCGAGCTCAACTCCGAGCTCGGCGGCCACGTCTTCATCGCCGCCAACACCAACAAGATCAGCTTCGACTTCATGTTCAACCCCCAGGACTACGGTAACCAATTACCAACCAAGAACAAAAATTCAGAGATGAATCTGAACAGAAGTCGTTTTTAGAAGTTGGTTTTTTTCTGAGACAGACGGAAGATCCATGTAGATGATTTTGATGTGTTTGTGGGGGTTTGCAGGGTTTGTGACGGCGAAGGTGGCGTGCTGCGGGCAGGGGCCGTACAACGGTATCGGGCTGTGCACGCCGGCGTCCAACGTGTGCGCGAACCGGGACGTGTACGCGTACTGGGACGCGTTCCACCCGACGGAGCGGGCGAACCGGCTCATCGTCGCGCAGATCATGCACGGCTCCACCGACCACATCAGCCCCATGAACCTCAGCACCATCCTCGCCATGGACGAGAGGAGGAATTGATCGATCTCATCAGGCATTCACAGGACACTACTACTTTGCCCAGAGAGTACATCATATTTACTACTACATTACAATGTGTGGCTGGCTGTATGTGCTTAATAGTGCTGGTTCAAGTTTTGAAGTTTTCTCTCTACCTTCTTTGATTTTTCTGGTTTAGGTGAAAGTGATGGTGAATCTGGTTTAGGGGTGAAAGTAAGTAAGTAATGGGTGAATTAAGAGCCTACAGTGGGTTGTGTTTTGTTAATGTTGCAAGGGTACTTATTGGATAGTGGGGGTTTAAGGCATGTGTTTTCTCCTCGGTTATCAGGTGGAGAATTTGTTTGTAATAGCTCAGTAAAACTTCGTTGCTAGAATTTATATTGCGAACATTTTGGTGGCTGGTTCGTTGAGCTCAGTTATAACGACCCTACAGAATACTTGTCCCGTTGTGCAGCGAAGTGGGTAAAGAGTCTGACGAGTGATTAAAAACTCTGCCCATAAATACGAGTGCACATCTGGTCTGTCGCCAATAGGGACCGATTAATCATCAGACAGAGGATTCTGAAATCAGGGCAATGCACACTATGGAGATCCTTTGGGTTGAGGGCTTGAGATTCTCACCTGCTTTCATGCCTCCGATAACCGGATCGTTGATTGAACTGGCTGATTTCCAGTCAGATAGCTCAAATGTTGCCAGGTCGCTGGTATGCACGGTACCGGATTTCATCTCAATCGTCTGATTTTGATCGAACCGCTCCTGCACTATCATGAATTGCAGGTTATTGATTTTTTCAGGTGGTTACAATTGTCCTTTTTTATTAAAGAAGAAAGGAAATATACATCACGAAAGTTTTGAGTTTTTGATGCATGATCCCTGTTGGATCAGCGGAACATAACTATCAGATGATGTAGAGGGAAAAGGAATGAAGCAGCTACAAAATTCAGGTAAGTTGTACAGATCAGGTTCTTCACAACCATTCTACTCAGCGAGTTGCAACTAAGTCTCCCATGAGACCTCCACCAAGTTCATAATGCTTGGCTGCAGAAAAGCCAGCTTCTTTAGCTAACTCCTCCAGCTCCTTTTCTACAATGGACGTAAACCAGCACAAATAAATTAAGGTAAATACATGAGAGATAACTTTGGTCGCTGATGAAAGGGCATTGACCAATGGACTGTTTGGAATATAAGAATGCAGCTTCTCATATAAAAATGAATTGAATCTTTAGATGCGTGGCCTTGTGAGCGAAAAAAAAGGGATTCCTACTGTACTCCATCAGGATTAATTGAGAAGTGTGTTGAAGTACTGCTACTATCAGAATGACAAATGTAAGTTGTGTCATTACTTTTTTGTTTTTCTAAAGTTATAATTTTTTTTTGTTTTACTCGAGTATTGCTTAAAAAGTGGTAAAACATGTGACCATCTTGTTCTTCAAGGGAATTTTCTCACAAAGGAAATATAAATGCAAACCTGTTAGATAGTGTAATATTGAACTTTTCAGGTACTTGTATTCTTCAGTGAGTCCATAGCCACTAGCTAAAGGAACCACAACGTTATCGATCATCCAACTCTGTCCAAGGGAAAACATCAATTTGGTTAGGGAATTATAGGACCAACCCAAAGTCATTGACACTGGAAGTCAACGCATGATCCATCCGTGAGACCGTGATGTTGTTACATTGTCATAGTGCAATAATCAGGAAGTTATCTTTCTCTTTGATCTCAAACACAAGCCAAACTTGCGTGTACTATAGATGGTCTGATATTTTACCTGCAATGACGTTGTGAAAAGTGATGAGCTCTTGTTAAAATCTAGAATAGATGCTCTTGATCCTGCAGTCCAGCGAAACCCAATCATGAAAATTTCTGCTGAACTGTATAAGCATGATCAACCAGAAAAAAACTTTGGAATCTGCACTAGACCTGGTTTTAGGACCCTAAATATCTCCCGCATTGCTTTGGGTTTGTCAACCACATTGCGTAACCCATAACCAACCGTAACAGCATCGAAGTAGCAGTCTGTGAAAGGCAAATCAAGTGCATCGCCTTCGATCCACCTGCAACCATAGAGGTCCAAAGCACGCATCTGTCAGCCACGCGCACGACCTGTCCACTTCATTAACAGCAATCACAAAACTACATATCACAGGTTGTTCTTAATCTACAAACTCTCACATTGAGGATGCTCACTTGATGTTCTTGTAGCAAGGCTTCCAGCGTTGATCCTGACGGCTAGCAGCCGTTTGCAGCTGCTGACTTGAGAAATCAACAGCCATCACCTGTAAAATATGAGAGCTTGGGCTAGAACATTCAAGTCGATTTTTTTTTCTTTCTGAAATCTAAAGCAGCCAAGCAAATCCAACACCAACCTGTCCATCCAAGCCAACCTTCTGAGACAGAAGGAATGCCAAATCCCCACTCCCGCAGCAGAGATCAAGAACACGATCCCCTCTCCTTGCCCTGACCACAATAATTCAACCTTTTCCATCAACCAATTGCAGAACAAGAGTATATGCATGCTGCCACTAGTGGCGTACCTGGACCAAGACACGCAGATGCGCTTCCATGTCCGGTGCTGTCCGAGGCTGAGCACGTCGTTCAGCTACAAGGAACACGGCACTGCGCCCGTCGTCAGTACGATGCTGCTGGTAGTATACATATCTCCAGTGGAATTCAAAATTTTGCGAGAAGGGGAGGAGGAGTGGGAGGTAACGGACATGGTCGTAGACGGGGGCGATGCGGCTGAAGAGGGCCTGCCGCTCGTCGGCCGCGGAGGACGAGCCGCAGCTCACGGCGGCGAACCCGCGGCGGCGGCGGCGGCGAGCGGCGGGGGCGGGCGCCGCGGGGCCCGCCGAAATCGCGGCGGCTAGGGTGGCCATGGGTGTCCGCCACGTCCCCAGTCAGGATAGGTATATCGTGACCGGTTTGGACTAAGTGTTTGACTATTTTGCCCCCGCCGCCGCCGCCTCGCCGCGGAAGTGAAAGCGCTCTCGACTCTCGCCGCCGCCGCCGCCGCCGCGAGCCGCGTCGTGCGGGAACGCGAGGGTTTTTCCAGGGGGATGGATTTGGGGTCGTGCTACCTCGGCGGCAACGCCGACGCGGTGGAGTTCTGCCCGCACCGCCCCTTCCGCCACGTCCTCGCCGCCGCCACCTACACGCTGCAGGAGCAGGGCGGGGAGCGGCAGGACCGCGCGGGCAGCGTGTCGCTCTTCGCCGTCGACGCCGGCGAGGAGGACGCGCCCCGGAGGCTCCGGCTGCTCCACACGGTGGAGACCGCCGGGGTGTTCGACATGAAGTGGAGCCCCGTGGCGCCTCTGCTCGCGCAGGCCGACGCCCACGGCCGCCTCGCGCTCTGGCGCCTGGAGCAGGAGGACGGATCGGACAAAGGTGCTGTTTGTTCCTGCATTTGCATTACCATAGAATCAAATAAGTTGTCTGCTGTGTCAAAATTGGATCACTATCCACTTACTAAGCTTCCATGAATTATTTACTGAACATAGTGATGCACTGCTACTGATGCCAAAGGCAAATTCAAGTTCTTAGGATTCTGAAAGCGTTCTATCATCCATGTGAATGTTGCCTGATGCTTGCAGAAGTATTTAGGGGTTCAGGGGTTATGCTTTTTTTTTTTTTTGGGGGGGGGGTTGGTGAAATGGGTTTCTTACTCTCATGGATTGAGTGGATGTGTTCCCAGTGGTTAATCTGGATTAACAAGAAGTTGCTTCAACTATGCAATATTCTGCCCTTCTGGAGGTGATCCGTGTCTGTCATCTTCTTTTGAGAATAAGGCAATATGCTGCTGAATGATGTTCTAAGTCAATTCGTATTCTTGCATTTCTGGATCAAATTTGGTCTTGATTTTTTAGTTAAATTGCCACGATAGTCTAGTTGATTCTGTACTGGAAGCAGGGGAGCTTGTGTAGCTATTTGTAAACACCTCAGTATTTGTCATATTTGTAGTCCACCATGTATTTCTTATATGTTGAGGCTGAATTCAAGTGCTTTATGTGACCGAATTATGCAGGTGCTGTTCTCAGGGATGTCTGTTCTGGAGACATTTCTTCTTCGATGTGCTTGTTTGTGGACTGGAACCAAACTGCCAAGGCACTTTCCGTTGGATTATCGGATGGTTCCCTGTCTGTGGTTTCCATGAGGGAGGACCGCTTGGAGGTATCAGAACAGTGGACTGCTCATCAGTATGAAGTGTGGACTTGCTATTTTGATCGTGCAAATCCACACTTGTTATACAGCGGATCAGACGACTGCTCCTTCAGCTGCTGGGACTTGCGACAGAACCCATCAAATGCTGTGTTTCAGAACAAAAAGTCGCATAATATGGGTGTCTGTTGCATTGCTCAGAATCCACTAGAGGGGAACATGCTACTTACTGGAAGCTATGATGAATTTCTCAGAGTTTGGGACATAAGATCAATGGTGAAACCCGTTAATGTGAAGTCCCTAAATTTAGGGGGTGGTGTATGGAGGATTAAATATCATCCTCTTATTGCAGATGTTGTCTTGGCTGCATGCATGCACAATGGGTTTGCCATTGTTAAAGTAGGTACTGGGGATGCTGCAGTAGTGGAAACATATTGCAAGCATGAGTCCTTAGCATATGGTGCGGATTGGCAGATAAATGAAGGTGCAGAACAGAACAAGAATTTTTCAGTTGTTGCTACCTGTTCATTTTATGATCGACTCCTCCGTGTGTGGCAACCGGAGAACCTAGGCAATCTTTAAGAGTGAAAGTGCCATTGCACTCAGTTCAAGTATCACTATGTGGACTTGTTTCCAGGTAGCTCCTCAAAGTTGTGCTGATTTATTTAAAGACATGAGCTTTTGGTAGAATCATGTCTGTTCCATAGCTTGTCATTCACATATATTTGTGTGATGCCAGCTTTCCCGTCGCAAAACTATATATTTGTATGGTCCTCAAAGATGTTTCCTGTTGATTATATTTGAAGTACTCCATTTTGTAGATTATATTGACGCTTTAACAACAATCTTTACATCACAAAATTGCCTTAGTGTGGATCTTCCTTAGCTTTTTGAATTTTGACCGATCACACTTCTGTCTGTAAATTACTGTATTATGTAAGCTTGTTTGATAATTTGAATTTTGCCTTTCAATCATGTTTTTAGTAACAGCTATATAATCCAAATTTTATCCTTTAAAGTTGGTGCCTTCATAAATACTACCTCCATCCCAAAATATAAGAATTTATAGGGTTGGACACGGATATCAAGGAAGTAGGTGGAATTAAATGTGAGAAGGTTGTGATTGGTTGAGAGGAGAAAGTATGTGGAGAATTTGAATGCTGGAAGATTGTGATTGGTGGAAAAGAGAATGTATGTGGAGAAGTTGTTATATTTTGGGACAAATTTTGAATGCTAGAAGTTGATGTATTTTGGGATGGAGGGAGTAACCTTTTTATTGGTATAAATGGCAATATACCAAAGGCTTAAATTTCAAATTTCTATTTATGAAATTTGAGTTGTTTGATCTTTGTGCCAAAAGAAAAATAACAAATAAGTTCATTTATTGGGGTTTGTAGTGGATCTTACTAGTTTCCAGTAGACATACATTTAGATTCAAGCTCTTTAGTAAATAGTAGTGTTACTTCTTTGAAAAATCTCAGATCTTTCTTTTCTAAGAGAGCTGATTGGCACTCTCCAGGTAGATAAACTGGTCTATTTTGTTTTAGGAACCTGTTTTGATATTATCATTGTTTGGATTTGTGGTGAAAACATGGACGATATGGGTCGATTATGGCATCGAATATGATCTATAGGTAAGTTTGAAGATGTGTTTGAAGGTAGGCATTCTTTTCATTTTTTGCGTTGACTCTAAATTTATTAACATTGAATCATTTATCGATTATCATAGAAGTGCATGCCTGTGGAAGACACAAGACGATATATATACTGTTTCTCCTTATCTGATACCGCTAACCGCAATGCACTCGTGTAAGATAACTACATGGGTGCATATCCACTCAATAAACACCAAAAGTGCATTCTTTGTAGGTTACCATTATTTTTCCATGCTTGTGATGTGGACTGCATTGTGCCGTCCTCTTTGATTATCTGTAAAGACATGCCTTCTATGCTTTGATTGTCACACTAACCCTACTTGATATTTCATAAGTACAGCATTTTTCTTTAGTTTGAAAGAAACAAACTACGGGGTACAAGAGTTGAAGACTATGAATAACCATTGTGCTGTCTATACAGTGTCCTTCTATTTCAATACTGCCAATATACTATTTACTGTGCATTGTTCCACAAACATAATGAGAAAAAAAACAGAGCTTTCGAGGAAAAAAACAGAAGGTTCCATGTGTTGCTTGATTAAAAATGGAACATGAGACTTGGTTTAGGTTATGAATCTGATTGCCTTATGTGATTCACTTTATTGCTGGTGATTGGTGAGGGGTCTGTTTAATTACCATTGGGAACTTTACTGTTTGTATTATAATGACTTATTCTGCGTGTTGATTTAATCTTTCTGCTAAGGTTAGCTTTATTAGCTGGAATGTGCAGTGGATCTGATAAACTAATATTTGCCATGCTTTAAATAAATTTATTGAATCCATCCCACTGGATTAGACAATGAAACTTGAAGAGGGATAGCAACTTAACATAAGGCATTCCACTGTTGCTTAAAGCTGTGCAGTGATGTTTTTCGTATATCTTTTTTTTCTCGAACATATTTTCATATATCTTGCACCTACTGATATGCTTATTTATCAGAATTTAGATTTAGTGACCCAAAAGCTAAGGGTTAAGAGAGGTTACTACTTAAACCCTGAAATATGATATCTTGTTTGATCCCACCTATCTTTGGCATTGACAGATCATTCACCATTGAATTGATTGACAGCATAGCTGAGTCTGCAGAGTTCAGTTCTGGTAATGCCCATAAATTTTGAAGGTGCGGAAGGAAAATGAGGGCAGAAGATAGGAAATACCATTAAAGTTGCATTCACGTAATATTCGAAGCACAGCTGAAAATTACTTGCCTTATATCGTGACATGTAGGGAATGGATCTTTCTGTGTTACTCCCTTTGGGGCAATGTTACTTCTTACATGAATAATGCTTGACCTTTTTCTAAAATACTGTGTTTTGACCTTGACATTCTGTTTGAGATCTATATAGAATGCTTTTAAGACTCTTTTTTGAAGCATTATGACCCTTGTGGTTCACTGTTTTCCTTTTAGTTTCTGTTTGCTACAAAGTGACTCATTGTTGGTTGCTACTGTAAGTTGTGAACATAAACAACAGAATTGATGGCTCATGGCTAGATATTATATCATACATAAAGAAACATAGCACCATAGGCATCTAGATCATGCTGCAGATGCAAGTAAGGTGCTCCTGTTAATAAGTTGGCACTAGTTCTCAATCAACCAAAATAATTACCGAACACATGCAAACCAAGTTATAATCCTGTTCCTTTTCTTCTTTTTTTTTTGAGAAAAATACTTTCAGAGTTGGGCAAATGTAGGTAGTCAAACATGGTCCCTGCTTGGTCAAGAATGATTCTGGGATAATGTGCTCTCCTAATGTATCTAAAGCCAGCTCCAGATTTGTTACTGCTCAATGGCCAGTGCATGTTATGTCTGGTCGATGAAAACAATTGATCCTCTATTGGCTAGGATACAGTTCTAATAAGCTGCTACTTGATAGCCAGCTATTCAGGCACAAAGTGGTTGAACCATCCAGTTTTCATTGGTTTCTAACAAAACTAGATAGAATATGTGATTCTTGATATTGCTTGTTCTTCACAAAATTGACGGGGGATGGCATATTATGACCAATGGTACCCAACCAATTGGTATTGGCGGGACCTTGAATCTTGACTGGTATATGATGTTACTGATTGGGTGCATTTCTGAGAGGGTATTCACTATCTCCATGTCAGCCACCTATTAAAAAAAAGTCAAAAGTTCAGAAATTTTCATAGGAGTGTTCGACTTGTTTGTGCCCAGCAACTAAATCCCACTTCGGTGAAGCGGTTGAACCCCACAATCGGTGCTAGTGATTTCCTCCCTGTACAAGTGGAAAATTCCATCCTAAAATACAGTTAGTTCTTTTTCTGTTTTGTTTAGTTATATGCATATAAGGATGCCTCCGTTGGGCTCAAGAGCTCTAGTCGTACATGAAACTGAGATCTTATCGAATTTAAGTGCATGTTATGGAAGCTGATTTATTTAGAGGGAGGGACTTCTGACTTTGTCATCCAGGATTTGGAAATGTAATGCTTTGGATAAACATGAGTTAGTGGCTAAACAGGAGTGTCACATTGTTCTAACTCCACACTCTTAAAGGCATAGCTCTAAAGGTGGAGAGTGCTCCTTCAGCTTTTTGTAATGGGTGCCTTTCTTTTTTGCCCCCTCTCTTGCTGATAGTAGATTCAGTCACACATCATGAGTTTTTGAAGTTCGTTTTGTTGGTGAGGGCTTAAGTACAAGGTTGGTGATTAACTTGCTGTATCTACAGTTCTACAGAATTTTCTTTCTTTTATTAGAAACACAGATATAGGTTGTTCATTAAATGTCAATGAACTAATAGTGAAAATCAAGGCAGATATAGTTAGATGAAGTGTGCACACTGCAAAAGAGATGCACAGATTTTAGAAGTATATAGGTTTTTCAGGAAAAAAAACAATTTACAAGTATATATTCCCTGGGAACTGGAACTGGATCTTTGTACATCTTCTTGTTATATAATATAGGTCTATAATTGTTCTGTTAAGTAAAATACTCTGGATAGTATTGGGTTTGTAAGTGGAATGAGAATTTCTCTAGAGAAGGAATATAGTTAGAATTGACATGATGAGGGAAGAACAACCTCAGTGTGAAGTCCAGCAAATGAGCACTTGGCACAGTTTTTACTTTCATTGTCCTTTCTCCACTAAGCATGCTGCGCTGTCCAATTTAAAATGCTACCATGCAGATTCTGGGTTCTTTGCAATTGATTTCTCTGGAGAAGTACCTGCAGACATCAGCAACCTCGTCAAGGTATAAAGTAGCTTTCCCCCTCGTCTTGTTTGTACTCACTACTAACCATGGAAGATGAATGGCTTGAACATGCACATGGTTCTTGAGAGCAGCAGGAGGAGGAGGATGAAGAGCAATGGCTAAGCTCCAGTTCAAGAAGCTCTTCAACTCCATGGTGCCTTTCCGGCCTCCTAGGTGGTCGGCTGAGGTACGCACCAAACCGGCAAGTCACAAAACGGCAATGGTGAAACTCCAGCAGGAGTCCACCCTTTTCTTTTCTGCATTTCCATCCTTCCAGTTGTATCAGGTGGTGGCGAAATAATCAGAAATATCTGTGTGATCCTTAATATCAGGTGGTGGCAAAATTATTGATACCTAATTGCTGAGTCAATGCTTGTTTTATGTGTACTCTGGAAATTGCCCTACTACTAATAAATGGCTGCTTTTTATCTAGAAAGATGCTATGTTGTCTCATTTGATTGTCTTTGTGCCAGTTAGCAGTTGGTCATATCCTTGCTTTGAGACAAAGTTGCTTCTGCTGGGGGGATGGAGAGTACACCTCATTTCATTTCTGCCTTATGCCATTGCAAGTATGTTGATCCTGTAAAGATCTGCCATAAGAAATCGATTTGCATGTTATGTTGGTGACTATCCAGTTTTTTCTATTGATATACGTTTCCACCGAGGCAGAAATTTCCAGGTAAAAAACTATGATTTGAAATATGCCAATAAGATTTTTAAAACTGAAAAGAGGAGGAAAAAATTCAAAGAAGTTTTCCCTTTTGCTGCTGCCTGCTGGCTGAGTCCAGCATTTCTTCTGAACAAGCCCGGAATGATTTACTGAAGGAAGATGAATTGTTGCAACGCAAAAGAGTACTACTACTTTGCAGTGGTGCCTGAAGCAGAACTAACTTACAGTTACATGTGTTTCACTGACTCCTAAGTCCTTGAACATGAAACCTTAAGACTCAGACGTGGAAACTTCTTGCAGTGTACTCTATGAAAAGGCAGCTATGGTTTCGATATGAATATGTGATGATATTCTTCAGATGGTACATCAGTTATTAAGCTCTCATATGTACATGAACTACCGGGAGGAAAGAATTAAAACCTCATCATCTTATTAACGATTAATCTGCTTCTACCTGATCTACTCACTGCAGGATTTTCCTGTGTTTATGTGCACCTCTAACATGAACCATGTTACCACTCATCTTTTTTTTTTCGCCTGTGCCTTGTGTGTCAACTGTCAAGAGATTTTGAGAAATCAACTTCTCATAGTCTCCACGATCCTCTCCCTGCCTGGAGCAGCGAGGCGTACAGCAGCTCGTTCCAGGAATCCGGCACGCCGGGCAGGCACCAGTGGCTGCAGTCCTGCTTCGCCACCGCCGCCATCCGCTCCTCCTCCGTCTCGTACCGCACCCGGTACACCGACGGGTGGGCGTCCTTGCGGTAGTCCGTCATGGCGCTGATGTTGAGGTAGATCACCGGCGTCCTCATCCGCCCCAGCACCTGCTCCAGGATCCTCATCTTCTCCGGGTACTCGGCGAGGTGCGTCCGGTTGAAGATCGGCTCCGTCTCCCTGTGGCATCTCCCTCCTGAGTTCCACTGCCCTCCCCTGGAAGGTGAAGATGGATCATCAGATGAGATGGAGGAGAAGAAGAATACGCCGTGTGATGATTAGAGTTCAAAATTCCGGAACAAAATTTGGACAAAATATTACCAAATTCACCAAAAAAACATGAAAAACTTTAAATATTTTGGCTGAAATAATATCATATCGGGGTCTGATACAACTGAATTTTCTAAAATTTCGGTATATCGACACCCTCTGATACAAACACTGAAAACGAAAGATTGAACCCTGGTGATGATCGGATGGTGCGACGGAGATGTGTGATTCGATCTCTTACCTGAAATGTGTGAGGGAGTATCCTCTGAACACCACCTGAGTTCTTGTGGAGTCGATGTTCTTGTCGACCCATCTAGCCCAGGTGGTCAGAGCTCTCTTGTATGCGTCCATCACCTCGAGGCTGGGGTGCACGTAGTTACCTTCTTGGTAGTAATTCAGCCTGTGGAGACAAGAACAACGTTTGATCAATGGTTTGGCAGGAGAGGGTGAAATGACAGATTTTGTGTAAAGTTTCATGTGGAAGTTCAGTTTGGAGAACGGTGTGATATACCCTCTTGATGTTTTCCAGTGCGTCCACCAGTGGCCGGTGTTGAAGACGACGATGTCGGCAGTCCGGTACGCCGGAGTCGTTTCATCGAGTTCATCCAATCTCAACTTAGCGTCCACCACGGCGCCGCCTTTGGTCTCGTTGATCATCTCCTTGACTAGAAATATTGATCTTATGAAATCCACGGAGCAATTGTAATCCTACAAGTGCAGTGAAATTAGCCATGAGATACAAATGTTGACAAAATTCAGAGCTAGTGTTGTTCAGTGAGCCAGCCTAGCTGTGTACCCTGAATCTGAAGGAGTAGTATCCCCTGGTCTTGAACTGGTTCCTCCCTGACGCTTCATACATCCTCCTCTTGTCCCTGACACCATGCCGCAGAATGCACACCAGAGACTCCCACATGTTGCGGTTCAGTGAGTCGCCGACGAATATGATCCTCTGCCCTCTCAGCCTCTCCAGAAAATCAATCGGGTTCAGCCTGATGAAGCAGAAGAGAATTAAGCTTCGATCACAAATGCACTCGAAATGATCTTGAAATTTTTATAATTCCGAAGCGAATTCAGAAAGGTGTCGCGTGCATATTACAGTGTACGTGACGGAACAAGATCCTCTAACGTTACGCAACGTAACGTCAGAAAGACATGGTCGCTGACATGTGGGTCCCACTGACCTCCGGTTCTCTTGGAGTTACTGGGAAGTTCACAGGAGCTGAGGTTGTTGGGCTCACCTGGGGATGTCGCAGCCGTGCGGCTGCCACCTCCACCTGAGGAAGCCGGTGTCGGCGCGGCCGTTCTTGTGGCAGTTGAAGTCGTCGTCGATGTGGGGGCACGAGCCCGGCGGGTAGAACGGGTAGGCGCCGCCGCCCTCGTCGTCATCGCGCACCCAGCGGCCACTGAACACGTCGCACTTGGCGAAGGAGACCAGGCCACTCTGCACGCCGGACGTCCAGACGACGCGGTTGTCGCCGACGGTGCTGGTGTTGATGATCGTCGCGGCGGGCAATGGCATGGCGGCGCCGTCGTCGCGGCGATCGGGAGCTTCTTGGCGCGCCGCCGCCGCCGCGAGGAGGACGGTGTCCTTTCGCCGCCTCGGGTGCTGGTGATGCTGCTGCTGCTTGTGCCTGATGCCTCTCCGATGGCTGTGGTGGGTGTCAGCCTTCCTCTCCGGCGGCGTCGATGGCGTGGCTGCGGCTGCTGCTGCGGCTCGCGGCGTCGCCGTCGAGTTCAGTGGTGGGGCCGGGGCGTCGGTGGAGTTGCCGGGAGCGGCGACGATGGCGTGGTGGGTGGAGTTCTTCTCCTCGTCCCTTCTCTGCCATCGCGGCATTGGTGTTGCGGTTTCCTCTCGCTGCTGTCGTGATCGCGTGCCATTCCCGACGCGTTGATCCCCGTCGACGTCACCGACGGTGGCGTTCCCGGCGCCCGACCGGAGATCAGAAACCCGCGGTTTGGCCGTTTGCTCCGCCGCCGGCGCCGGCAACCCCGAGCCCTCGGCGCCGCTCTGCGTTCTACGCGCGGTGTTACGCAGATCAGCGCCGCCGCCGGCAGGAGGAATGGGCGGGTGAGGCGGGAGAGACCTCCTCGGCAGCGCCGCCGCCGACGTCGAGTTCGACGACAGCCACGACAGGAGTGACGACGACGACGCCCCCGTCGGGGAAGGGAACGAGGCGGCGTCCGCGGTGGGGCCGCTGGCGACGGAGACGTAGAAGAAGGCCACCACGAGCGCGACGGAGAAGCATGCCAGCACGGCCTTGCTACTCGTCATCACATGGCCGCCGCCGCAACCACCACCGCCGCCGTGCTTACCGCCGCCGCGCTTGTAACCGTTGAGCGACGACGACGACGAGGACGGGGAGAGGAGGCCGTGGAGGTGCACGTGCAGCGACCCGCTGCTCCCGCCGCCTCCGCCGCCCGCGCCTGATCCGCCGCCTCGGTCCAGCATCGACAGCCACGCCTTCCTCCACGCGCCGGCCATTCAATAGCTACTAGTACTAGCTAGTCAGCGTGATCGGTGTGTCCGGCTAGCCGCGCGCCGCCGCCGCAACTTGCTGGGGAGTGAAGCGAGCGAGGAGTCGAGGTGTGTGCGCGACTCTTGCAGCAGTTGGTGATAACTGTAGTGGAGTGGAGTGGATCGGATCAGCCAGAGATCGAAGTGCAACCGCTTTTACTGGTTCTTGGCCAGTGCCCAGTGCAGTTAGGGTCGTCGAGCTCCCTCTCCCCGCGCTTCGCCTCCGGACTTTTTCCAAACACCTTGCATGCAACACGATCTCGTCGATCTCGTCCTCGACCCTTCAGAATAGACTAGGAGGCCCGTTTATAAATCTAACCCAGCCACCGAGCATCTCGGCCCAATCATCTATTGCTCCTACATGGAGGCCTAACACAGAACTGGGCCGAGTCATGGGCCGCACCCTCGTTATCTTAGGGTTAGTTACCCATGAAATCCTGACCGTTTAATCTCTCGTATCTGCATCCTGACCGTCAAACAAGATTACACGGAGTACTAATTAACCCACCTTCTATAAAAGCTCGCCCCCATCTCCCTCCGCCTCAGCAAGCGCCGCTCCGGTTAATAATAGCAAAATCCCCTCCCACCCCCGCCTTCTCTCTGGAAGCTTCCTCCTGCTCTTCGCCATGGCCGGCGGCGGGAACCTGTTCGGGAGGGTGCTCAGCTACGTCGTCAACGAGTTCATCGTCGAGGGGCTCGCCAACAAGTATGATCCCCCAATCTCATCCCTCTCCTCCCCCCTCCCCCTATCTTCAGATCCGTCTGTACATGTATGCGAATTCGTTTTTGATTCGATTGATGTGCTGCGATCGGTAGGCTTTCGAGAGAATCAAGTTCCCGACGGAGTCGTCATCTCGTTATCGTGAAGTGATATATGTTCTTAAATTATTTTTTCTCACAACTTTTCGAATGGATGTCATGGAACAAACGAGATTATGCGTTCTTGGAATCTGTAGGAGACGGACTAGGATTTGGAGTCCCAAAACCAGCACTTGACCGAGTCTTTTGTTGATTTGTGTCCAATCCTCGGTACTCTAGTGTTGATTTGTGTCCAATCCTCGTACTCGGGTTCATGTCGTGTCCGATCCTCGTACTCTAGGTCAACCAACTTTTATCTCCGCCGCCTCCACCTCCCCCGGTGTAGCAGAATTCTCTTCCCTGTGCCATGGCCTGTGGTCCTGGTGGCAACCTGTTCGGAAGGGTGCTCGGCTACGTCCTCAACGAGATCCTCGTCCAGGTGCTCGCCAACAAGTAATAATCCCCCATCCCATCCTTTATCCCCCCAACTCCTTATCTTTAGATCTGTTTGTCACATGCGAATTCGTTATTTGTTTCATGACATGTGATTGCTACGCTTCGTCATCTGGTCTGTGGGAGAATCAAGTTCCCGATGGACTCGTTCCCTTGAAGCCACATTGTCTCGTTGTATCAGCCCTTATCTTGCGCCCTTGTAGGGTTTCCCGTGAAGTTGGGCGCAGTATGGCTCTTACATACATGTTACTGTCACCATGTTTTCCAGTAATATGCGTAATGTCTGATTAGTGTATGGAATTTTTGTTAGTTGTGCCTGTGGCAGTGATGAGCCCTAACAGACCTGTAATGATTCTTGTGTATATGATCGCTTGATTCAAAGAACATCTAAGGGACTGAGTTGTCATATATGCACAAGACTGGTGTTGTCTAGTCTAGTAAATTGCTACTGTATAGTACATTGTTATTCTGTCTAGTACATTGTTACTCTTTCTAGGGATGAGATGTGATCGTTACGCTTCGTCATCTGGTCTGTGGGGAATCATGTTCCCGACGGACTCGTTCCCTTGAAGCTATATTGTCTCGTTGTATCATGGGCCTGTCCCTTATCTTGCTCCCTCGGAGGATTTCCTGTTAAGTAGGGCGCAGCATGGCTCTTACATACATGTTACTGTCACCATGTTTTGCCATGCGTATTATGCATAATGTTTGGTAACTAGTATGGAATTTTTGTTGGTTGTTCCCATGGCGGTCTTGAGCCCTAACAGACCTGAAATAATTATTGCGGATATGATTGCTTAATTCAGAGCACATCTAAGGGACTGAGTTGCCATAGGCATATGGACAAAACTGGTGTTGTCTAGTACGTTGTCATTCTGTCTAGCAGAGTAGTTGTTTGTGTTAGTGATCGTTACCGCTTCTCGAGGTTCATGCTTAAGAGCTGGTTGTGGTTCTTGAGCTTTGGAAAGTGAAGCAAAATACTTTGTGGTTCCTCTCGCTATCCGGGGCAGAATTCTCTTTGATGTTACTGGACGTCGAGGAACTACATTAGTTTGCTTGAAACATGTAGTCATCTCGGTGTTGATTTGTTAATTGTGTCATGCAATGTTTTAATGTAGTTTTTGTGTTATCATCTGGTCTTTGGGAAAGATTAATGTCCTGATATTCCCAGTAGACTTGTTCCTTGGAAGCTACTTCCTCTGTTTCACAATGTAAGACTTTCTAGCATTGCCCACATTCATTTAGATGTTAATGAATCTAGACATATGTATGTGTTTAGATTCATTAACATCTAAATGTATATGGATAATGCTAGAAAGTCTTACATTGTGAAACGGAGGGAGTACTATCATGTTGTATTATCATACATAGGCTTCCCTTTTCTTGCGCCCCTGGAAATATTATCATACATAGGCTTCCCTTTTCTTGCGCCCCTGGAGATTTCCCATGGGACATGGTACTTCATGGCTTTTTTACTTTCATGCCATCTTACCATGTTCATTTGACGGTGATTAGCCCTAACAGACCTGTAATGATTCTTGCGGATACGATCGCTTGATCAAAGAACATCTAAGGGACTGAGTAATAGTATGCTTTGTATTTCCATCTTTGGTCATTGGTTTTAATGGATGATCTTTATTTATTCGAAGCTTGTGAATTACTGCATGGCAACAGTGATGAGTCCTTACAGACCTGTAATGATTCTTGCGGGAATGATCGCTTGATTCAAAGAACATCTAAGGGACTGAGTTATCATGAAGCTTGTCAAACACATTTTGTATTATGTGCTTGTCCATTAGATAATCTTTGCTCCCATCTCTTCTCTTGATTTGTCTTTCATCCTTTGCTTGTTAATGCTGAAGTAAAAAGGCTTAATTTAACACTTCTTATTTCAATCCTGCTGAGCATTTCTGTGTACTTTCAATTGTTTCCTATTGTACTTGTCTTGTTTCTGTTGGTTCTTACAGTGGGACATCTCAATTTTTGCAGCCGTACCTTCCAGAGATTTGCTGTGAGGACCAACAAGTCTCTTGAGAATCTATCGTCCAAAGGTAGTTTGCTTAGCCTCTGCAGTGATTATAGTATATACTGGTCATGATAGGGTTAATCTATGTGTTATGACCTCGTGATATTCTGGTGAATTGTTGCGGAACATTACAATAATGTTACCGATTTGTGCTTTTCAGCTAAAGAAGTGAGGGAGGAGCTATCGGAGCAATGGAGGAATTCTCGTGGCAATGATGATGTAAGTGGTTCGCATAGAGCTTTATACTGTTTCATATTCCATCAAGTGCTGTATCTGATCAAATTCTGTTTTGCAGCATTTCAGGCAGTGAAGCTGGTCATTTTATGAGGACTATGAAGTCGTTGCTAACTGTACAATCTTGCTATCGGCTTTCCTAGTGCTATGATTGCTATTTTTCTATATTGTCGCATGGAAGAAACCATTGTATAGAAACCATGTGATCTCAATTTTTGTGAACTTGATAAGTAGAAATCAGACCACTTTCATGTCGTACTTCCCTATTATCTTCCGAGTATACTTTGTAATGGAGAAATCCTGCATAAGTTAACTCTTGATGATGACGGAATGATAGACCCGCATTTAAACGTTCGTTGGTGTCCTATGTTGGTCTATGAATGTTGACAGTATTATAAGCTCGCTTGCTAACCCTTCCCTTCCCCAAGGGGATCTAAGGTTGTTTGGTTCATTGTCAAAACTAACCCTATCAAAGAATATTTGGCAATTGTAATTGAGCGTCATGGCTGACGAATTTCTTAATCAAATGGGATTATAGCTTCTTTTTCAAGTGGTTAACCTATCAAAGAATGATTGGCAATGGCAATTGATTGTCGTGGTTGCTTCTTTTTCCAACGGTTACCTATCAAATAATGGCAATGCAAATTGATCGTCATGCCTGACAAATTTCTTTTTCCGATGGGATTTTAGTTTTTTGTTTTCAGTGGGATCTGGTTCATTGCCAGTTTTGAGAAAAATATAAAAAAACATAAGTCACTCAAACTATTATTCATATTTTATCATTTAATAACAATAAAAATAATAACCATAATCCTTTTAAATAAAACGGACTATTAAAGTGGTATGGAAATTTAAAATGTGACGGATGGAGTTACAGGATCCAAATAACTTGGATGGAGTAACAGCATCCAATTAACTTTAAAATGTACGGATGAATAACAACCCTATTACCCTTAAAAAAAGGGTAAAATTAAATAGGCGAACCAACGATCTGATCACATGTTGCAAACCCTTTTGCGGACTGTTGATCCTTTCGCGAAGACACGCTTTTGTTTGCACAAAGCCGCCCGTCCCNACTCGCCAAGCTACGCTCCCTTNCTCTCGGTCCCGGACTTCCCCCTAACCGCGCCGCCGCTTCGTCCCTCTTCCCTCCACCCTCCCTGCCGCGCGCCCCCACCCCACCACCACCACCCTTGTCGTGCGTGGTGCGCGTGCCCCACACGCGACACGGGAGGACCTCCTCGGCTCCGCGCCTCTTCGACCTCGTGGGTGGGTGTGCGGGTGCGGGACTCGGTGGGATGCGCCACCTGCTGCTCCTGCGCTGCGGCATGGCTCCTCTCTACGGCTCCTCCTCCTCCGCCGCCGCGACCAAAGCCCTCCTCTTAAACCCCGCCGCCGCGCACGCCTTCGTCCCTTCTTCCCCCGGACCCCGCGCGCTCCGCCGCGGCGGCGCCTCCCTCCGCTGCTATGCCGCCGCCGCCGCGGCGGTGGCCGAGCAGCACCGCATCAAGGTCCACAACCCCATCGTCGAGATGGACGGTGCGTTGTTCCACCCCCGATCCCACCGGCGGCTCGCCCCGCTTCCTCGCTCCTTGTTGTACAGGGCTCTGTTGTAAACCTCGCTCGGATGACGACTCTCGTGTGTGCCCTTTTCAGGTGACGAGATGACGCGGGTCATTTGGAAGATGATAAAGGATAAGGTGCGGGATTCCGCGATTGCCTCCTCGTTTTTGATTCTATTGGACTTTTCTACCTTGTTTGATGCTCTGATGACGCGACCTGCTTCGTGTTAGCTCATCTTCCCTTACCTGGAGCTGGATGTCAAGTATTTCGACCTTGGGCTGCTCAACCGGGATGCCACCGATGATAAGGTCACTGTTGAGAGTGCCGAGGCTACGTTGGAGTGAGTGGATCCATTCCTTGCTCTCTGTTCACATCTCACGATCTCAGTTGCAACCAATTCGATGCAAACCCTTCATGCCAGCATCATAGTAATTAGCATAAATTGAAGATGAAGTACACGCGTAATTCATTCGGAATTCGTATGCCAGCTTTTGGAGATGTCATTTGGTTGTCATGTAAGTTAAGCTGTCGAGTTCGTAAATGTGAGGTTCAACTAGTATAGAGATGAAATTATCACTTACGTAGCTGAATGCAAGTTTCCATGGATTTTAGCTTCCTGCAGCATGGAGGCTAGCACCTTTTTCTTAGAAATGGTCGGGCAATTTCAAACCAAGTGCTTTATTAGATCCAATTATTATTGGACCTACCTTTGATTTAAACTAGATGACCTTAAAACAGGCTTACATGCCCCGGTTTTTGGGAGGAAGGCTTAAAGTGAAATGGCCTGATGGGCTGGTATTCAGGACAACGAGGGGCATGCCTTTTAATAGGGTCGTCTTAATTAGACTGAAAGCAGTTAGATCATGTGGAGTAAGTTCCCACAGAGGAATTGTGCATGTAGTGAAGTACTCTCACTTCAGACTTTGGAGAAGTTTGCCCTGCAGAAGCTAGATTTTGGCTTTACTGTTCCTTTCTTCTCTGCTATTCAGTGTATTTCAGGGATGTTCTATTCTATATCCAGCGGTAGGTTTCTTCTCTCCAATTCAATATCTAGCAATAGGTTTTCAATGACATGTCTATATCTTTTGTACTCTGCTCCTTAATGGTGGTTCTCTTTTTTTCTACACATATCTCATTGTGTGACTAACTAATTGAAACGAGTGCTCTGTTGCACTGTTGTTATTAAGTAGGACTACTGCAGCTATCTCCTGTCTGTAGACCTTATGGTGTAAGTAGTGTCATCCTTCACCAAATGCAACTTCTTACGGAAACTGTTATTCTAGGTAGATAGTCCTGTGTAAGAGTGTCAATGCTTTGAAAGAGATGATCGTAAGTTGGTCGCAAAAGTTACATTGAACCTTTTTGAAGTAAATCTCTCTTTGGATTTTCTTGTTGCTTCAGTTTGTATTCAAATTCCTTCTTTATGACTTTAACAGGTATAATGTTGCTGTTAAGTGTGCTACCATTACACCTGGTAGAGTCCCTTAAACTTTTGTTCCCATATTTGATTATATTTCCTTTTGCATTAAGGTGCACATATTTCACTAGTATTTATGTTTTATTTTTCCAGTGTCCCTTTTGAATTTTTTTTTATATATATGTGCTTCTGTCATAAGCATATGATTTAATTTCTGTACCTATTTCTGGGACATTATTTGTTCTCTGAATATTTTCCCTTGTCAGCTTGGTTTTGATGAGTTCAAAAGTTACATTTTAATTTTCTTATGATCCCCACTATTTTCATGATGCAGTACTAGCATTATTTTGCTAGAGCCATAGTAAAAAATGTTATATATGTGACAATCTTTGAGAAAAACTATTCCGCATACTTCAAAAGAAACAAATTAAAGGTTCTATACTTTGTAATACTTATTTGAGTTATTTGAGCTGTCAGCAAAGCCAACTATGATTAGCCACCTTTTCCTGGGCTACGCAATTCTACCTTAAATGAAGTTGATAGTACCTATAGATATACTATTTCTGAACTTCTTTTGGTTGAGTGTATGTAGATTGTATTTTTAATCTTGGGTACTTTGTTTGTCTTATTTTCCTCTTCTCTTTATGCCTATATGCAGATGAAACAAGAGTTAAAGAGTTCAAACTCAAGTCAATGTGGAGGAGCCCAAATGGCACCATCAGGAATATTCTAAATGGTTAATTTTTCAACTCTTGAGATGTCTTTGATCTTTTATTTACTTGGTGAAATGATTCTCGAACTGAATTGACATGCACTCTGTGAATTTTGTTAGTGGGATAAATTTAAATTTCTAGTTAATGCTTATAATAAAATTTTATGGGGTCAAAATTGAGAATTCTGGTTGCCTTAATGTTGGAAATTTTACACACACATATTTTCATATGTACTATACTTCATCCTAATGTGGAGTGTTTAAATATACCTGTAGATTCTGACAAGTAGCAATAACATGAAATTTACTTGAAATATACTTATTTTAGCACAGATACTGATAATCCTGAGTAGCAATAATATGTCAGGAACTGCAACAATATAAAAAATATTCTGTACCATGATCACTAATGTTCACCATGACATACAGGAACTGTTTTCCGGGAGCCCATCTTGTGTAAAAATGTACCACGGATACTTTCTGGTAAGGAATTATTGAAATATTGTCATGGGAACAAGTGACTAAGTGACTGTTTTCCAGACTAAAGGTAATTTTCTTCTATAGGCTGGAAGAAGCCCATTTGCATTGGAAGGCATGCATTTGGAGACCAGTATCGAGCTACTGATACAATAATTAATGGTCCAGGAAAGCTTAAAATGGTTTTTGGTGAGCTTCAGTTGACAGCTACTTATTTGTATACCATCTAAAGCTGTTTTGTTGCTCATCAGTTTGTTCTTTTGGTACTGAAAATCAGTCCCAGATGGTGCTGAACCTGTGGAGTTAAATGTTTATAATTTTAAAGGGCCTGGTGTGGCTTTATCAATGTATAATGTGGATGAGGTATGATAGAAAATCAATGCAGTTCACTGCCTTATTATTCTCTTGAAAGCTATGCTAACTTTTACTCTCTCTCTCTCTCTCTCTCTCTCTCTCTCTCTCTCACAGTCTATTAGAGCTTTTGCTGAGTCATCAATGGCAATGGCACTTTCCAAAAAATGGCCTCTTTATCTCAGCACCAAGAACACAATATTGAAGAAATATGATGGCAGGTATCTGGGATTGCCATTATTTCCAGTTATTTATTATGTACCAGTACTATAGTCAAGCACTCTTTTGTTGCCACAAGGAGTGCCTTCTGACTTCTATTGCAAAGTTACTCTCTTAACCTTTATCCTCTCGGTACACTGCTTCATACGTGTCTTTATGATTTCTCTGGTCTCTTAACAATTTATAAATTAGTATGAGGGGCACTAAATCTCATTGTAAATTAGTGGACAATAGCAGTGTACCGAGAGGATAAAGCACTCTTTAGTATGATGGTTATTGTCCTCGGTACATATGAAAATATCAAGCACTCTTTAGCATGATGGTTATTGTCCAATGATTTAAAAACCATACTGCAGCTGATTATATTATCATAAACAAGTCCAATCCTGACATAGGCAGTTTTGATATCACCAAAGGTTCAAGGACATCTTCCAGGAGGTATATGAAGAGAAATGGAAGGAGAAGTTCGAGGAAAACTCGATATGGTATGTGATATTTTACATTACCATATTTTACCACTAAAGTTCTTCGTGAATTCCAAACAATATTTGGATCATGCACCCAGGTATGAGCACCGGTTGATTGATGACATGGTGGCATATGCTGTGAAAAGTGAAGGTGGATATGTTTGGGCTTGCAAAAACTATGATGGAGATGTTCAGAGTGACTTCCTTGCCCAAGGTTTGTGCTTTCTAGTTGTAGCTTTCATGAAGCTGAATGGTGATATTTGGCAGTATAATTGCTTTGCAGTGTGGATTTTTCTCCTATTCCTCTTTCTCATTTGATACTTTTTCCCCTCACTGAGCACTTGTTTCAGGTTTTGGTTCCTTGGGTTTGATGTCATCTGTTTTGGTAGGTCACACGAATCCTTTTGCTCCATTGTAGAATCTATTCATCTATTGTGTTTTATTGGTCCCTAAGTAAACATGCTTTATTCTGCAGTTATCTTCTGATGGGAAAACGTTAGAAGCTGAGGCAGCTCATGGGACTGTCACTAGACATTTCAGGCTACATCAGAAGGGACAGGAGACAAGTACAAATAGCATTGCTTCTATATTTGCTTGGACTCGTGGACTAGAACATAGGTAATCACAATAGTTGGTGTAAATGATGAATTCAATGCACAAGCAAGTTGATCTGCTAGGATATTCCCCCTTTTGCTTCTTGTTCATAATCAATAGAAAACCGGTATACCTTTTCTTACCCACAGATGTAATGACTGCCCTTTTCTTTTTCAGAGCAAAGCTGGATAAAAATGATAGGCTGCTGGATTTCACAAAGAAACTTGAATCTGCATGTATTGAAACAGTTGAATCGGGGAAGATGACAAAGGATCTTGCACTCCTTATCCATGGCCCCAAGTAAGCCAATTTATGCATATGTGTGAGTTTTTTCATGGTAGTTCAGAAACTTAAATGTGTAACAGCTCAAGACAAAGTGTTAATATAATAATACAAAGTAGATAGTCCTACAGTGACATGGTTTCTCAAAAAGTAGAGTTGCAGTGATCATAATAGAAAACTTAGGCAGCTAATATTACTGTAGCTTTTCTACGGATGGTGATAGATCATAGCAAGCATCAAATAATTGTTCTTGCTGATTGCAAGGCAGTTAGTACACCAAATAGTTTAAATATTTTTCAGAAGTGGAAATTTTAAGCGCTTGTTCTGCTGCACATTTTTAGACCAAATTCCTGTATACTCGAACCTTTTCTTTTTTTGGATCTGTGCGGTAGGGCAGCCTGTTTCACATATAACAAGAAAAATTTCGGTGTTTGTATCAGTGTGTTATACTGGTTGCTGCTATTGGCTTATTGCCTCCGCTGCTCTGTTTTATGTATTGCCTGGTTTTCACATAAGCTTGATAACAAGTGTGCACTGTTCCTGTTGTCAGGGTAACAAGGGAGTTCTACCTTAACACCGAAGAATTCATTGACGCTGTGGCTCAGCAACTGCGAGAAAAGATTCAAATACCAGCTGTGGTTTAATCCTCAATATGCAAATTCTATGTCTGGTTGGAAGCCTATCATTGGGTGCAGCAGGTTCACTCGCTGTGCATTCGCGCGCATTTTGATTGGGGTGATGAGACGGATGATCCCATTTAATAGTTTGCCTCGAAGCGATTTTTGTTTCAGCCTACCATTTTATCATGTTAAACTGTTAATAATCTGCTAGTGCTAAGTGAATTGGTGATTTCGCTACTCAATTCACAACCTCGCATGGTTGGGTAAATTACCTTGAGGTCAATACATAAGCGTAGTCTCATTCAGGGTTTACGATTCTGACATGCCCTTACGTTTCAGGCACTGGCGGAATTCGGAATTTCATGAAATCCGGTGGAAAACCGGTAAATTTTGAATAAATTTCATAAACCAAAATTTAAATACAAATTTATTGAGTTTGCCGACAAGTTCTCGAAAACCGGTTGGTTTTGGTGAAATTCCGATCGAAATCATCGAAATTTCGACCAGTAATTTGTAATAGAGGTAATTTGCTGAAATTCTTTTTTTTCTTATGTAAGTTTCAGTAAATACATACAATACTTTTTTAAAAAAATTTATATCCCTATAGGTTATATGAATATCATAGTATTTATAAGATTTTATTTGATTTTTTCTTTTTTTTTATCAATTTATATTTGAATTTGGATGAAACTCCTTGAAATCTCATATGGTTTCTCCTTTCGAGCCTCGTCGAAACGTCAAAATTTTGCGAAATCTGACCGGATTTCGTCGGAATCATAAACCCTGGTTTCATCCATGCTCTTTTTGTAGAATTTTATTTCCATCTTCTCGGACATGAACTGGCATCCTTTTCTTCATGTAATTGTACCCTCTTTGCATTCTGGACCTTAACACACATCTCTGTACGACTGTACGTGTAAACGGGCCACAACAACGATGGTTGTTCTCAACTTCTCAATTCTCATACCTTCCGAACTCTGCCCCCTCAGCCAGCGGCTCAACGCCCGCCTTCGTGACCCAGCAGCGTCCTAATAGATTAGCGAGCAAATTTACACTGTTTTAAATGTTGTATTGACAGTGAATTTACCGTCTCACTACTCCCTTACTAATAAACAATCAAATTTAAATGATTAGCCACATACAGAATCAAATTAAGATGAACATTCCTATAGCTATAGGTAGCACATTTCTTAAAAATACTTTTTAATTTATTTTAGATAATATTATAATATATTTTCTTGTATTCATAGTTAAAGTTCGGTGCTTAGCCCCGTCTCGCAAGGCCGCAATAAATTAGATAGTACTAATACCTGATTAGACGCCGTCCCATTGAAACTACCACGTACTTACAAGTGCCGGACTCATCTTTTCGTTTATATTTATACTTATAAGCTAAATTGTTAATTTTAAATTTAAAATTGATTTTAGGGGATTTTCATCTGAGCTTATGTTCCAACTTTTATTTTTAATCACTGACGGCAGCGTTCGAGAGGGTGAGAGCCTGAGTTTGTTTGTTTCTTTTTCCGCGCGCACGTTTCCCAAACTACTAAACGGTGCGTTTTTTACAAAAATTTTCTATAGTATAGTTGCTTTAAAAATCATATTAATCTATTTTTAAAATTTAAAATAGTTAATACTCAATTAATCATGAGCTAATAGCTCACATCGTTTCGCGTATCTTTCCAATCTTCTCAATCCACCTCTACTCAAACACACCCTAAGAATACGTATATAAAAATTTTATTTATAAATTATTTTTTATTTGTAAACATGCTGGGGCTATTTGTAAACATGTTAGGCCGGGGGACGTGCCCGAGCAGTCAATCCTTGGATACGCGTCTCGCCGCGAGTCCTCTCATCCCAGACCGCTCTTCCACCGCCAGCAACCGCCCCCCGCCGCTCTGCCACTTCCCACCCACCCCACTAATCCACTATAAATACGCGAGCGACGTCACACCGCAGAGATGGGAATCGCCTCCTCCTCCTCCTCGACCCCGGAATCCAGGAAGATGGCGCTCGCCAAGGCCAAGGAGACCGTCGCCTCCGCTCCCGTCGTCGTCTACAGGTTTCCCTCCCTCTCGATTTGCTCCCTGCCGTGCACGGTTGCTAGTTCTTGCATCTTTAGAAAAGAGTGTAGTTGCCGAGGGATTCGTGAGGAGATGGACAGGGGAAGGGGAAAGAGAAGCGGAAGTTTTGGATAAGAAGGAATAAATGCTTCTGCGGACTCTTTTCCTCACTCATCCCTTTTCCTCCCTTCCTCATCTCCATTTACTGAGCATATTCCTCCGCTGTTCTTTGCTTATTGTTTATTGACGGGAGTATTATATTTGAGTGGGTGATGCAAAGAAATCACATGAACTAGATTTCTAGAGAGAGTACTTGATTATTTGCTTTCTAGAGTAGAAATTGTTTGAACTAGGTGTACAATTTCTAGAGAGTAGTTGATCTATTTGCTTTCTAGAGTGGAGAAATTGTTTGAACTAGGTGTACAACTTTTAGAGTGAGTACTTGATTTATTTGTTTTGATGTTTTCTAGAGTAGAGAAATTGTTTGAACTATGTAGACATGTGAAACATTGAAAGCCTATTTGGAAGATCTGGCCCAATTTTTTGTTTGTTTGGATGGCATAACTGTGATTTGTTCTGCAACCCTGCCATGCGTATGCGATTTTGGGGGAAAGTACATTGAGAAATCTCTTTCTGGATCACTATGATTTTTTGTCTCCAAAATGTTTTGATGGAGCTTTTGATTGTCTCTAATGTTCTAGTGTTGACATCAGAGGTTTGTTTTGTTTTGTTAAAAAAAAATCGGTAATGATGAGTTCAGCTCACCCACCTGGTACAGAGTTAGTAGTCTGCTCCTGTGCTTTTATAAGCTAACATGCTACCATCTGACGGGCAATGGTTTCACTTATTCTAAATTTATTATTTTTAGTTTTGATCTTTGTAAGTTTTTGTTCCCTGTTTTTTTATCTGATTCTCTTATTGTTTGGTTTATCTGCAGCAAGTTTTTGTTCCCTGTTTTTTTATCTGATTCTTATTGTTTTGTTTATCTGCAGCAAGTCTTACTGTCCTTTTTGCGTCCGTGTGAAGAAGTTGTTCGAGCAGCTTGGAGCAACTTTCAAGGCCATTGAGTTGGATGGGGAGAGTGAGTACACTTGCCTTTGGTTCCACTTTCTCTGTTCAGTTATGGAATCCTTAAGAGGACAGGGTAAAGGATTACTAGTACAATACAACTACGAGTAGCTGGATCGAATTGCACAGGAAAAAACAAACTGATTTGCTTGTCCTGGCAGTGCTGATTTTGTTGAAACATGAAAAAGGTGGGCATTTGGGGTTTTTATTTGGAAATACTACTGTGGCAGAAAAAAAATTATGTAAGCTCACAATGTGCAGAACCTAGGATACTTAAAGGGTCTGTTCGATGGAGAGTTTTGGCTTTAGCTTATTTGCGGCAAGCGAAACGAGATTAAGTATTGACTATTGTAAACATAAAAATGAATTTATTCGTTTTCTTTAGAAACTTCTATATAGAAAGTTTTGCTTTTGCATGAAACACACCGTTTAATAGTTTAGGAAGTGTGTTCATGGAAAACGACGGAGTAAGCTTCGCTAACCAGCTGAATCAAACGCAGATTGCTTGATTAGATGCCAGAGGAACACTGAATGTGGCAATTATCTAAGAATTACAGTACTAATAATTATGGAATTTCAATGTTGACCATTATAGTCTCAGTTAATGTTGTTTTTATTTAGCTGCCAAGCCCCTATTTACCTCGGACTTGGATCTTTTGCATTGAAGAAAATGCTTAGGATCCTTTGCATTATAGTCTCACTTGCATTAGGCATGGTTTTTGCCATTGGATCTTCACCAAACAGCTGAAAACGAATGCTACAGTGGGAATAATATTTTTTTTGTTCACCGGTGAAAATCACACTGTGCAAACATTTTTTGCTACAGTACTACTGTGTTCTACTGTGTCGCTAGACTCCGTTTACTGTTCTAACCACGTCCATTTACCTCCTAGCCGGTGTACTGTACGTGTACCATACATAGTGATGGCTGAGTCATCATTGGACTCAGAAAGAACTACTATTGAATTGCGAAAGAAGATTGCGAAAGAAAGTACTCATAAACCAATCTGTTCTATGAAGGTGATGGATCTGAGCTGCAGTCGGCACTTGCTGAATGGACTGGACAAAGGACTGTTCCAAATGTCTTCATCAATGGGAAGCATATTGGTGGCTGTGATGGTGAACCCTTTTGCCTTTCATTCTTTGTCTCCAGTACTCTGTGCTTTTGTTAGTTTCTATATTGATTGTTGTCCATGAAGTCCATTATCTCTGCTTGCTCGCTCGCAATTTTATTAGTACTCTTCAGTGTTCAGTTAACGAATTACTGTTTGCTGTAAATGTCACTTGGGGCAGATACTTTGGCATTGAACAATGAAGGGAAGCTGGTGCCTCTGCTGACCGAGGCTGGAGCAATTGCCAGTTCTGCAAAGACGACAATCACCGCATAGTTCTTCGTGGGACACTGGGACTAGCCTTCGTTGACCTCTTTATACTGCATCCATTCTATTAGATAATAAAGGTGGATGTTTGTTTGGCAAGACCATTACTTGTTGCCGTCTAGTATCGTGTGATAGCTATCCTGTGCCCGTGTGAAACTCCTTGGACATCAATAATATCGTCTTTGTGATAGCAGTTCGCTGATATTAACTGTCGATTATAGTCTTTCTGCCGTGAGCATACATGGCTACGAAACACATGTTGGAGAGAAGCTATAAACGTCGAAACTGCATAGCTCCACACAATGCCCTGCAGGACAATCAGGGAGGCAAACAAATTTCAGAGGCAGAAAAGCCAAAAACGCAACAACAACTACCAACAAATTTAAGAGGCAAAAAGCCAAAAAACACAACCACAAGTCCTCAACTACTTGATTACAACTGTGAACTGGGGTAGCTTTACAATTGTGATGTGAGCTAATAGCAGCTTTACAATTGTGAATGAATGCGACAGGCAGAGGCACAGATCGACGATATAGTTAATTCGAAGTGATGTGTATTTTGATATTTTTCCTCCAAAAATAATAAAGTTGTTACAGATATCTGATATCCCCGGCCATCCAAAATTCCAAACAAACGACGATTTATCGCCGGTTACCGACCAGCCTAGGATACACCTTGTACACCACCAGCTCTTCGTCTTCGCCGCGCGCCATGGGCGCGGGCAGCTCGCCGTACGGGAAGTCCGGGCCGAACCTGTACTCGTCCATCCACCACTCCGTCCTCCGCGACGCCCGCCTCGCCTCCTCGTCGTCCTCCCTGTACCAGAACACGAGGCGGCAGCCCATGTCCCCGCGCCTCCCGTCCACGACGCGGCACTCGCGCACCGGCACGTACGCCCCTGGCCCGGCCTTCCGCGGGCGCGGCGGCGCGCCGTCCCCGTGCCCTTGCGCGTGCCCGCGCGGGCGCACGGCGGCGAAGAACCACTCGCACCGGTCGTTGGCAGCAGGGAGCGCGGCCGTGATCACCGCCGGGTGCGCGTCGAAGACGTCGTCGGCGCGGTGCACGCGGCACGCGAGCGGGTTCCCGAGGCGGAGGCTGGCGAGGTAGAGCTGGACGAGCACCTGCGGCTTGGCGTCCTCGTCGGCGCGGTGGCGCGTCGCGAGCACCGCCCGGTCGGCCCCGAGCCGCTCGTGGAGCGCCCCGCCGCGCGCCGGGTAGACCTTGCAGACGACCAGCTCGAAGCCCTCGGAGCCTCCGGCGCCGGCGTCGCGGCCGCGATCGCCGTACTCCACCATGCGCCACTCGGTCTCCCTGAAGCCGCCGCCGGCGTCCTCGTACTCGTAGTACCGGAAGCTGTGGCAGAACGCGTTGCCGCGGTGCTTCGCCTCCTGCGAGAGGCGGTAGTCCCCGGGCCCGGCCCTGCGCCGGCCACCGGGGCACTGACGGCGGCACACGAAGAAGAACCACTCGAACCGCTCGTTCGCCGCCGGGTACACCGACGCGAGCAGCGCCGGGTGCGCGCCGTACACATCCGCGTCGTGCACCTGCCTCGGCAGCGCGTCGCACCGCAGCGCCCGGCGCAACGGCAGGTACCGGTTGACGATATCCTCCGCCGTGGGGTCGAACGGCTGGCCGCCTCCGCCGCCGCTGCTGCCGGACGCCACGGCCCTCGCCATGGGCGAAGGCGGCGGCGGCGGCGGCCTCGTCGCCCTTGACCTGCCGGCGAGGAAGACCCACCCGTCCTCGGTCTCCTCCTCGCGGAGGCTCTCCGCGGCGGCGGCGGTCTCCGGCGCCGCCGCCTGACTCGCCCTGGGACGCATGGGCAGCATAGGGTTTAAGCTAGGTCGTCGCCACGGCGGCGCATGCGCGAACTCGACTCAACTACTACTCCGCCATATATACTATCGGCACGCACCGAAACATAACCCACAAACCCACCCGCCCGCGCTCGCGTAGGCACGCACACGCAATATATATACTGATCGGTCGCCTCGCGGCGCGCGGGGGATTCGGGGGTTGAGGTATCCGTACCTGACGCGCTCTCTCCAACAACCCCCCACGCCGAATCGTTTAACAACACGCGGCCTCGTACAGACGGAGGCGTCGCATCTCCGTCTCGGCTCGTGGCGTGCGTGCGGCCGACGCGGACGCGGACGCGGAGCGGCGGGAGCGCGACGGGGGCACGTAAAAGTCCCCTGGATTTTTGGGCCGGCCACTACACTACTGGAAAAGGTGGACATAGATCCTGCTTCCAGTGCAGCAACACTGTAGCAGTGGCTGACATATAGACCTGGGGTCCACACGTCACTTGTCTAATGCTGGTGTAGTGGTTGTGGTTAATAGTAGTGCAAACAATTCCATCATGAAAAAGTCCACTTTTCGAAGACACGACTATGAGTTAAGTCAAGTTAGATTCGTAAAAAAAAAGTCAAGTTTTACTCGCGTCTCTCAACCATAAAAACAGATATAAACCATTCTCAAGTTCTCAACTATCAAAACCCCAATAAATCAAGCCCCTCAGCAACAATTTGGATGATAGTTTTATTAACTTGGTATTTATCCTCTATGTCGACGGGGGATACCTGTAGACCGGATAGTATGGATATTGAGGTACGTTGGTACGAGGATATATACGATTCAACATCAAGCAAACAAATAGACAGGATTATATCGGTTCAAGCCCCTCATGAGGTAATAGCTCTAATTCAATTTATATGAAATTGATATGGAAATACACAGAGTACAATAGAGAACAACTGATTTCGAGATTACCGGCGAGATCCTTATCGGGAGAGTCTTGACGAGATCTACCAGCGAGTAGGTTCCAAGTCCTCCGTGCTTATGTGGTGGCGGGTTGGTTGGTGCTATGATTCGATGCCTTGGACCCCTCAGGGGATATGTATCTATACCGTAAATCCCTTAGTCTCCAAGTATAACTCGAGGACCCCGGACTCTGCACGATATAGTATAATCTTAATCCTTTTTGAGTAGAGCTCTGTTATGTGCCTATCCATGAGGATTATTTTCATAATCTCTTGTTGATTTCCTTATCGTATACGGAAGTCTACCGTACATATGAAGGTATGCCGTATTCATGTATTACATAAGTCGTATGATAGAAAGTATGTCTTATCCATAACCATGACACTCTATGACGTCTATGTGGCTCTTATACGATACTAGAAAAAAACCCCTCAATGGAACCCGCATGTCAACAAGAGGGAAAGAACAAAAGATAGTGGCCCCTCTCTTCCTTTAACACCCCCTTCCTTAGGTTGTCCATCTTATAGTTTCACATCGGAGGGCCACTTGACATCGCTTCGTGTCCTTCTTCACCTTCCTCAGCTCACTCGCCACCGTTGCTCCTTTTCCCAGCAAACGATGATGCTAGGCTAGGATCTATGCCGTAGTCCTGCTAGTCGTGGGCCAGCAAGGAGGGGCTCGTTTTGACTCGCCTTGTCAGAGAAGAGGCGAAGGCCTCACCCACACGTCGAGGACGACACCAGCAAACACAAACGACGAAGTCAAGGGGCACGAGTTCGAGGGGCATGCTATGATGTGACAAGAGTCATAGGAGTGCGGACTAGCGGCAATGGGAGGGATGCAACGTGAGCCTATGCTGCTACTTATCATCGTCGTCCTTTATGACATTGAGGGGGCGACATGGACATGGACAACCACCTACGTTTGGATGCTCTTTACCACTTGCTTCCTACCTAGATGTGCGGGGCTCTTTGCCACACTCTTCGTGGTTGTCTCTGTGTTTGTCGAGAGGAAACGCCACAATGCATCGTATGGAGGTCGAGGTGGGGGAGAGAGAAGGGATGCAGGAGAGGAAAGAAAAAAAAGAGTGACATGGATGAGGTTGACAACTGGGCCTTTACCAAAAGTGGGATAGCCACGGAATGACTCATCATGGTTAATTATAGGACAAGGCTAGATCGCGCGCGCTAGCGGCATATCGCTAACCAGCGACGCCCTTCTCTTAAACAGTTACTAGTACACTCAACAGTACATGCCTTTTTTTTTTTCTTCCTAGAGAATTTTCTCCTAAATTACTTATCCGATTTATAATCCGATTACACCATTATAGTCGTTGCAATTAAATCTTTACAACAAGATCTTACACGATTATATTCTGATAAAAAAAATATCTATGTTGTAAATTACTTTTATTATATATGTAAGTTACTTTTGTCCTATACATAAATTACTTTTAGATTTAAGCTCTTTAATAACTTATATCTTTTAAATCACGTATTATTTTCATGATCTATTTACATCATTGTACTCTACATAAAATATGAGATAAAACAAGATCCATGTTGAATATATTCAAATATTTCATTAATTTAAAAGTAATTTATTTAAATTGTAGTAGTAACTTAGCTATGCAATAGATGTAACTTAGCTATACAATAGAAGTAAGTTAGCACAAAATAGAAGTAAATTCTTACAACATTAGAAGTAAATTCGAGAGAAAAATATTTTGTATCTAAAAATTAAATTTAAAGTCCATAAATTATAGAATTGACTAAAAACTATAATAAATATAATCGACTTAAAGCATTATGAATATATAAAAAGTAATTTAATTAAATCTAAAAGTAATTTATATATATGATAAAAGTAACTTAAGTATATAATAAAAGTAATTTATAAGTATAAATATTTTTTCATCGTAGTATAATCATGTAAGATCTAGTTTTGAAGATTTAATTGCAACGAACACAATGGTGTAATCGGATTATAGATTGGATAATTAATTTGAGAGAAAACTTTGTAAGAAGGGGAAACAATACATGATGTGTAATAGAAAAAAAGGCATGCATGTGCGCTGGCTTCTCCACGGCTTCTATGGTTGGCGTCGCGCGATAAAACAATATCAAGAGGGCTCGCTGATTAGTTTTTGCGTTAATTATACCCACAACAGGCGAAACCGCTTCTGAAAATACCTTGGGAGGTTACGTCGGTTTTAAAATTTTAGGGGAAGTGACGCGAATCAAACTGGCCTTGTGAGGGATGTACGTTGGACTTTACCCGCACTACGCGAGCGTGAGGCTATTGGGCCGTGCCCTGTGAGGGTTGGACGCCGTGAGGCCCATGATGGTTCGTTCACCTTTCAGGCGAGAGGTGAGGCGAGTGAAGGACAAGATCAGCTAGTGCGCCGTGGTGGCTAGTGTTTGCCTCCAGCTCCGAATGATTAGATGCTTGCTAGTGCGTAGCGGAAAAGAGGAATCTACCCGTACATTGAACAGTGTCAGTAAGTAATTCCTACATATCATATTCTTGTCCCATGTATCTGGCAACGGATATATAATACTAACAGTCATGAAAAGCTTTTTAATTACAAGTTTACATATGCATATTGTACTACTACATGGCATAAAGTACTGCACACGGTGACTTATTGCCTAATTGGTAGTAATTAACAGTTAACTATATATGGAATCCCTCCATTTGCTGTTAACTATACCGCAATGACAAATTAATTGCAACAACCCTCACATGCATATAAATCTCTCTCTCTCCTTTGTTATACTATAGCTCTAGCTAGCTAGCAACAAGGGGAAAAGAACACATTAGTTAATCTCCCCTGATTAAAGAAGTGTGACCAATAATAGTACTATGGCTTTAACGTGTCATCGACTCAGGCCGTCGTTTGTGGAAGTGGACGTACGATCGATCCACGGATGATAAGTTTGCTGTCCCATCTTTATCCCACGAGCACGCCGCAGCTATGTCGTCTGTATGCACGTACTCGAGATCGCGACTACTCTTCTCTCATGGCGTCATGCAGACCGGGAAATTGATCTACCACAGCGTGCATGCTCCGGCGGCGCCGTCGAGGTTCCACAGGCTGCCCCAGGTGGCGCCGTCGTCCTCGCTGGAGCCGTAGTCCTCGCTGGTAGAGGCGCAGCAGCTGCCGCCGCCGTCGCTCAGCTGATGGCCGGCGACGGCGGCGCCGTGGAGGATGAGGTGGTAGGACATGGCGGGGCACATCATGAGGTCGTCCATCGCGTCCTGGTGCATGATCAAGTCCTCCGCCTCCCCGCCCCCCATCGACAAAGACGACGACGACGACGACGGCGCCACAGCCGCTGCGGCGCCGCCCGCGTCGTCGTCGGTGCGCGCGTCACCGGTCTCGGCAACGATGATGTCCTTGCTCTGCGGCGTCGGCGTCGGCATTAGCGTCGGCTGCTGCAGCTGCTGGCTCTGCTGCATCTCGCGGCGCTGCTTCAGGAACCTGGCCCTGGCGCGCTCGATGTTCTTGGACGGCTTGCCCTTCTTGAAGTGCGTCCTCCAGTAGTTCTTGATCTCGTTGTCCGTCCTGCCCGGGAGGCTACGCGCGATCGTCGACCACCTGCAGCATACCCACGCATATATGCAGGTTAATTCTCCTGCAGCTGTAGCTAATTAACCAGTAGCTAGCTAGCTAAGAGTGTAGCATCATCATTTGTGTGTTTACCTGTTGCCCCACAAGGCATGGAGCTGGACGATGATGCTCTCCTCCTGGGGAGTGATCTTGCCTCTCTTCAGATCAGGCCTCAGGTAGTTAACCCATCGTAGCCTGCAGCTCTTGCCGCTTCTCTTCAGACCTGCAGCAGCAACAAATAAAATTTAATTAGTAAATGGATCTCGGTATCACACTATGTCAAGAGAGCCACCTATGCGTATGCACCAGCACTACAGCATAGTTAAACTCGCCACCTAATGTCCTAACACATGTATGCACCACACATTAATTCATCTATATTTATATCGCCATCACATAGTAGTACTGATGCTTGGTTAATGCCAACTAAAATTTAAGCAGGAAAGCGCTGAGTACTTTTCATGCACTAACTAACTAACTCAAATGCTTTCGACAGTGTATATGTGCCTCTTCTAAATAAAAATATACTTTTAGTATTCCAATTAAGCAACTTAATTAACTCATCCAAAAAATATCAGGCAGCATTAGCAGTTTTAACTATACTGTTTCTACTCTCTTAGTCTCTTGTAGTATCTCTTACTCTCCTAAATCATATAATACGGTAATACCTCTTCTAAACGCCTTCTCTACAGCGATATTACATGTGTCTATGCATCGCAAGCCGGGGAACATATTGGTGCAAAGGAATTGAATTTCATAGGCGGAGCCAATCCAACTAGTCCTTCATAAAGTATATCACATCTTCCAGACTGAGGTCTGAACTCTGAACTTAAATGGAAGAGCAACAAGAACATGCATGGAGCCATGGAGTGGAGACTGGAGATCAAGATCAGTATGGTTCAGTTGAAGAAATCGAGTTCAGAAGACGAAACCGATAGATCCAGCTAGCTAACACGTCAGAATTTACTGGATAACATGTTTTGTACATGATCCAGTCATGCGGCTCAGTTGACATGCATGCAAAGTTGCCACTTGAAGATCTTAATTAACCACAAGTACTACAAGCTGCCTAAAGTGCAACAGGTTGACTGCCCCATGCAACTTGCAGGGCCAATCATTTGCAACTCACAAGTTGTACCTGGTCGCATGGTGAAAACTGAAAAGAGATCACTGGATCTATCGAATTTATAAGCCATCGGAAAAAGTAAAAAAGAGAAGGAAAAAAAAAAGGTAACGCGTGCAACTGAAGACTGTCAGTTCATGACTTGTACGACAACATGTCCATGGTTAATTCCACTGAATTACTCCTACCTGTAAGCTTGGAGACAGAATTCCACCGGCCTTCGCCGTGCTGCCTGACATGCTCGACGAGCAGCGCGTCCTCCTGGCTCGTCCACGGCCCTTTCCTCCACCCGCCGCCGTCCTGCTGCAGCTGCCTCCCCCACCCGGCAGCCGACTGCACTTCCGCCGCCGCCATTGCCGGCCTCTTCAGTCCAGCTACCTCTCTTCTTCAGTTCTTCTTTCACCAGCAGATCGAAGAAAATGAGCTTAATTGATGCGTATCTGTCTCTCTCCCCTCTGCCTGTTTTCTGGGAGATTTTTGTGCAGCTGGTAGGACACAGGCAGAGAGAGAGAGGCCGGGGGCCAAATTAAAGGCGAGCTAGATTAAGATAGCAGCTATAGCTATCTATGGCCGCGAAGCAAACAAACCTTTCTTTCCTCTTATGCTGTCCCCCAACGAGCTAGTGAGGCCATGGCGATGTAAGCGAGTGAGCCGCTGCCGCGTATATATCGGGCACAGCGCCCCAGCTCCTTTCAAAGGACAAAGGCCACGTCGCTGTCCGGAGGAATTCCAGCTCCACTATCTCGTGGCTCCGTGCATTTACGGAAATGCCCACGGTAAATTTTTTCTTTACGTTTACTCTCTGAAAATTACACAAAATGGAAGATTTATTTGGACAGAGATTTCAAATGGCAAAAACTGCATTATTACTTTCTTTCCACCTTATATATTGGAGTAGAGAAATTTTATAATTCTTGTGAAAGTATGGAACCAAGATTTTATACTAAAAATTTTAGTACTTTGAGGTACCTAGTACTAAAAGATATTAAATTTTACACTAGAAAATATGGTACTTCCCGGTACCTTTTCAAGGATAGTAAAATTACCTATTGGAGTAAACACAATATCCACCCATCTACAAATATATATAAGTACCATATAGTTTCACTTATTTTTATAGCTCAAATAATTACAAAGGTTTTATTTTGAGAACACAAATAATTACAAAGGTTCGACGTGGACATACATGCCTGCTACAAGTGGTACCAAGTTCATAGTCATCTCGATCGTACCATCAGTAGAAAAATGCGATGGCAACTGCACACTCGCAGCGATCATTCGCTTTCCGACGCACAAACGAACTAAAATAATCCTAGTTTGATGACCATTTATCTCTGGAAGTGCAAAAATCCTTGCCTTCATTCTCAGCACCTGGTCGCTTCGAAATGTTCTGATCGAGCTGGAACGCGGTTAACAAATGGTAGATACGCCACCTCACTTTGGTACAAAGTTATAAGTGGAAATTAAAATATATTTCGATCCGTCTAGTCACTAATGATCGTCTATCTTTTCTATCGCAATCCAGTAAAAGACACAAAACAATTCACACGGGGATAGCTTTGTCCAGGTGCATGTACCATGATCTCCATACACAATATAATTAATTTAGCTGGCTTAATCGTGAATTAAGCGTAGTTTAACTGGATAGATTACTTATGGTATACCAGTCTATGTAGATTTAAATTTTAGATTTAACACAGGAGCTCACATTTACGATTAATTATTCTGCGATATACCGGTAGATAATAAGATGTCTTTCGGAGATGCTCATAAAAATATATGTGCGTGTGATACTTACGTTTGTACCGTCTTTCTAAAAAAATAGCTAGCTTAATCAGCTCGCTGATCGCCTGGTACGATACGTGCATTACACGCGCGCGCGCGCATGCGCGCACAACTGGTTCATCTCCATCGATCGATTGGCCGTCGTGTTCGGGTGATCAAGTACGTACGAGTACGACTCAATCGGTCACGGTCAGCATGGGCCAAAGCGTGGTAGCTGCGCATGCGGCCTAACTCGTTACGCGCGCGCGTACGGTTGCCATGTTGCAGGGGAGCGAGACATGCATGAGTCACAGGACTCGAATCAAAAGCACGCACCGTATCTGGCGCGTGGCCACCGCGGCCGTGCCAGATGGCCTCACCCGGTCATGCATGCTGTGACCTGTGAGACATATATATATATATATATATATATATATATATACACTACAACGAGAATGCTAGCTGGATACTGCTAAAGAGAGACAACCTTCTTTAAAAAAAAAGCTACTACTGCTCTCAATATCTATGTATTTTTTTTCTTCTTAGAGAAGTTTCTCTTAAATTACTTATCAGATTTATAATCCGATTACGTCGTTGTGTTCGTTGCAATTAAATCTTTACAACAAGATCTCACATTATTATATTTTGATGAAAAATCACAAATTACTTTTATGATATGTCTAAATTACTTTTAGATTTCACTAAGTTATTTCTTAAACTATAAAAGTAAATTCAGTAAGTCTAAAAGTAATTTATATATATTATAGAAGTAACTTATAACAAAACGAATGTAACTTTAGCATGCTATTTGAAGTAAATCTGTTGTAGAAATAAAAACATGACTCTATCTAGAAATTAAATTAATCAGCATAAATTATGGAATTAACTAAAAAGTCATATTTTATCCCTACAGCGAATTTACTTCTAATGTCGTGACAAAGTTACTTCCGTTTTGTGTTAAGTTACTTTTATAATATATGTAACTTACTTTTAGACTTTATTGAATTTACTTTTATATGTCTAATAAGTAATTTAGTCAAATCTAAAAGTAACTTATGTATATGATAAAAGTAATTTACAAATATAAATATTTTTTCATTGTACCATAATCATGTAAGATCTTGTTGTGAAGATTTAATTGTAATGAACACAATGGTGTAATCGGATTGTAGATCGAATAAGTAATTTGAGAGAAAACTTTATTTGAATAGGAAAAAGACACCCACGTGAACTTTATTTGAAAGGGAAAAGACACCCACGTGGATGGACAACATGACGACGTGCACAGTTAGATAGCTCTGAGATGCGTCGTGTTATAGAGCTAGATCGAGAGCGCTCTCGAAATAAATTTTGCGTATATATACGCAGTTCCGTTTTTCAGAACAACCGAAAGGGAAAGTAGAAGGTGCGTGCCTTGCAGTTGACACGTACGTACGTGTGCGTGCGTTGTACGTGCGGAGAGGTTGTGGCTCGAGGTGTGGATCAGCCCGGCAGCATGGGAGCAAGCATGCACTAGATACGATTCCTTTTTTTTTTTGGAACGGATTCCTTAATAATTTGGGGTGGGGGGTACGTTTAATTATGTTTGATCCCATATAGAATCTATACGGGCACTGTCCTCTGGATTACACAGGAGTACTCCAGCGCGATTGCGGCTACCGTAGTTAATTAATTAACGGAGTGATTAATTAGGTTATTACCGGAGGGCACATTTGGAACGAATCAAGATAAAGTGACGCCCTTACCCCTTCGAGAGACCTCGCCTTCTCGTCGTGACATCCACTAGAGACCAACAGCGAAGACTAATTATATACTAGTATAAGTTTATTATGCTTTGGCTAGATCATTAGAGACCTCCTGATCCGGGATTAAGTATTGGTAACTTGGTAAGGTCCCCCCGCTCTCCCCCGCCACGTACCCCCCCTCTCGCGTAGAGCCGTAGCGGCTGATGGCTGATGCTGCCTCCTTGGCGCAAACCCAATTAACTAATCGACGGGAGAGCCCCGATTTAGCATCACCTCCCGCATCAGCACGACGCTGAGAGCCCCATTTAACAAATGCGTTGCCGCCACTACGACCGGTGGATGCTTTACTAGCTGCCGCATGCCAACCGTGTGCTCTCGCGGTAGCTCTTGGCCTTGGCATTGGCTAGCCGCTAGCGCGCGTGGCGTGGTGGGTGCGCGCGCGCGCGCATGCAGCGGCGCTTAGCTGTTGCGCTGCGCCGATATGATGGGAGCCGAGCCGGCCAATCGCGCCGCGCCACCGCTCTCTCTCTCTCGCTCGGCCGATCCGGGTGTGTGGCCTGTGGCGTGGTGTGGTTTGGTGGTGGCGTCGCGCGCGCGGGGGGGATTAAACAATGCGGGCGCTGCTATATCGGGCAAGCACGTACGTACGGCGCGGGCGGGGAGGGATCAGATCAGAGCGCGCGGTAGGAGGGGGGAGCCGCAGGGCGGGGTTATTCTAAGAGAAAGTTTAATTGTAGGTAAGCTAACTACTCCCTCCGTTTTAAAATATAAATATTTTTAATCATGATTCAGTCTTCTAGATGCTATTTTAACTAACAATACCTATAAAATTAAAATATTTTAAATAAAAAGAGTTGCATATTATGATAGTTTGTTTAATGATAAATATAGTAACATCAATTTTGCATGATTAATCTTTTTTATTGTTTTGCTATTAATATTTAAAGTTAAACTTGTCACTACTTTAAAAATGTTTATATTTTGGGACGGAGGGAATATATATTTATATTGAGAAAAAATAATTAAAAAATATTATTGGTTCTATAGAGCTACTCCTACCTCTTTACATACTTATGATATATTTTATTCGTCCAGAAAAATACTCCTACATAACTAGGTGAGTATTTGATCATCTTAATACAATTTGATCAGCTGACTAGATTTAATTTGTTGTACTAGGATAAGCCATATCTCTACCTATTTGAGTATCTTTTTTGCGACGGTGAGTGAAAAGAGAAAAGAAGAAAAATAGAAATAAACTTATAGCTCAGTTTACTCTAATATGAAATTGTAGCTAATAATTGGCTCTACTATTTAATTTGCTCGAAGATCAAGTACATGCTATGGGTTAGCGACAAGCACATGTATGAGAGGAAAAAATGACTACAACTTTGTACTAAGATGTGAACTTCAAGATATTGTGTGGGTACAGAGGTGAATCAAGTATAAATGATGCAATATATATTTATATAAAATCGTTATAAGGGTAGATTATTAAAGTGACGTAGATAATACGTTAAATTTTTAGAGGTAACAGTTCGCTATATATACAACAACTATTATTAAACTTGCTCGCGTCGACGTCTTTACGCGTGGGTGCCGCGACTTTGGCGCATCACTCCGGCGACAGCCGACAGGTGTCGACGCGCCCGGGGCTGGACCACCGCGCGCCTCGTTTGTTTAATCGAACAACCCGACATCGCCATCGCCATCGCGCGCAAATGGAAAGCAAAGCAAGCAGCAGCGCCAGATCGATATCCATCCAACGACGCCGCAGCAGCGGCATGCAGCTAGCTAGCTTAGCACAACGCATATAGTAATCGATCGCGATGTTAATCATTAGATATTTGGGTTTTGCTCGCTAGGCTTGCAGTACATGTTACGGCCGCCTGCACTCTGCATCTCACTGAATCGACGACCGCTTTGCTTGCTTTAATCGGTTCGATCGATCGCTTTTACGAGCTACAGCTACCGGCTGTCTGCTTCTGCCGCTCGCTCGCTTGTCGTTCGCTGAGGGCACGCACGAAGTCCGCGTCCCATTCGAGCACGATTAGTAAATTTCTCCCGGTGATGTGGCTCATTGCTCCAAAGGGGTTGTTTATATATGTTTAATCGCGTGCGGTGAAATGAAGCATCCGTATAAACTACATTTGGGTCTCTGCGATGATGATCGATGCGGTAGCAATAGTATAATGCTGGTGCATTATATTGGCCCAGAAGTTTCTTTCAGCACCTGTACTTTTTCGATCTAGAATGGTCTCAAGTCCCGATTTGTTTAATGCTGTGCAGATAAAAGGCCAGGTGTATTTTGGAGGTATGTTTATACTCCAAGCAAAGATAAGATAGCTAGCTCATGCAGATGCAGGGGGCCAAAAGTAGAAAGCAGAGATACGGCTCCGACACAAAGTGATCGAGCTGAATGCATTAGCGACATTCACGATCAGGCAAATCGGGTGCTGGGGAATACTATAATGATGCGCTAAAAGGCCTCTGAACTCTTGCATTGTGAGGTACTCTGCTGCTTTACAGCTCAAGCCAAAGGTTAACTGCACTGGTGGCTAGCTTAGCTAGCTACCACAGGTAGTCAGTAGTCAGTACTCGCTAGGTTACTGATGATTCGATCGGTCTTGTACGCGCAGACACGTTTCATTATCTACACATAATCCTTGGATTTATGCTCGTTTACGTGCGTTGAACAACTTCTTCGCTTGGAAGTCCAGTTGCTAACTTACTGGAAATGACTAACTAATACTATAGAGTACTCCCTCCGTCCCAAAAAAAACCTAATCCTGGGTTTGAACCTGGACGTCTAGGTTCAAACCCAGGATTGGTCCAGGTTCAAACCTAGGATTGGGTAGGATTGTGTCCAGGTTTAAACCTAGGATTGGGTTTTTTTTTTTGGGACGGAGGGAGTATGCAAAACTATTAATTATACATAGGGCTGATTGCCTGAATACTCTAGGCAGGTGGATGAAAAATATTAGGTGATGATGGGCCTGTTCACTTTGATGTCATTTTCAACCTTACCAAATTTTGGTAAAATTGCCAAAAAAAGTGGCTACATTTAGTTTGCTGCCAAATTTTAGTAACTATATAAGAAATCTTGCCAAAATTTTGGCATAGTGAACAGGCCCGATGTTATCTGTAAAATCAAAGTGTGTTTGATTGTTAGTCTGCGATGAACAATTGGCATATAAGATTATTAGTTTTGATATTTAGAGATTATTGGCGAAGTGGTTTTGGAGATAATTGAATTACATGTGATGGACATGATTGAAGTGTCTAGCAATTACGGTCAAACCGGCTAGGCCGGTCAGACCAGAGCTATGTGAGCGGTCAGATCGGCTGACGTTGTGTCGGTTTCGGTTTAGCGGTTGATTCTTTGGATATCCGTAGATAATTCATGTTTATGACTTATAGATGGATACTATGCGTATGTAATACTGTTGTTTGCTAACAATAAGTCAAGTTGGTGAGAACTTGTACTTGGATATTGTTTCTTGGTTGATGCATGTGTAGGTGATTCTTAATGCTTCAGGAGATTGTTGCCGGTGATGGATCAGGAGTCAACTTGGGAGAAGATGACGTCTGGATGATCAGGATATCATGCGTGATGTTTAGGCTAAAAATCAATGAACGTGGTTGTTGGAGATTCCATATGGCATACGATAGAGATATTGTGTGCGTATGGGATGCAGAGTCAAATTTGGAGGGTGTCGAAATTTGGTACAATTGGAGTTTGTAAAGTTTCTTTCTTGAACGGGAAGGTTTTCTAGGGGATTAGGACTTCTTGTACAAGGTTGATTCATTGCTTTAGGTTGCCTACCTCGGTATAAATAGAAAGGGAGAATGTGGCCTCCTGGTATCGATTTTTGATAGAGTCAAGTTTAGAGAAAAGTTAGGGTATCGAGTTTAGTCGAGATTTTCGTGAGGAGCGTTGTTTTTTTTACTTTACTAACACAGAGAGAAGTAGTAAAGTTTCAATATACTTTAAGAGATCTTCAATTTGTGTTAGCTCGGGTGCGGCGATCTAACCAGCAGGATACCCGTAGTAAGACCGGCGACATCGCACCGGTCAAACTGGCGGGAGCACGACGGTCAGACCGGCGATTGGTTCAGGCGACAACGATGATCACAAGGCGGTTACACCGGACGATCTACACTATTCAGACTGGCGGCACAGGCGCAGCCAGACCAACGGATCAACTCCGGTCATACCGATCTACATCGGATTCGAGGGTAACTTTTAATTCCGCTAAAATTTTTAGTTTTTGGGTACTCCAACCATTCAACCCCTCTGGTTGGTTTAGTACTAATCGACTAGTGTAGTCGATTCTTTAGAAAGTCCATATGTGAAAACTTTTTTATTCTTTCAAAATGTTTAAACTTCGAAAATTTAAAGGAGATGGAGATCAGAAAGAAAATATTTTGTTTCACTGAAGTTTATATTCAAAGGTATATATGGACATCGGGTAGAAACATTCATATACGACTTTACCATTGCCATGCTTCCCTACCCCCTTTTTTTGGGAATAGACGAATAGTACTATAAAGAAAGTACAGGTATATGTTCTTAAGGACGACTTAAAATACGTACGCTATAATTGACTAATCGTATAAGAAACTGTTGACACTATACGCGTGCCTTGATGGGAATCTAGGCCTTCGGTGAACAACTAATAGGTGCACACAAACACAACACAACTCGATAGAGTTGACATTCTAATCCTAATGAGCACCATGTTCTTTGTTGGGCTAGATATGCATGATGCATCGTCGTGCATTGCAAACAGGAGTGAAATTCCGGCTAATTAAACTACATCGCGAGAAAATAGAAAACAAATTGGTGGCATCGGTTCCATTTTGTACGCTGCAGCGTGATCCCTCCACGAGTACCTTCGCAACCTTAGCGTAAAGCGTTGCCGGAATCTTTGGTGACGCCGGCCGCTCGAGAGAGATCCAAAACTGTGTGCTGCTAGTTAAGCTTACGCACGCACGCTCGCATCTCCACTGTTCTCATCAGTCATCAGCGACAGGGAGGACAAATGTGCCCACAAAAGCCACTCGAAGTACTTATAACCTACGGTCTTTCTGGTTCCTAAGAAATGTTCATACTATCTTTTTTCGAAGCAGACATATGCGCTTGTATATATAAACACACATTTATCCCTATAAACACACGTATATACACCTCATTCTTATGAAAACCTTTGTAAACTGAATTGATAAATCATATATGTATAAACTCATGAAGTTACCAACATATGTCTCGTAGTTAACCTATAAGATTTATCAATTCATTTTACAAAGGTTTTCATAAGAATGAGGTGTATATGTGCTTATATATATAAACTCATGAAGTTACCAACATATGTCTCATAGTTAACGGATAAATCATTTGCACTGAAAGAATAATTACCCGTAAATATGAACACATTGGTTAAGTTTAGGATTTGAATTTGGGAGAGCAGGTTCCGCCAGGCGAAAAATAGAGCAACCCATTGTTTCTGAAATACTTTTTGTTCTTTCGTCGTGGATTGTTTCTAGCTTTCTGCAAGTGAAGGAATAAGTCCACTTGCCATCTCTCAACTTTGCGTCGAGTTTGTTTGATATCTATTATCTTGAATACTAGAAATCTTCACCCTAAACTATATAAACCGTGCAATTCTGGTCCCATAACAGTATGGATGTCTAGTCAGCAAAAATAAAATAAAAAACATATGCAGACCGGCTGCCTCCCCCTCCCTCCCAGGCTTGCTGGCCGCCTCTCCCCCCTCTCCCACCTCTGCCTCCCCTAAAGGCCGGGCGAGCTCGAGCTCGAACACGTACGTTGGATGACCTACTCGCCACCAACACCCGAGCGTTGTGTGTGGTTGGGAAGAAAAGAGAAGAAAGAAGAGGGCACGGACATGCGAGGCCCACATATTTTTCTTCTCGCCTACATGTGAGTCCCGCATTTCTTTTCCTTTTGTTGACTAGGATGTCATGTTAGTGAAACCAAGCATCCGTACTACTACGGAACCAAATTACACGGTTTTGTATAGTTTAGGGCCGAAGGTTTCTGGTATTTGAACATATGGGATGTCAAACAAACTCAATGCAAAGTTGAGGGACTTATTTCCACAAGAGAATGTCCATGTAGTTTCAGAGCCCAGGTGGACCAGATTCTGGCAGAAATGGTCAGCCTGGACCAAATACAAGGCCCAGCAAGTGAACCCATCAGCCGAATGCTGATTCCCGGCCCATCTACGGGGTAATGGGCTGCCAAACAAAGGCCTTGGGGAGAGTTTGACCCGTGCGCTTTCCTCCCGGCTGGCTCGCACGGCCACCCCGAAAACACGCCACGCGAAACGACGAGCGCGCCCCACCTCTGTCTCGCCGTCGCGCGCCACGCCCGGAGCGGCCATTGCTATTCCCTATCGCTTCCGCGCCTATTGATGGCGTGACGAGTGAGCGACACGGGCTACGTACGTGACCGATCGATCAAACGAATCATCCATGGCCGCCTCCGTCTCCCTCGCCGTAGCCGCCACCGCCGTCGTCGCGCTGCTGCTCGCGCTGCCCGTAGCGCTCGCCGAGATCAAGACGACGCCGATCGTCGCCGACTCGCGGCCGGTCATCCTGTTCGAGGAGTTCGGGTTCAAGCCTGGCGGCGTGTCGGCCGTGTCCGTCCGCGGGGTGTCATGGCGGGTGGCCGAGGGGTCGAAGCTCCAGGCCGCCGACCCTGGCCTAATGGGGTTCATCCTCATCTCAAACTCCCTCTTCTTTCAGATCAACAACGAGTCCGACTACGCCGAGGCCACCGGCGGCGCCTTCTGCCCGCTCACCAGCAAGTACGTGCTGCCGCTGTTCCGGCTCAAGGACATCGCCCCCGACGGCAACGGCAAGGGCTCCGTCACCATCGACGACGACGACCAGTACACGGTGCTGTTCAGCAGCTGCCAGGACGGCGTCGAGGTGACCATGGAGGTGCGCACCGAGATGTACAACGTGCGGCCCGGCGGCGGCCGCGGCGTCAGGGAGTACCTCCCCGTCGGGCTCCTCCCGCTGCCGGGCATCTTCGCGGCGGCGTCGGCGGTGTACTTCGTGTTCCTGGGCGCGTGGGCGTGGGCGTGCGCCAGGCACCGCGCGACGGCGGGGCAGATCCACGCGGTGATGGGGGCGCTGCTGCTGTTCAAGGCGCTGAAGCTGGCGTGCGCGGCGGAGGACGCGTGGTACGTGGAGCGCACGGGGACGCCGCACGGGTGGGACGTGGCGTTCTACGTGTTCGGCTTCTTCAAGGGCGTCCTGCTCTTCACCGTCATCGTGCTCATCGGCACCGGCTGGTCCTTCCTGAAGCCGTACCTCCAGGAGCGGGAGAAGAAGGTGCTGATGATCGTGATCCCGCTCCAGGTGGTGGAGAACATCGCGTCAGCGGTGATCGGGGAGACGGGGCCGGCGGGGAGGGACTGGCTGGCGTGGAACCAGATCTTCCTCCTCGTCGACGTCATCTGCTGCTGCGCCGTCTTCTTCCCCATCATCTGGTCCATCCGCAACCTGCGCGAGGCGTCCAAGACCGACGGCAAGGCGGCCAGGAACCTCAAGAAGCTCACCCTCTTCAAGCAGTTCTACCTCGTCGTCGTCGGCTACCTCTACTTCACGCGGATCGCCGTCTCGGCCTTCGCCGCCGTGCTCAGCTACAGGTACCAGTGGGTGGTCACCGTCGCCATGGAGGCGGCCAGCCTGGCCTTCTACATCTTCGTCTTCTACAACTTCAAGCCGGTGGAGAACAACCCGTACCTGTACGTCGGCGAAGACGAGGAGGAGGAGGCCAGCGGGCAGCTTGAGATGGAGGGCACTTTCGAGATATAAATCATGGACATAATATATATGACATGGCTGCCTAACCTCTGCACATGCCTCTCCAAGTTTTGTACGTAGATGATGGTGCACTGCGTCTTTCTGCACGCAGCTGTGTATAAATCACCATGCAAAAAAAAGGTAGCTCCTGCCTGCACAAAATGCGTTGGCACGCCCTTCAGCAATTCTGTGATTCCCCACGGGAAAATAACGAAGTATATAGCAAACGAAATGTGAAAATTGAATTGACCCAAGAAGGTATTTTGAGGTTTAATATCTTGATGACTACCTTATTATTTGTAACTTCTTTTTTAAAACCTGAATACTGCTAGGGAGGCCCCGGCAGTGTGATTTTATTTAAATTTACAGAAACAAATTTTGCATATACATATCACAAGGCATTTGCCCAAGTTTAGTTTCTCTCTCTAAAGATTTAGGGCCGGGAAAGGAAAGAAGGATGAGGCCATTATTGTCAAGAAGTCTCCAATTTTGAACTAAAGATGTTCTGATCTCAAAACATTTTAACAGTTTTCTTAGACTGTGTTTAGATCCATGGGTGAAAATTTTTGTCGTGTCACATCTGATATACGAATACACATTTGAAGTATTAAACATAGTCTAATAACAAAAAAAATTACAGAATCCGCCTGTACATTGCGAGACGAATTTATTAAGCCTAATTAATCCGTTATTAGCAAATATTTACTGTAGCACCACATTGTCAAATCATAGGCTTAAAAGATTCATCTTGCAATTTACACGTAATCTGTGTAATTAGTTTTTTTTTATATTTAATTCTTCATGCATGTGTCCAAACATTCGATATGACAGGGTGAAAAAACTTGCTAGAGGATCTAAACAGGCACTTAGTTGAGGAGTATTTAGTTTGCCTGTTTTTATAGTTTGCTAGGGATAAAACATATCTCTTGTCAGAGTCATGGGTACGGGGTGCCCTGTGCAAGTAGGCAGAATTTCCGTCCCTTCCATAGAAATCAATGAGCGGAGTGCTCCACGCTCGTTGATTCTCCAAGTGCTAAGTTGTAACACATTCTCATTTAACGTGATACAATATAGTAGATCTTTGTGTTCATCTGTGAGATTAGAGCGATCATAGCTCTTTATCGGGTCAACTCCCCAGTACCGAATCCCCGGTTCATCACGAAACAATCTGCATACAACAAATGGTCGACACCTCTCATTCCAAAACGTTGTGACCACGGAATATATCGCTAATTTTGAGCGCTCAAGAGTTCAGCAGATCCACCAAGAACAACTCTAGTTTGTCCCAGTTACAACTCAGGATTCTTTTTTTCTTCTTGTTTTGAAACGGAATCAGGCATGGCTCACGTACATGTAAAAAAGAATCAGGCTCGAATCGGCAACAGCTTGTATACAAAAATATATCCACTCATCACCTATTCACCTGGCATCGATCGATCTCGCACCATGGGCTCCCCGCGCGACGATGGACGCCGAGCAGGCAGAACAGCGCGCCGAAGATAGAACTGCCTTTTGTTAGTTTGGTGCATGAAATCCAGAGCAGCTAACAAGCTTCTCAGGGTCTACCTCGTCCTCCAACTAAACAAACCCTAAGAATCCAGGCCCACCAAGACCAACTCTAGTTTATCTCCGTTACAACTTTCTCTCCCCCTTCCTTTGGAAGGGGCTATAGCTGGGTGTTGCGTATATAAGCTAACATAGCCCACGTACGTGTCGAAAAATCAGGTACGGATAACGGATTAGGCAACAAAGCCTCTCAAAAACCCTCCTCATCTACCATAATCAATCTGACGTTCGATCGGGTCATCAAGACCAGGCTTTCGATCTCTCTCCCGCCGCCATGGGCTCTCGATCACCGCGCGACGACGGACGCCGCGAGGTGGCGAGGGCCGCGGGAGTAGCAGCCGCTCTCATCGCCGCCTCGCTGTTCTGCCTCTTCATCGCTTTGGTCCTCCAGTCGACGTCGACGTCCGGCGGTGGCGGTGACGGCGGTGGTGTCCGGGAAGAATGCGGCCGCGCCGCGTACTCGGCGGCCGTCACCGTGCTCAGCGGGCTGCACCCCTCGAACGACCTGCTGCATATCGGGACGCTCTTCCCGGTGTTCAACCTCACCGTCCACGTCGAGGTGCCCCCCGGCGGGAAGGCCGGCGGCGTGTGCCTCGGCGGGCACTCGGTGGCGGCCGTCGTGTCGTACGGCGGCGCGTTCCTCGGCGAGGGCTCGGTGGGGCGCGTCTGCGTGGAGCCGCAGCAGCAGGAGGGCGACGTCGCGGCGACGGCGTGGGGCAGGGACGTGTGGATGCCGTGGGTCCTGAGGAGGCGGCTGGCCCAGGAGATGAAGCGAGGCGAGGCGGAGCTGGAGGTCGCCGTGCCGATGCGTGGGGGCGATGTGCTTGTTTGCAAGGCCAAGATCGGGGGTGACCTGTCGCCGTGCACGTTGGAGGAGGCGTCAAATTAGTTTCTCCGGTGTTCTTTTTTGGTTGTTTTTTTTTTGGGAGGTGTCAGGAGTTACTCCAGCCTCCAGGTTATTGATATTTGGGCAAAATTAGATCCCTTAGCATTTATTTGAGAGTAAAATGCACCAGCGGTACTTAAACTTGTCATGAGATTTCACTTAGGTCCACAAACTTGTAAAACGCACATCGAAATCCCTAAACTTGATTTATTGTATCATCCCGGTCCAAAGCCTCGTTTGACCGTGATGGTGCCTACGTGGCACGCCCCGTAGACGATGACATGTACTTTTTATTTTTTTTCTCCCTTCTCTATTTTTTTCCACTTTGCTTCCCTCCTCTCCCATCTGCCGCTGAGGGCCAGCGCCCACCTGTCAGGGCCTTCTTCCACCTCTCCACCGCACGTGCACGCTCTCTGTCTCGCGAGTGGTGCACACACAATGACGTCGACGTCGTCTCATGGTTGTGTTCTCGGAGTTTTGCCGTCTATTGACGCGACGCCGACCATTGCAGCGGCGACGACGGCGATGACGGAGGTGGCCGCCAGGTCGTCGTCGTCATTGTCATTGTCGATCTCGACTCGTCTTGCTTCGGGTTATTTCGCGGACACCGATGGCGTCGGCCGTGCGGCTTCCTCGCCGGACAAAGGCGATGTCGAGAAGCCGCTGCAGGAAGAGGAGTGATCGGACGACGGTGAGTTCATCGAGCTGGAATCCTTTTGATTATAGAGAGAGATGCGTTCTGTTTTGTTTTTTTGGAGGAGATCATCAGCAGAAAAAAGGAGCGAACCCGAGGATCCCTCGTGCCGAAACAGAATCAGCATGAACCCTAATGATCGTCCATTATATGACCCACCTGATGCTAAACTACATTGTCGTCAACAATTAATTGGCGGCCATTATTTCATCATACTGCCTCTAATTGTCACCGCCCTAAACCCCAAAAAGAAAAAAAAAGAGAAGAAAACATATGCTTCCAATGGATTCTAGAAAAAAGAGAACAAAAATCTCGTAGTGGACTAACCGTGCATATGCATGGATCTTGCATACAGATGCCGGTGGAATTAACGGGTGGATCATGGCTGGCCGACCTCGTTCTCGCGTGACATCTCCTCGAGCGACTTGCCCTTGGGCTCAGGCACCAGGAAGGTGAGGAGGAAGCCGAGCAAGCTGCAGCCGGCGAGTGTGAACAGCGAGTTGCGGACGCCGATGCTTGGCGGGTAGCCGTGCGCCGCCGCCTTGGCCGGGTCAGGGCTCTGCGCCAGGTACAGGAACCCGAACGACCCGATGATCGCGCCCACCTTCCCCGACGCCGCCGATATCCCGTGGCTCGTCGCATGCAGCCTCGCCGGGTATATCTCCGCCGGCACGATGAACGTCGCGAGCTTCGCACCACGTCGTCGTTGTCGTTGTCATCATCGAGGTTGAGAAGCCGCTGCAGGAAGAGGAGTGGTCGGACGACGGTGAGTTCATCGAGCTGGAAGGAGGGTTAGGCATCGTCGCCGCGACGAGGAAGACGACAGCGGGGTGTCTGGCGTGGAGCTGGAGAGGAGGTCGCACGAGGTCACAGGAAGCGGGTTGCAGAGCTGCGGCGAGCGGAGCAGAGGCTGATGGAGAAGGAGATGGAGGTGCGGCTGTGGAGCTCGCGGTGCAGCGGCCGCCGGAGAAAAAAAATGAAGAAGGGAGAAAAAAAATATAAAAATTCCACGTCATCGTCTATGTGGCGTGTCACGTAGGCAAGACCACGGTCAAACGAGACTTTGGACCAGAATGATACAATAAACCAAGTTTAGGGATCCCAATGTGCGTTTTACAAGTTTGTGGACCTAAGTGAAACCTCACGACAAGTTTAAGGACCGCTGATGTATTTTATTCTTTATTTGATATAGGAAACATGGCATAAACATTGGTGCTCACACATGCGTACACTCATCTCTATGCTCGCACATACATAGGTACACATTATTTTTATGAGTAGGCTTGACAATTTCTAGTTTTATTCACTTTAATAGCATCCAACCTTCTTTTGTTTTTGCGCTTCCATCTCGATTGTCTTCTTATTTGACCGATGTTGACTTAGCTGGAAAGTTTTTGTTTTTAGCTTTATAGCATCAAAATTAAGTTTTTAAATTGCTTTAGTAGCATATAACTTTTTCTCTTATATTTAGTCAAAATTTTAAAACCCCAATCATCAATAATTTCTTATAAATCAATAAAAAGCCAAGGACTAGTGAGATCAGAATGAAAATTGGAGAAGCTTCCGACGTGATCAACCCCCGCACTAGGGAGAGCGTCTTCACTTGTGCACAAGCGCATAGGCCCATATTTATTGGCCGCAAAGAAGCCTTCTATTGCAGTTCCCATCTACCCGTCAGTATCACCTCCTCAGTCCTCACGAACACAAATTAGATCTACCTGCCAGTATCACCTCCTCAGTCCTCACGAACACAAATTAGCTCCGGCTCGTTAGGCCGTGACCGTTCCGCCAGTATCACCTCCTCAGTCCTCACGAACACAGATTAGCTCCAGTTCGTCAGGCCACGACCGTGCCGCAGCTTTCTCATGACTGCTACACCCCGCCGCCGAGTAAGGACTAGTGAGGGCCGAGCCATCGCCCAACCAGCCCTTGTTCAACTCCACCTCAAGGGATTTCTTTGGGTGAAAACACTAGATTCGTTTGGATTGGGCGATGTCACCGTTGTATCCTTTCTTGAAGACTTCGTTTTAAGAGTAGGTTGAATTATTTCTTAGGTTAGTACGTCAATGCTGAGGTTTTTATCGGATTTTCATAAATTAACCGTGTTATTGTAAGATTTTTTGATACAATTTTTCTTATAAACTATAGCGATTTAACAGGAGCTAGCGCCTGCCCGTTCCCTCAAAAAGAAAAATCACCCCACCACCAGCCGCCGAACGGCCGGAGAGTTCCCGTCGTGAGAACATCGCCGCGATTAGGCGCGTTGGCTGATCGGTGGAGAGATTTTTCACCGTTCTCTACCATGCAAGAAAGAAAAAAAAATATGCCGTGATCGGTGGCATACCAAACTAATCCGATGATCAACTGATTATGTTTAGGCTAAGCTGTTAGATCCTGAGCTTTTGTACATAACCTATGATCAGATGAAAAAATAAAAACAGTTTTCAGTAACACAGTTGGGAGACCAAACTATCCACATTTTCATCCTCTTTATCCCCAAATCTTATTAGTTCTTCACACCACCAAATGAGCACGTACACCCATCAGAATGTATTCAGTACTCGTTGCCAACCCTCGGTATAACTTAACCCACTGCGGCTCAAAGCCTCAAATCAAATAATTAAGCAAGAAGAATCGGCAGGTACTATGTACCAACAATCAAGCTAACAACTACGAGAGCTAATTAACACGATGAATGCTTCAGAGTGCTTCACCGTGGTCTCCTCGCCGGAGCTTTTGGAAATTGCCAAGATCAGCCGGCGGTGAGCTACCTCGCCGTCACCGGGGGGCTTGCCCGATCACCGGGGCCGTGGCCTTTGCCGGCCCTGAGGCGAAGGGAGATGGTTCTGGGAGTGCTGTAGCATCTCAACCATGGATGGCGTCTGGTAGGAGTAGATGACGGTGCTGCTGTCCGTCGAGTCACCTCGTGCTGTTGCCCTCTGCCACGAGTGTGAGCTCAGCCCGGACAGCATGTAAGCCCTCCCTGAAGACTCGTAGAGCTGGCGATTTGCCATCCTCTCCTGCATCTCTCGCAGCTCCGCGTCGAGGGACAGCGACAGACGGTCACCGCTCCGGCTTGCGAATGACTGTGACAGTGTCCTCCGGCAATCCTCAAGAATGGCCACGGCCTCAGAGAGAGCACCCTTCTCGGCAGCAGCCCTTGCACACTCTATGGATTCAGCAGCTTGTATGCGGTTCCTCTCGCGGTCAACCTCAATGGACACATGCTCAGATATGTTGGATGTTGTCGGCCGGTTGATCTTCACCTCGTCACCTTGAATCTTGATTGTCTCACCTGTCACCGGATCTCTGTAGGCACAAGAAACCTTCAGTGCTGAGGTCTGATGACGAGATTGTGGGATGTTCACGGACAGTAAGATGTCTCTCTCCTCATCAGCATACAGGTGACCAATGTCGACGGAACCGTTTCGTCCATCTCTTGCCACCTTACTTGGGTAGCTACCAGATTTGATGGAAGAAAGTTGAACACCAGGATGAACACATTCCATGCTAACTCGCATCTCTTGGATGACAATGCTAAGAAGCCCACCAATGCATTGAGCAAATGCATCTTGCATTACACCTTCATCCTCGATAAAGGAAAAGGTGCCACCAGAAGCTTGAGCAATTGAGTGCAAGGAATCCGAGTCATGGTCTGCTCCAAATCCGAAGGCATGAAGAGGCACCGTATGGCGAGCATCATTTATAATGGAAGATGGGACAAGTGACTTGTAATCTGGTGAAGCCCCCTGAACACTTGAGGAAATGTTGTATGTATCTTGGCCGTCCGACAGAAGAATGATGCTGCACACTGAATTCTTGTAACTGCGGTCTTCAATCACCTTCATAGCTTTCTTCAGTGCATCAGCAATGTTTGTACCGCCGCTAGCACCAAGTGAGTTAATTGCCTGCAATGCCTGCTGCCTGCCATGATGTGATATTCGCTGAAGGTGGAACAGTCTTCTGGCACTAGATGAGAAAGCAATAACAGAAAGACGATCGCTTGGTCCAAGGTGCTGAACAACAAAACCCATTGCTCGCTTTAGGAGCGCTAGTTTGGTGCCTGCCATGCTGCCACTAACATCAAGCACAGTAACGAGATCAACCGGAGCACGGTTTCTTGAAGATCCAGCTGAGCTTTCATTCGCCAATTTACCTGTGCCCTGGTCTGGGTTAGCACTAGGAGCCTTCAGATGGATCAGAATAGCAAAATCATCTTTAGATGAGGACTGCGGTATGGTTGAGAATTCTGGATATGTGTTTATCTCTGCAGTCTTAGTAGATCGAACATTAAGATTGTCAAAAACTTCTGGCTGCTGCAAAGGTTCATCATCATTGAAGTCTGCTGGCTCAGAAGTATGTGGGCGACGAACTCGCTGATGATGGTTTGGAACTTGGTGGAGAAGAGCCATATTGGCATCTTGTTGGGTCAATCGAGCTCGGCTAACTCCAATTCTTCCATGCGGAATGTTAGAAGATAGCGATCGATTGAAGGGTATCTCTTTCCACTTTGCCCGACAAATTGGGCAGAAATAATTCCCATGTTTCACATTAGATGAGATGCAGTGAAAATGGAACATATGAGAACATTCAGCTGTGAATAGGGCTTGACCATTCCCATGCCGCATGGAGTCAAAGCATATTGCACATTTCCTCTGTTGAAATACCCAAAAAAAAAGGTCAATACAGTTGTATTTATATAAAAAATAATTCAGAAACAAAAAAACTTCATCAATATTTCGTTTCTATGTTCATGAAGACAGATACAAAGTTATAGCCCCTACCACACGAAATTTTCTACTTCCTCCGTTTCACAATGTAAGTCATTCTAGCATTTCCCACATTCATATTGATGTTAATGAATATATGTCTAGATTCATTAACATCAATATGAATGTGGGAAATGCTAGAATGACTTACATTGTGAAACAAAGGGAGTAGAAAATAAATATGAACCTACAAATATGAATGGTTGAATTCTTTTCCTTAAAATGAATGGTATGTATTCATCCCGTTGCCGTAAAAATCTCAAATATGACATTGTAATACAACGCATAGAAGACAAACTATAAAAAATTCCAAACACAGGGTAACCATAAAAAATGTAGCCAATGTAGCTGTCTTTGCCAACATCACTAAAATAACAAGTGAACTATCTCATAGGTTTGCCTAGGGATGGAGCTTCTTGAGGACTGAGGCCCTCTTTGTTTAGGCTTAGGCTTATTGGCTTAGGCTTTTAAGTCAACTTATTGGCTTATATGATTTATAAGCTGGTGGAATTAATGTCCTAAGTTTAGTGGTGGAGTCATACATATACCTCACATAAGCCAAAAAAGTTTCTCCAACCTAGCTTTTGGCTTAGGGCAAAGCCCGATCAGTATTCTTGGTCAAAAAAAATACTGTTAGAGTGGCTTATGGCTTAAAAAAAGCCAATTGAAAAGGCTGCTTGTTTGTTTAGATTTAGAATTTTCGGCTTATAAGTTGGCTTATAAGCCTAAACAAAGAGGGCCTGAGTGACTCGTGGCGCCTCCTCTAGAGAAATGATTCGTCAAGTGCTTATTTTCACCACTTTAAGTTCACAACAAACACTAAACTATCCTCTCCTTTCAAAGCTTAGGAAGGAATTTGGAACTTCACACTACCCTGTTGGGTTACCAAAACCCCAGATTAAGAAAAGTCTAAATTCCAATGTAAGCTAGCCTTTGACCGGGGATTAGCCGCCTATCACCAACCGCCAAGGCCGACAAATGAACAAAATAGCCATCCACGTTTTCTGACATGCCAAAGAACTTTCTATGTATTACCACCAACATACTGTAAACATCAACCCACGGGTGCTATTTCAGTTCTTTTGCAAATTGTCAAAGGTATCTACTTAAACATGCAGAATAATCAGCAATTAAAATGATATACTTTAGAATAATATGGTATACTAAAAGAAAGGTAAATACTACTACCAAGACACAGTCATAATCAAACTAGGATAACATACAAACTTGTAAGAGTGTGACACATGCATTGGAGGAAAACTACTTAAATTTATGTTGTATTGAAAAGCTTTTATTTTGGGAAAAGTTCGTGAGGTACATCACCAGATAAATGTCAACTCAATGAGGTAATGCTTATGAGGCTAACTGTCCATTTGGCACCAATTAAAGATAGATTGCCAAATCTAGCACGCTATTCTCATATAGTCAAGGCATATTCACCACAGAATAAGCAAAAATTTCACCAATTTGCATTAATTAATGATAGCTGTTGTCAAGTTGGAACGTTGGCAGTAAAGAAGGGAAGCTGGTGGTAGGAGGAAAGAGTAGGGATTTGCCACACGTGAGCACCACGGGCAGGTGATGAGCGACGAAACAAACTTTTCCCTTTCCTTTTCAGGGGGCAGGCAAGTGGAATATATGAATAGTAGATGCAACAGGAAAGTAGTTTGAGTTAAGCGATTCACACAAATAGAAATGATACTGAACAGATTAAAGCTACACCATATCATCAAGATATATCAAGAGGCCTCAAACACACCAAAAAAGGGAAATTTGATTTTTTTTTCTCTGATGATAGAAATATTTCCCTGATAATTAACTAAATTCAAAACCAACAGTAAACAAAAACCAGGCAAAAGTGCAAAACTATGATTTTTTTTCCTGCGATGATGACAATCCTAATAAGCATAATGAAAATGACCAACTCGTTCTCTTCCAGAAAAACACTGAATTTTTCATCTGGAAAAAAAAAGGAAAACTACTGTAATTTGCATAACTCCTAAAAAAAGGCCCGAACTGTCAAGTTTGCAACAATTAAATTACCATTTTCCCAGTAATGACATACTACAGAAGACCCGAATCATACCAAAACAATCTTAAACAGATGAACCGAAGCCAAATTTCGTCCTGATAGACATCTAATCCTCCATAGCAGCCAGCCACGCGATGTGTAACTCGCTTTATACACACAATTCAAATTGGAATGACTAAATGCAGAACTCGCCCACATCCCAAATTCACAATCCAACAACCGACCTAAACTAACCAAGTTTTTTTATATCAAAACTCAAAACCGAATTCAGAAACGGTCACAGAAAAGGGGATCACCTTAGAGGAGGATCGGCTGCTCCCCGACTTGGACCTCCGCACCACGCCGGGGAGCGGCAGCGGCACCGGAACGTCCGACGGCGCCGGCACCGACTCCGGCCCCACCGTCACCGCGGCCTCGCCCCGGCACCGCGCGCCGCTCGCCGCCGCCGGCAGCCGCCTCCGCCGCTCGCTCGAGCAGTCCTCCCTCTCCCCCTCCTCCGCCTCGGGCACGTGCACGCACAGGCCGAGCCCCAGCGCCCTCTTCGCCTTCCTCCACGCGTCCTCCATCGCCACCGCCGCGCGCCCCTTCTCCCCCTCCTCCCTGTGACGACTCTCCCCTTCCTCTTATACCCACCACCAGAAACGCGCGACGTACGCGGCGAAGCCCTACGACCCGCGCGCGAGGATGAGGGGGAGAGGAGGCGGCGCGGCGTTGGACGGGAGCGGTGGCCGTCGCGGCATTGGAGGTGGAGCGTTTGGCTGCGGCTTCTATCTCCTCTTCTCTCTCTCTCTCTCTCTCTCTCTCTCTCTCTCTCTCTGGTTTGACCTCGTGGGAGAGAAGAAGAAGGGGAAGGAAACGTACAAGGAATCGCAACGGAAGAGAGGCGGGGGGTGTTTAAAAAGCGATGGGTTAACTCGCGAGTGATGGGTGGTGGTGGGGTGGGACCCGCGCGCGGAAGCGTTGACAGTGGAGTAGGAAATTAGTTTTTCTAGGGGGGCCACCTGTCAGTGGAGATGCACTTGAGAGTCTTATCTTAATTTGAATGTGCTGTCTTAAATACGAATATTTTAACTTTTTGAGAAAGAGAAACAAAGTCTCTCCCTTTCATACCTTTAGTTTTATAATGACTAGCAAAAAAATGCCCGTGCGTTGCAACGGGTGAAAAAATTCTAATGATAATATACATTTTTCATGCATAATCATGTCAATGACAATGTTTGTATTTTAATGAGCGGCTTATTTTTTTTATAAACGGTGTTTTTTTTCTTGCGCGATTTTCTCAAATCATTTTTCAGAAATAGCGCATTTCTTTCTAACAGTTTTTTCCTAGCATATTTTTTTTCCTTTTTTTACTTATGACGAAAACCATATTTTTCTCCCTTTTTTGTTTTGTTTTTCTCACGTGTTTTTTTGCCTATTTTTCTGACAATTACTTTCTCGCGTGCTTTTTTTGCCTGTTTTTTCTAAATGTTATTTTTTGCGTTTTTCCAATACATGAGAATATATGACGAAATAAAAGCCGTGTAGTAGATGGTAAAAAATAGATGGATCAAATCTGACTCAAGCGTCCATCAATTTAGCTTTTTTCTGACAGTTTTTTCAAAGCGATTTTTTTATATAGATAGTGTTTTTTTTTCTTGCGTGGTTTTTTCAAACCAATTTTTTTTTAGAAATGGCGCATTTTTTCTAACAGTCTTTTCCTCGCATGTTTTTTTTAAAAAGTTTTTGCCGACAATGGAAATAATTTTTCTCACGCGTTTTTTTTAAGAAGATGGAAAAACCTTTTCAGCGTGTTTTTTGCGCTTTTTTCTGACTTTTTTCTCACACGTTTTTTTGACCGTTTTTATTTTCTCGTGTATTTTTTATTTTTAAATAGTTAGATTAGATTAGAGATAGAGAAGAGATTTATAGTGATTAGAAATTGGACTTTGTTTCGCCCTTTCCATTTTTTTCTCACGTACTTTTTTTATTTTATACAAACCAGCTTTTTATTTTTTACGAACCATTTTTTTTGCCACTTTCTTAGGGTATCGGACAAACTTTTTTAAGATGTTTTTTCTTATTTTTTCGCCTTGAAGGAATCAGACTTTTTTTTCCGTTTTTAAAGGAATCGGATTTGGCTTTTTTTTCACCACTTTTTTTTTGCCTTTTATAGGAATCGGATTTTTTTTTTCCGTTTGCATCTACAGTTTTTTTTCGCCACTTAGGGGAAATAGACTTTTGTTATTGTTGTTTTTTGTTTATTTTATTTTTTGTGTGGCTTTTCTTTTTCTTTTTATGTATATTTCTGCCTTTGTTCTATCCCTTTTATTTATTGTTTTTTTAAAAAAAAGACCAAAAGCACCTTATTGCAAGATTATAGGGACTCAAATGTAAATATAAAAATTACAGGGACTCAAATGCAAATGTATAAACCCAAAAATTAAAATCATATAAAAATGGAATGCTCTCGACATGTAGGTTCCGTTTTGCAAACAGATCTTCAATCCGGCACATCAATTTTTTTTCACCAAGATGTATGGAATATCACGGTATAGATTGAAACCGAGAGAAGTGGTGCTTAGTATCTCGGACTCAAACCGAGAGGAGTGGGACTCGGATCTAGAGTCGGACTTTTTTTTTGTTTCTGAGAGGGAATCACAACGAGGAGTCGGACTTTTTTTTTATTTTTATCGCTATTTTTTTACGGGACCGAGTCGGACGTTTTTTATCGCTATTTTGTTTTTTCTTTTCTTTTTTTTCACGTTTTTGTTCGCCCGGTTTTTTTTATCGGACAATTTTGGTTTTTTTTTCGCTCGGTTTTTTCCACCCCTTTTTTCTGGATCGGACATATTTGGTTTTTCTTTTTTTTCGCACTTTTTTTCGCCCGGTTTTTTTATCGGACAAACTTGGTTATTTTTTCGCTCGGTTAAGTAGTAGAGATATGTTCATATCGATGTCATTTTAAATTATCCTACTGTTTGATAAAGTTGATAAATATATAACAATATTTAGTTTGTTATCAAATATTGGTTATGCCTAGAGAATTACATTTAACCTATCCTTTCTATCAAAACTTATCAATGCTGCAATCTTGCTAAATTTTTCGCAATGCCAAATTTTGAAAAAAAAAAATAAATTTTCCCTAGTATGACCAGTTTATAGAAAAAAATGATGATCATAGATATGTTTAACTTGGAACAATGACAATTGATTTGTAAATTGTAACGGAACAGCCATAACATTAAATTGGTATGCATTTATGTGGTATAATAGATGTCGGTATATTTTTTTCTATTAAATTGGTTAAAGTTATAGAAGTTTGATTTGTGTCAAATAAAACACGTTACAACATGGAATGGAAGTTTTAAAATATTTTAGCAGCAAAGTACTTACTTGCAATCACCATAATTACCTGTGTGCTAAGACTTTTTTTGTGGGTTTTTAGTGAAACAGCTAGCCACGCAGTTTCTTTTTGTAATTTGACTGACTTAAACAGATTGGTCATCCCTGTATAACTTCACTTCCTTTTTTCCCTTTCAAAATGAAATAAACAAGTACCCATTTTATGGTGGCATTTTCACCGACTAAGGACTAGGATGCCTTAAGTAACACGTTCCTTCTCACGTGTGTACATATTTCGGAACAACGAGACTGACAAATCAAGCAGACAGCTCATTCGTACACCGATGGAAGCAACAGAAAAGTAGCTGGTAAACACTAAACACATAGTACCACCCACGCCAAGCATAGTCAATGGCTTGATTAGTTGATGGATTAGTGCTACGCGAAAAGATAAGTATGGTACTCCTACTTAACAAGCACTGGTTCACCCACCCTGAAGCTTCTGCAGATTGTTCAGAACATTTTGAGGCTTAACAAAGCTATCCTGCTGGCTCACATCCAGCCAATATTCACATCAGGAAAAACAAAATGGAAATAGGTAAACGCTGATCCATAGCAGAATCCTACCGGTGCAGAGATGCTCGAGTGTAATCAAACGAGATTTGATTTCTTTATTGATTTATGTTTTCAGGTTTGTTAGCTGGGGTGTTCTCAAGTTTGTTAATCGGCTGATAGACATATTTACAAGTACAATGCAGGTGACCGACCGAGCGTGACATCCTAATAATCCCCACATAATTATGTCTCGGCAGCTGTTATGCTGTCTCAAATCCGGTGATAATTGCAGTGAGTTCGACGGAAAATAACATAATGGCGCACGAGGCACACTTGATCCACTAACACAAGTACATAAGACTCGTTGGACAATCACCTGTCCTTGCCTTCTCGACGTAAGCTGAAAGGACGGGACGACCGAAGGATGCATATTACTCCCTCGTTTCAAATTATAATGTGCGGTAAGCGCATGTAGCGACATCGAAAGAAATGCAGAAAAAAAAAACCAACACAATTGAACTTGGCACAATCTATAAAACTAGTTTTTGACTTTTAATTTCTTGTATATTATTACTGTAATATTTATAGTAACAAAGTCAACCATAGAAAAGTGCATTCAAATTTTAACCCAATGATATTATTTTTGTCAAATAAAATTTAATTCATGTTAGACTAATTATTGGTCAAATTTCTTTTGAATTGAATCAAGCATCTTATAGTATGGGATAGTGGAAATAAATGAACAAGATGCTGGTGAAACCAAGGGAAAAGGCTTCATCCATCGGTCCATCCTATTAGAACGGACATAAGTTTATTTTCCCTTCCATTATATGTTACACACGCGTAGTATGAGTTATACTTGTGTTGCTTTCAAAATGATTTCGGTGTGATCAGAAAAGGCGATATTGCACCTGCTTGCACTGACCTTCTGTTGAGCGCGAAGACATGTTCAGTCTTATTTTTTAGAAAATAGATGTTCAGTCTAATGCCGTCTGAAACACATAATTTCACAAGAATTTCATAGTTATTTTTCGTTGTAAGAAGAAAAATTCCCAAACCAGGTCGTGCAGCTAACCTTACCTCTCTGCAAGGTTCATGGTTGACTATCCAAACATGTGCTTTAGCAATTAGCATAGCCACCCTTTCCATGCTGAAGATTTCTGCCGTAAAGCAGCAATGAACTTTCCTGCTAGAGAGGGAATCCGGCAAATCCGGGCTTGGTAAACTCACGGCGTAAAGGGCTTTGTCCCGGTAAACCACACCTTTTGGAGCTGATATTTTTCCACCAAACTTTGATGCGAACTTTTCAGCCATTTGATGCAAGGAAATTCACCACTGCCTTTTTCTGGGTTCTGAATGTTTGCTTGGTTCAGAGATACGAGTAATAAAAATGTTTGGTGTCCATAGTACAGAGGCTGCAGCTCAGGAGCAACTAGCATGATGGCAATCATGTCGTTGTCTCTCCAAGCCAAAGCAAGCAAATCCCATCATGGGGTCAGTATCATTGCACGAGCTCGATGCGATGCCCAGCCGGTGCCGGACCACATCGTCAGAAAGTTGCAAGCGGCGAACTCAGTTCGACCTTGTGGTTTGAGTTTGTCGATCCGGATTTAAATTATAAACTTAACACGGTTATTAATATTTATAGCTAGTTAATTCTTTTAGTGGTAGATAATACTATATATATCGACACATGACATCCATATATGTCTATGGTAACTTTGAAATATGATAGAGAGATATGTCTATGATAACTTTTGTTAATCTTAAATTAAATATATACCGATGTAATCTTTAGAGATGTTTATAAAAAGAGTAAATTTTATAAAACTACACGTCTTGTAGTTTAAGTTGTAGAAAACCATAAACATTTTGACACTTGGCACTTAAGTATATATATTTTGGTAGTGTGATATCACAAAACCGCACTATCAATGAATGAATTCACCCGCGAGATGATGTGACTGTTTCAACTAGGACGAGAAC